TCCGCTACAACGAGCAATGACAGTAATTGGTATATAGATTCTGGAGCTTCAATGCATATGACAATGCACCGTGAATTGCTTTATGATGAGATTTCACCTCCGGTTACCACAATAAGAGTGGCTGATAACAAGAGATTAGTTGTTAAAGCATGTGGGAAAGTTAATCTTAATGTTGTGAACAAACAAGGCAGAATTGACTCAATTAAGGTACAAAATGTTCTATATGTTCCTGAGCTGGCTACTAATCTCCTCTCTGTGAGTCAGATAATAAATAGTGGTTGTCAAGTTCAATTTGACAGTCAAGGCTGTATAATTCTAAATAAAGATAATAAGCAAGTAGCAGCTGCTAAAGTTATAAACAATATGTACAGGTTAAATACATGTAGTATTCCAGCTTTTATATCTACATCAACAGAGAATGATTCTTTCTTGTGGCATCAGAGAATGGCGCATTTGAATTTTGAGGATTTAAAGAAATTATTGGAGAGTGCAAGAATCAAAACAAATAAGGCAGATAAAGTGATATGTGTTTCATGCTTGAAAGGAAAGCAGACGAGAATCCCGTTTCCTTCCGAAGGTTCTAGAGCACAAGCGAAACTAGGACTTGTTCACTCAGATGTCTGCGGAAAAATGGAAGTACCAAGCCTTGGGGGAGCTCAGTACTTTGTTACCTTTGTTGATGACTTCACAAGGAAGGTGTTTGTTTACTTCATTAAAAACAAATCAGAAGTCTTCCAAAAATTTCAAGAATTTAAAGCCTTAGCTGAAAATCAACTTGATTCAAGAATAAAGATACTTCGCACTGACAACGGAAAAGAGTATCTGAGTAATGAATTTCAAGCTTTTCTAAAGAAGTCAGGTATCACTCACCAAACCTCCGCTCCTTACACACCACAGCAAAATGGTCTAGCGGAGAGAATGAACCGGACTTTGCTTGAAAGAGCTAGATGCATGCTTATAAATGCTAAACTTCAGAAACATTATTGGGCAGAAGCTGTGTCGACTGCTGCTTATATCACAAATCGATGCCCAACAAAAGCTCTTGCATTTTTAACACCAGAGGAGGAATGGAGTGGGAGAAAGCCAGACATTACTCATATGAAAATATTTGGTTGTGAAGCATTGGTGCATGTACCGAAAGAAAAAGCAAAGAAGTGGGACCCAAAGGCAAACAAAATGTTATTCATTGGTTATAGTGAACAGAGCAAAGGATACAGGTTCTTAGACCCTAAAACGAAAAACATTGTAATAAGCAGAGATGTGGTCTTTCTTGAAAGCTCAGTCAAAAGAGATTATTCTGTTGTACCACTTTCAGAGTCTGTCCCAGTATCATGTCAAAGTGATGACAGCTCTGAAATACAGGAAACCACGATGGAACAGTCTGAGACAACTGAAGACGACTTAAGTGAAGATTTTTACTCCGATGATGGGTCTCTGTATGAGCCTGATGTAACCATAGATTCATCTGAGTTAACAAATAATGTTACAACAAGATCTAAAGCAAGATTATGCAAGATGCAAGCCAATGAAGAAGGAGAAGCAAATACTTACAAATGTACCGATGAAATTATAAGAGAATGGGATGTTCCACTAACATATAGTGAAGCATTATCTTCTGATAACCCAAATGCTGCAAAATGGAAAGAATCCACAGAAGAGGAGCTAAAGGCACATGCAAAGAATAGAACATGGCAATTGATTGAAAAGCCTGAAGGAGTGAGGATAATTGGCTGCAAATGGGTCTTCAAAATAAAAGACGAGCCTTCTGGTCCACTCTACAAATCAAGATTGTGTGCCAAGGGATGTAGTCAAAAACAAGGCATTGACTACAAGGAGATATATGCCCCAACGGTAAGATATGATTCAGTACGTGTACTACTTTCAGAAGCAGCTCAACACAACTTGCATATTGTTCAGTTTGATGTCAAAACTGCATTTTTATATGGAGATGTAAAAGAAAATATTTACATGACGCCACCAGAGGGCTTGGAAGCTCCTGATAATATGGTATGTAAACTTAACCGTTCAATTTATGGTCTTAAGCAAGCACCAAGGTGCTGGAACCAAAAATTTGACAATTTGTTAAAGAAATTTGGTTTTGAAAGCTGTCATAAAGACAGGTGTGTGTATGTAGGAAAAGTAAATGACAACAAGGTGTATTTACTGCTGTATGTAGATGATGGACTTCTAATGTCAAAATGTAAAAATACACTCGATAAACTTATGTGGGAATTAAAGAAAAATTTTGAAATAAAACAGTGTGATCCAAAGAACTTTGTGGGACTACAAATTGAAAGAACAGGAGAAAGTATTTTCATTCATCAAACAAAATACACTGAGAAATTACTGTACAAATTTAAAATGCAGAATGCTAACTGTAATAATATTCCAGTTAATCCCCACACTACACTGGAGAAGAATGCAGAGGATCCTGATAAGAAGATTCCATACAGAGAGGCAGTAGGCTCACTGATGCATCTAGCGGTGGTAAGCAGGCCCGATATTATGTATGGAGTTAATCTTGTAAGCAGATACCTAGAATGTTATGATCATACTCATTGGAATGTTATTAAGAAAATACTGAAGTACCTAAAAGAAACCAAAGATTATGGTTTGTGTTATTCAAAATCACAACTGAATATAGTAGAAGCTTACTGTGATGCTGATTATGCCAAAGACATTTCCACACGAAAGTCTTTAACGGGCTATGTGTTTATTAAAAATGGAGCTGCCATAACATGGGCAACACAACGACAACAAAGTGTTGCTTTGTCTACCACTGAAGCGGAATTCATGGCAGCTTGTTCTGCAGCAAAAGAAGCTATGTGGTTAAAAGGACTGTTAGTGGAAATAGGTGAATTTAATCAGAACTCAATATGTTTGAATATAGACAATCAAAGTGCAATTTGTTTAATTAAAAACGTGGATTACCATAGGCGTTGTAAGCATATTGAAGTGCAATATAATTTTGTTAAAGATAAATATGCAGAGAAGCAAATTGATTTGAATTATGTATCTACTAATGAACAATTTGCTGATGTTTTTACAAAAGCTCTTCCTAAAGATAAGTTTCAGTATTTTAGGAAAAGAATTGGTGTTCAGAACTTAAAATAATATCATTATCTTATTTGTACTTGTAAAACATTATTTATAGATATATTGTTTTAATGAGAGTTTGTCAAACTAATATGTGCCATGAAAATGTATGTTCATTTTGAAAATTAACTTGTTTTAAGAAATGGGTCCAAATTAAGTGGGAGTGTTGTATTAGTAATTTGAACCCTATTTTATCTGTGCTCAACAACTATTCATGTAACACATTTTTTGTCTATGTCACTCTTCTTCTTGAATCTCTATAATAAAACTACGTTCTACCATTAAAACTATATTTTCATTAATTACAACAATATTGGACCTTTATCACAGACAAAGAAACAGTATAATTATATTTTCACTGTAGTAGATGGTTTCTCAAAATTTGTTTGGATCTTTCCTACCAAGGGTACAACCTCAAAAGAAACTTTAAGTAAACTTTTAATCCATCAGCAGACATTTGGCAACCCAACGAGGCTTATAACAGACAGGGGTACTGCATTCACCAGTTTGGAATTTAGAGACTATTGTGTAAGAGAAAAAATTGAACATGTAACTATCACGACTGGGGTGCCACGTGGTAACGGTCAAGTAGAGCGAATACATAGGATCATAATATCAATTCTAACAAAACTTTGCATTTCAGATCAGTCCCTTTGGTATAGACATGTAAGCCGCCTTCAGCAAGCTTTAAATAGTACTTTTCAGAGAAGCATCAACACTACACCATTTCAGTTAATGACCGGAGTAAAGATGAAAACAAATGAAGACATAGAAATCTACAATTTGTTGCAACAAGAGAGTATAGATTGTTTCATGCAAGAAAGAGAAGAGTTAAGATGTCTGATGATGGCTAAGGCACAGATAGGAAAAGTTCAGGCGGAAAATGCTCAGTCATACAATAAGAAGAGAAAGGAAAGCACTAAGTATCGTGAAGGGGATAGAGTTGTCATCAAAAGGACCCAATTTGGTTCGGGTCTCAAACTCAAGGAGAAGTTTTTGGGACCTTATGTAGTAACAAAGGTCAAGGGGAATGACCGTTATGACCTAGAAAAGGTCCATAGCTATAGAGAGGGACCTACCAAAACAAGTAGTTCAGCAGACAATATGAAACCATGGCCTGGGTTTCAGGATACTTTAGGTGAATAGCCACCTTCATATTTTTTTTTTGGTTTTATGTTTATTTTTATTTTTTTTGTTTTTGTTTGATATTTTTCAAATAACCTAAGCAGATCTCTCTCCAGATGATACATGGTGTAAGACAAGAGTGGTCAGATAACAGTTACAATAATAACCAAAATTTGTCTTGTATTGGTAGTTATCTTATGTAGAAATAAAGAGGTTCTTCTATGATTATAATATTGTAATTCTGATATGTTTGTGTGAACGAGAATGTCTTGGTTTTATTTTTGTATAATGTAGTGGTGGTATGTTTGAGATGGTGTTTTAGAGTATACTAAGCATGTGAGAGTATGACAGAAGAGAGCATGGTGTGTGGCTAGAGGCAGCCAAACCTGCAGGATGGCCGAGATGTAGGTCTGTGGTTTCTGAGCGAAAGGGAATGTTAGATGAATGGGATTGAGATGCATGAACGACTGATTTGATAGAGGGGGATAGATGTATGAGAGGGAGAGAGAGATAGATAAAAGGGCAGGAAGCCATGAGGCGTAAAAGAAGAAAAGAACTACAAGGAATATTTTAAAAAAGAGTGAATAAATCAGAGAGACACGAAAAATCTTTTATTTTGCCCACCACGACACCACATATATATATATATATACATATATATATTTCGAAGATATGTGAAGTCCGCGTGTTGGACTATGCCCTGGTACCCTCTGTACAGATGAGGCCTTTGCCCGGCAGTGGGACATTTATGGGCTGTCTGACTATAGGTTTTTCTTTACCTTCTCCCTCTTCTGCTCCTTGGTCAGGGCCCTGGCTTTGTTCGCCTCCAGGTGGGTCTTCTGCCGCTTGGCGATCTGCTCGCGGACCTTGGCCTCTATCGCGGTCGGGTCCTGCACGGCCTCAGTGCCGAGAGCGCGCATCAGGTTCGATATCCTGGCGAGGGGCTCCACCATTATACCCTTAAATATAGCCCCCTCTGAAGGATCTGCCACGACCCAAAGACTTGCGTAAATGCCACTACTATATACCCTGGTACTCACATAAGGGGACTTAAAATAATAAATATATCGGACACATATTTTTACACAACGTTCTCTAGTCCCAAACTAAGAAACGCTTGTACTATGGGTACTAGAAAACTGATAAACCTACTTAAACATACTTTTCTTTTGTAAATAAATACATATTATACATATATAAACACCCAGACACTGGAAAAACACGCTATTTTTCCAGTAGTGGGGATCGAACCCACACTCTCTGGCGCAGGAGGCAGGGTCACTACTCCCCACGACAATCGGGTCGTCGTTAAAAAGTTGTGTCGTTAAATGTTACGACTTGTGAAGTTTTCCCTTTAGGTTTTACGAAAGCTTAGTACTTTTTTTTTTCTAAAAGCGAAACTCTTCCATCGCCTGAAATTTCTTAGTCCGTCTATCGCATGTCGCATTACAGTCGCCCAAGGAGTGGGGGTAAATTGAAAGGCTCCCCTCAGAGCAGCCGAGGGTGATGTGGAGGCGCCCATGGCTAGCATCAGCTAACCGCATAGCGTTTGAATTATTATTTTATAATTAATATTTATCTGAAAAATTTCAGTGAAATGCCTACGATCCGAAAATAATTTTCACCGTGGTTCATTGGACCACAAAATGTTTACTTTTCGACTGTGTGACGAAGCAGCATCCACTGTCGCACCAATGTGCAGAACTTTCCGAGCAAGTGGCAAGACCTAACACCTGAGCGAGGTAGCCGGTGCCCGCTTCTCTGAAACGTGGCAACGCACCAGCAGCCCTACGGACGCTGCTAATGTCAGCTTGTCCGCCACTTTCTACCATTAAGAAAGTATACGCACCTAAGCTTCGGTTCCGGCGGGGCCTCCAGGCCGAGGCGGACCTTCTCCTGCTCCTCCTTCCAGGCCTCGCGCCGGCTCTGGCGGCGGAGCTTCTTCCTCTCCTTCTTCGTCAGGAACACGGGCATGTACGTCGGCTTGAGGGGCTCGGCTGTGGAATATATATATTTTTTAGTTAGAACGTATCCTTTTTTTTATATGTCAAAGAGGCAAACGAGCTGGCGGTTCACCTGATGCTGAGTGATAACCGCCGCCCATGGATATTTGCAACACACGTGTGGTTCCAGATGCGTTGCCACCTTTTGATAAAGTGGGCCCCGGCTACCTCACTCGCCAGACGAAACGCAGAAGTGTAACACTTCCACTTTACGCCGGTCTTCTGTGAGGTCGTGGCACTAACCCGGACGGACCTGCCCATTCGTGCAACAGCCGAGGCTGCTGCGTGGCCCTACCGCCGTGTAAAATATTAAATGTACTAATGTACACATATAGTACAATACATAATGTATTAATGTACAAACAATATTAAAATTTTTAGAATTATTACATTAAATACAAGTATATATTATATATAATATACATAATCCAGTTTTGTATTCTGAAATTAAGGACCATGATGAAAATGTAACGCCGCGTCAAGGTCACGCCGCTTTTCAATTAATAGATCGCTCCTTTGAGGAAAAAATAAATACACACGATATCTTACTACACCCCCCCCCCCACCCCACCCCCTCTCCGAGCCTCACGTGATTAATGGACGGCCCCTAAGATGAAACATTAACATTGCACAAATTTTTTCGCTGCCGCGGGATTCTGACATTCAGGCATAAAGACAGATATACATAAAAATGTATATATAAATTATAGCATATGCCTTATTCCGATATATAAGCCATATTAGTGTAAAGTTTCATTAAAATCCATTCAGTTGTATTTGCCGTAATAGTAGTAATAGTTGTAATAATGTCGAGATTAGCACTACAAAAACTTAATATAACTACTATAGGTGGAAACTTGTAATTGGCACTTTATATATGTTACAGTATTGTTTTAAAATAAGTACTTTAAACTAGATGTAAGTTTGCTAATAAAAAAAAATTGGAGTTTTTTTCGAACCTGCGAGCGAGTAAAGTCACCAAAAATAGCCATAGCCATCATCGCGACATCCAAATAAACGGAAACGTATATATGACCACATTGAGCGTTCACAGAACCGATAGCGAGGCGGAAATTTGCGGAATTATATGTATATAGCAGCCGTGCTACTGTCTGCGTGACATACGCAACGATGAATATGACCAAATTATTATTAGTACCTGGAGGAGCGACCTTTTATCGTTTTTTTTTTAAATCATGTATTTAATGAATAAAAAAAAAAAAAAGAAAGCAATGATGTGGTATAGAAAAAACGTAAAAAAAAATAAGTGTGTAAATGATCTTTATACGAACCGCGGCCGTCTGTTTCGGAGCCGCCCGATTACCGATCGAGGTATAATAACATTTTTTTTGCGACGAAATTTATCGTCATATTCGAATGATACTTTTCATTCCCTGAAAACGGGATAAGATTTCATAGTTTTAAGATCTGTTAGTTGGTTTGTAAGATATTTGTGAAAGCTGACGGTATCGCCATCTACCTTTTTGTTTGCCAACCTTTTTGAATAAGTGGGCCCCGGCTACCTCACTCACCAGACGAAACGCAGAATTATAACGCTTTCACTTAAAACCGGTCTTCTGTCAGGTCGTGGTACTTACTCGGACGGACCTGCCCATCCTGGCAACGGAAGCAACATGAGAGTGGCCCTACCACATTTATGGTGACCTTCAATATTGTGAAATTTCGTTGAACAGTATAAGCTGCATACTTGTTCACGTTATGACGTCATTATGGCAACTATTGCTTGTCATTTGTTGTTGCGCCTTTTGTCTCTGAACACCTCGTAAGTGCTTTATAGCCCAAAGAAGTTAACAATTCGTCTGTTCCATTAAATTAATTACCCACCCGAATTTGTTTGGTAGAACATTAAAACCTATTTTCTATAATTTGTCTCAAAATATTCCTTAACTTAGTATGAATGTAACCCTGGATTTAAATTGCCAATATTCCTAGCAGATTATGCATTTGGTAATTCAAGAAAGAATTACAAAATCCTTATCCGAAGTAGACATTACAAAACTTGTTTTGTTTATGCATACTCGACTGCACCCGAAATATAATGGCGAGTGGAGACGCGCGTCGTCGCTAGTTGAGCGTCGAGACCGGTTTATCTGAAACCATTCGTTGCCAAACAACGTCGCGGGACGCGTCGACATTTAAAAGGGACATTCGACACGAGTTATGTTTCTGGCCCTGATTTTGTTGGCCGCCATTGTCCACATTGGCGGGAAACTGGGCAACTACGACATCAAAAACCACCCCTTGGACATAAGGGTGAGGAGGGACGTGCGCACTTTGACAGACGAATATGTTAGGAAAGCTCTAGAAGAAATGGAGGCGACAAGGAACCTAACCAAACTTCAAGGAGACCTCACAGACGAGAAGGGAGAAAGTACCATTGTCAGAGACGGCATCGAGAGTAATACAGTAGAGTGGAGCCCGTTTGTGAGCGAAGAGAAAGAGAAATCAACAGAAGCGGATGCAGAAATCGAAACAGTCGAAGAACATAAACAGGAAAAGGAAGTAAATCAAGAAGACAGTGGTTTGATCAGTCTTATTTATCGTTACGTGAAAGAGAAGAGGTTTCCATCGAATTTACGGGCAATCGAGACACCTAAAGTGACTTTACCAAGAGTGAAGAGGAACCTAGACAATAGAAATTACTACGACAACTACTACAACAACCAACAATCAATCTCGCGGCAAAATCTCACCAACCATACCAGGTCCAACGGTCCGACGTATACCGGGTACGGCGCGTACACAGGAAACAACGGTACCAACATAATGAGCCTCTACTCGCGGCCGCCGTACCAATACAACACGAATACCAACAACCGGGCATCGTGGTATGATCGAACCGGAAACTTTCCGAGAGCACCCGACAACACGTACCCTAGCAACGGCTTCAACCCCAACACCGGTTACAGCACCCGAGCGCGGCCAATTTATCGAACAAACCCCATATCCTACAACAGACCTTATCAAACTGGACCTTACGATAACAACTTCAATGACAAAGCTGACCAGTTCGGCGATACCAATGCCCTTGGCAACACTGCCTACAGTTCGTACAACGGTCAGCCGGTGTCGCCAGCATACGCGCCAGCTTTCACCACTGGGTACGCTCCCCCCACCACCACCACGGAGAACCCCACCAGCCCCATAATCGTGGAGAGCTGCTTCATGTGCGTATCCATGGGGTGTCCGGCGTTCTTCAAGAAGATCGGATTCCTCTGTGTGCCCGTGAAGCAGACGTAGTGGGTCAAAGTGCTAGTGGGGTGCGGTAGTGCGTTGGGGAGAGAGAGACGGCAGATGTAGAACGAGACGGAACATTCAGTAAGCAGTAATAGATGTATCAGTTGATAATTTAGCAATTCCGATTCCGTTAGAACTAGTAATAAGAAGTATACATGTAAATCCCGTTTAAAAGGCTGAACAAATATTACATCGGATAGTTTGTGACTTTTTATAAGACAAAAATACGGAAGAATTTTTTTTAATGTACAATAATTATGGAGATTGTAATAGAATTAGATGTGTCGAATTTGTAATAAAAGTGTTGTGCCCTTGACTTGTCCTTTCTTCGATTAGAACTCAATTGATACTGCAAGAGATACTGAAAAGGGGTCAGGGGGGTGAGCGGGATCCAAATTAACGAAAACTTTAACATCACTACATAGTATAAATCAAAGTCGCCCCGCTGTCTGTCTGTCCCTATGTATGCTTAGATTTTTTTTATTTTGTTTTATGTGAAAAGTTGCCAAGCGAGCAGGCGGTTCACCTGATGTTAAGTGAATACCGCCGCCCATGGACATCTGCCACACCCGAGGGTTGCAGATGCGTTGACAACCTTTTGAAGATTGGGCTCCGGCCACCTCACTCACCAGACGAAACGCGAAAGTATTTATTATACTTCCACTTTACGCCGGTTCTGTGAGGTCGTGGTACTCACCCGGACGAGCCTGCCCATTCGTGCAACAGCCGAGGCTGCTGCGTGGCCCTACCACAGTTAAAGAGATCTTTAAAACTGCGCAACGGATCATGATGCGTTTTTCTTTTATTAAATAGAGTGATTCAAGAGGAAGGTTTATATAAAAAGCACCCGCACGAAGCCGGGGCGGATCGCTAGTTTTTCCACAATATCGTTTTTTTTTTTTTTTTTCAGTTTTATCAAAAACTTTAGCGAGCACAATCAGAACACCGGATCGGATGGCAAACAAACACATCTCGACACTGGTAGTTGTTGTAAGTACGTTTGGTACGTTCGAATGTTCGGTACGTATCGGCCATTCGACGGACGCCATATCGAGCGACGTCCCGTTTCCGCGAACGAAATTTCGGAGATAAGTATTAGTTGCAGTTCCCATGAAGCTGCCTATGTCTTTTTGAAAAAAAAACCAAGAAAAAATAAATTCTATGGGGGGGGGGGGGGGGGGGGGGTTATTGGAAAAGGGCTCTTGGAAATGGGGTAGGGTGAAAAGGGGGGAAGAAAGGGAGGTGGAAAGGTGCTGCGGAAAGGGAGGCGGGGGGGGGGGGGGAGGTTGCTTCATGAAACTCACTTGGCGGCCTCAGCTGCTGCGGGTGCTCCACCAGGTTTGTGATGGCGTCCTCGTTCAGGTTGTTCACGATGTCGTCCTTGCCCACGTTGCAAGCGTCCACGTCGGCCGCCCCCCCTCCCCTGCCCCGGCCGCCCTCCCTCTCCTCGGGGGTCAGCAGGATCACGCTGTCCCACCTGCGCGAGTTGCCGTACGTCGGGGATCTCTATTGGAGTCTTTTTTTAAACAGACTCCGCGGCGCAGTTGCCGAGGTGAAGTCGTGGGTTCGATCCCCACGCGGGACAGCTATTTCTGTGACCCCATGGATAACTGTTTCGGATCCGGGTGTCTGTCCATGTGAAATCTGTGCGTAAAACGTCTTTACGACGCACGATGTGTGTTATCCTTGAGAGAGAGCAACGCTTTTTAGGATAATCAAAAAATCAATTGCAATAGTCGATTGCAATTGATTTTGTACGTGTAATTGATAGTATGTGTAATTGATAGTATAATAGTTTCGCGTTTAGTCTGGTGAGTGAGGTAGCCGGAGCCCCATTTTCAAAAGGTTGTCAACGCATCTGCAACCCTCGGGTGTAGCAGACGTCCATGGGCGGTATTCACTTAACATCAGGTAAACCCGCTCGCTTGGCAACTTGTCACATAAAAAAATTTATTGTTACACAATTAAGACGACGAGGATGACGAATTAAGACCACACTTTTACTGCGGTAGGACCAAGCAACAGTCCTCGCTGTTGCACGTATGGGCAGGTCCGTTCGGGTAAGTACGACGACGTCACCAGAAGACCGGCGTTAGGTGGAAGTATAACATTTTTGCATTACGTCCGGTGAGTGAGGTAGCCGGGGCCCACTTTATAAAGAGGTGTTGTAAACGTCAATGGGCGGCGTTCAACACTTAGCATCAGGTGAACCGCCAGCTAGTTTGCCACCTTCCCACTTAAAAAAAAATAGAGGAATCCCTCACCACTCGATGTCCGGAACGCGATCGCTGTCCGGCGCGTCTGCCGCCAGCAGGGCGAGCTTGGTGGCGGACGAGATGCCCGTCTTGCGCGCGATCTGGCTTATCTCGTTCTGAAGCTTCTCCAGTTGCGCCTACACCAGAAAAGGAGGCCCCCCAAAGACACGCCCCCATTATAAAAGTAAAGTAACAGCCTATACTTGTATCAATGCTGGGCAAAATGGGCAAAACTGCACAGAGGTTAAGTAGAGTAACGGAGTAGGTTTATCCAACTGTTGGGCAAAATGGGCAAAACTGTATGTACGGAGTACGGGCGGTAAGTAAAGTAACGGCCGATATATGTACCACTGCTGGGCTAAATGGGCAAAACCCACCATACGGACGGTAAGTAAAATAAGAAGATAATTTAAGTAACGGCTTACAATTAATGTTTCATCGTAAGTGCAGAGATTGGCAATATATGTATAGGTGACGACAATATAAAGGTTAACGGTGTGTAGCTGGGATAGCTTCGTGTAGGTCCGCTATCCTTTAATTGAATATACTCGAGCAATCCGATCGTTCGATCCCCGGTGCAATTACCGATGAAATTATTAATTCTAAGTGCTGGATTATCACGTGCTCAGCGGTGAAGGAAAACATTCACATTTTCAAAGTAATAATTACAAATTAAATGTTTTGTGGTGGACTATGCAAACGCACTATTAAACAACACTACACAACAAACTAAAAACGTCTCTTTAATTGTAAACAAGTACAGAGATTAGCACTATAGAAACGTCCCTTTAATTGTAAACAAGTGCAGAGATTAGCACTATAAAAACCTCCGTTTAATTGTAAACAAGTGCAGAGATCAGCACTATAGAAACGTCCCTTTAATTGTAAACAAGTGCAGAGATCAGCACTATAGAAACGTCCCTTTAATTGTAAACAAGTGCAGAGATCAGCACTATAGAAACGTCCCTTTAATTGTAAACAAGTGCAGAGATTAGCACTATAAAAACGTCCCTTTAATTGTAAACAAGTGCAGAGATCAGCACTATAGAAACGTCCCTTTAATTGTAAACAAGTGAAGAGATTACTATAATATTGCACTATAAAGAAGTCCCGAGGTAGAGTTAGTCGTGAAGGCGCGGATGATCCCCCGTAGCACGTACCTTCATGCGCAGCCGCTCCGCCAGCTGGCGGAACTTGCCCGGCTCGTGGAACCGCAGGGGCCGCCTCGCCCTCTGCGGGGGCCGCGTCTGCACGCGCTCGTCCTGCCACGGCGCCGAGGCGGGGGCCACCGCGCCGCCCACGGACGCCGCGCCGCCCGCCATCTGAGCGCGGAACTCCTCGCGGCGCAGCGCGCGGATGTTCGCCTGCGGGCGGGGCGCGGATGTTCGATTATCCGCGCGGGTGTGGGGCGGATGGTCGATTGTCCGCGCGGGTGTGGGGCGGATGGTCGATTGCGCGGGTGTGGGGCGGATGGTCGATTGCGCGGGTGTGGGGCGGATGGTCGATTGTCCGCGCGGGTTTGGGGCGGATGGTCGATGATCCAAGCGGGCATGGGGCGGATGGTCGATATTCCGCGCGGGTATGGGGCGGATGGTCGATGATCCACGCGGATGTGCGGCGGATGCACGTGGATCCGCGACGGTTCTCGGCGATTCGTCGGATGGGACATGGATTCTCGAGGGTCCGAGGGCGTTTTTTAACGAATTAAGAATTCACTGTGATATTTGTTTATTTAATTTAGAATCCACTACGATATTTGTTTATTTATTCCTTATTCCGGATGATCGAGAATCCACGGAGATCCGAGCGGATAAGCGCGGATCCACGGCAATTTTCGGCGATTCATCGGAACCCACATAGATTCTCGACAATCCGAAGACGTTTTTGGTGTTTCATTGGGATCCATTGGGATTACTGGGATTTCCCTATGAATTCTAACGGATACGAGGTCGCTTTTGTCGTTTTTTAATAATCTCCTGGGATGTTCGAGGATCCTTAGAAACCTAACGGACTCTTTCAAAATTGATACGATTCAGTGGGAATCATTGGAAAACTGTAGGGAACTACAGAGGCGCTCGCGGTTACGAGCATTAGGTCAGAAAACTCAGTGTCGGTTAAAATATAAAACACGTCCATTGACCACTGTCCCACAAGTTTCAAGTATCCCCAGGTGACACGACCACCGGCGCCGAAGGTAATACCTTGGCAACTGCGTCCCGGAGTCATCTACAGCTGATGATGGTCTGGAACCGCCAGGAGTGTTTTTGGCGTGGCTCGCTCACCTTGAGGGTTGGAGCGACGTGGGTGAGTGTGACCCTTTTGCCGCTGGTGTCTACCGTCCGCCCTTCGCGGTCCAGGATCAGGGGCGCGGGACCACCCTCAGCTGCAGCCAAAGCGCCACCTGCGAGAATTTCATACTTTTTAGGGTTCCGCACCCAAAGGGTAGAACGGACCTTATTACTAAGTCTCCGCTGTCAGACTTTCCATCTCTCACCAGGCTGTATCTCATGAACCATGATAGTTATTTAGTTGAAATATCTTTAAGTGGTGTCCCATACATGAATTTTTTGCCATTTTTATAGATGGAACCTTTCGTGCGCGAGTCCACTCACACTTGGCTGGTTTTATTATTACACTTTAGTAGGTTATACTAGCTGGTGCCCGCGACTTTTCTGCGCAGGATTAGTACTTCGAGTATTTAGCTTATTCTATTCTCCAAGGTCCTATCTATCTCTATACCAAAATTCAACAAAATTGGTCGAGCGGTTTAAACGCGGAAGCGTAACCGACAGACAGAGTTACCTTGAGAGACCTCTGTATCTTAATAGATTTATACCCTATGTGTTATTCTGATGTATAAGCTATATTATTGTGAAGTTTCATTAAAATCCGTTTAGCAGTTTTTGCGTGAAAGGAAGGAGTAGGCTCCGTCCATTGAGGAAGGAGTAGGCTCTCCTCTTGTAGGTCCCCAAGTCTGTAACTAAGGTCCCTAATAAATCACTTATTTCTTTATTTGGCGCGGTTACAAAATTAAAATTATAAGTAAAGTAAAGTAACAGCCTATACATGTCCCACAGCTGGGCAAATGCCTCCTCTATATACAGATGGTATCAGGGCATAGTCCACCACGCGGCCCCACTGCGGATTGGCGGACTTCACATATCTTCGAAAAATATTTTTTTTTGTTATTATTTCGAAAATATGCAGGTTTTCTCACGATGTTTTCCTTCACCGCGGAGCACGTGATAAGTCAGCACTTAAAGTTAAAAACTTCATTGGTGCCGGCACCGGGGATCGAACTCAGGTTGCTCGAGTATATTGAATTAAAGGCGAGCGCCCGGACACTGAGCTATCACGGCTATAAACTATAACACAATATATAAATTTATAATACTAAGAAAATCATAACAGATCGACAAATATTACTAAACTTGTGTTACAATATTAACCAAGCGCAACATTTTCAATTGGAATGTGTTATTTTAATAATGTATGTAATAACTAATACTTACTAATCTTATATATAAAATTCTCGTGTCACAATGTTAGTTACCTTACTCCTCCGAAACGGCTTTACTGATTTTTACCAAATTTTATATGAATATTCAGTGGGTCTGAGAATCGGCTACTATATATTTTTCATACCTCCAAGTGATAAGGGTTGTTCACCCTTAACATTTTTTTTTAATTGTTGGACAAAATTATTTGTTTTTATTTTTTTATGATACAGCATACAAAAATACATACAATCGTAAATTTTCACCGCTCTACGCAGACGTAGTCGCGGGCAACAGCTAGTTTATTTATAATAAAGAAGCAGATCAATAATTTCGGAGACTTTATAGTTTTTAAAAATGATGCCAAGTTTTGATGAAGTATATCAATGCATCTACATAAAAGAAATTTACATCCGTTGGCAAAATTAGGTAGTTAGTTGATGAACATCAAATTCCCCCACCCGCTAGCTTCCTCTGTATCCTGGCCTGCAGTTCAGCGATCTTCCTCTGCTTCTCCAACTCCTCCTGGTTTAGTTGCGCGGCGGCTGTAACGGAATCGATGAGTTAGGATGCTAAAATTCCCAGATTCGAAGTAAGGTAGGCAGAGATGGTACAGTAACTACAATAAATAATAAATAAAATATTTTAGGGATCCAATTTTACACAACATTCTCTAGTACCAAACTAAGCAACGCTTGTACTATGGGTACTAGATTACTGATAAACTTACTTTAACAAACTTCTCTCTTTATAAATAAATACATATTATAAATATATAAACACCCAGACACTAAAAAAACACTATATTCATCAACACAACATTTTTCCACCAAAAACCTGAATGGTGCTGTGAGTAGTGCACCTGCCCCCTCCGTCAGAATGTGTGGGTTCGATCCCCACTACATGAAAAATGTATTGTGATGAACATAAATTTTTCCAATGTCTTGGTATTTATATATTTATAATATGTATTTATTTATAAAAGAAAAGTATGTTTAAGTAACATCAATTCTCTAGTACACAAGTGTACACAAGTGTTGATTAGTTTGGGATAGTAGGGAAATCTTATGTACAATTAGTGTGTCCTAAAATATTTATTTATTTTATAATTCATCCAACATAGGAGCACTACACTCACTTACTGTGTACTTTGTGGTACCTTACGAACCTATATATATATATTTTTTTTTTTATGTAAACTATGACTATACATAAGAAAGGGCAAGCATCTATTTTGATAAAGATATTTTTGATTTGATTTGATTTGATTTATTGGCAGTCAAAACATTACCACGGGTTCGGGAAAAAAAAGCCAACTGAACTGATGACAACACCCAATGATCAGCCTTTGGTACTCACAGGGCCTGGAGTACAGCACCGGTTTGATGACGCTCGGCGGCGGTATCGCGTTGTTCTGCTGCATCTGGGTCTTCAGGTGCTGGGCGGCAGCGGCGGCTGCGTTGACGCCAGGTCTCTGCTCGCCCCTCATCGCTATTAAGGCCCTCTTGCGCTCCTCGATCTCCTTCTGGGCGTTCGCCATCATCAGCTGGAAGCCAAGAGTTGGAGGATTAGATTGCTCCCGGTCTAACAGTGAAAATTTCTTTGTTCTAAAATCATGGCGATTAGCTTCCCTATTTTGCTCCCGGTCAAACGGTCGAAATTTCTATGTTCAAAAAACACGGTTGCGTCATCATCACCGAAAGGTTTCCATGAGCTGTTTTAAAAAAGGAATACTAATGCTACATAGTATAAAACAAATTCGTCCCGGTGTGTCTGTCCCTATTTATGCTTATATCTTCAAAACTACGCAACCTATCTTGATACAGTTTTTTTTAATAGATATTCAAGAGGAAGATTTGTATGTATAATACATTGCACCCGTGCGAAGCTGACCCGGGAAATGTTGTTTTGCCATATAAATTATTTGTAGGGTAGAAAAAAATAAAAATTAGTTATAAATGTATTCTCATACCTACAGAATCCGTACTAATATTACAAATGCGAAAGTAACTCTATGTGTCTGTCTCGCTTTCACGCCAAAACTACTGAACTGAATAAAATTAAATTTGGTATACAGATAGTCTAGAGCCTGAGAAAGGGCATAGGCTAATTTTTCATTGGATTTTTTGAAGATATTTATTTAAGGCCATTTTTTATGTTACTTCAACGCGAGCGAAGCCGCGGGCGAAATGCTAGTATACATATAAAATTTCATCAGAATCGGTCAAGCCGTTTCGGAGGCGTATAAACACTAAAAATGTGACAAGATTTTTTATATTAGATATTTGTAGTTATGGGTATGATATAAATAACCAAAAACCATGGTGTATTTATTACATATTCAACATTGCCCTAACTCTAGGATAACATTATCTTGTGTTGTAGGGATTTTTTAAAAACATAAATTTCACATGGCCTAACACCCAGATACGAAACATTTATCTGTGGGTCACACTAACAGTTGTCCTGTGTGAGAATCAAACCCATCATCCCCGATGACGAAGCCATTACCCTGGCAACTGCCTCATGGAGACCTTGTATTTGAAGTCATGAGCATATTGGTTAGAAGTGGAAATTGTATTGAGTATTGAGATTAGAACCTTTATCTTATCAGCGCTGAGGCCAGCCATCTTCGATCCAACAGTCTCACCGTCTGGCAGGACGGACGGCACATCCATCCCGTTGCCAAACTTCTTCTCTCTCTCCTCTTTCTCCTTCTCGCTTTTTGAATCGCGTTTCTCATCTCTCGACTCTTTCTCGTCGTGTCTCGACCTGGAAATGTATTACACAAGAAATTTATTATCGTTTTAGTGTAAGTATAACTAATCTAGAGCTGTGATAGGGCCACGCAAGTTTTCACTGTTGCATGAATGGTTCCGTCCGGGTAAGTACCTGACGAAAAACCGGCGTGAAATGGAAGTGTTACACTTCTGCGTTTCATCTGGTGAGTGAGGTAGCCAGTGCCCAATTTATTTAAAGGTGGCAACGCATTTGCAATCTTACGGGTGTTGAAAACGCCCATGGGTGGCGGTTATTACTTAAAATCAGGTCAACCTTCAGCTTGTTTGCCATTTCTCATCTGGTGAGTGAGGTAGCCAGTGCCCAATTTATTTAAAGGTGGCAAGGCATTTGCAATCTTACGGGTGTTAAAAATGCCCATGGGTTGCGGTTATTATTTAAAATCAGGTCAACCATCAGTCTGTGTTGTTTGTCATTTTTCAATATATGCAATAGCTATGAAAACTCTTTTATAAAATAGCCACACATCTTCACTTATGTAAATAATCAAACCCTCAAATAAAGATATACAGCGTGTCGTTACCATCGCGACAATAAATGAACACACGTCTAACGCTACTTGCCAATAATCATAAAAAAATATTAACGTTAAACAAAATCCATAATTAAAAAAAAAATATTTTTCAAACAAACTAATTAAGTAAAAAAGAAACAAAATTTGTAACATCCTATACAACTCGCGCCACAGCGTCGCATTACAAGCCTCTTTTAAATTCATTCAACCCATTCATATGCTTTGTGACCTTTACAAATGAACTTTACGTTACAGTTTTATATGTAAGGGTGTTCTAAAATTGTTTGTTTTGGAAAATTTAATAACTCGGTAAATATTGATGTTTGAAGAATGTAAATGTTTAATACAATTTTAAAAAGTTATCCTCTATATGTGTGTTCATTTATTGTCGCGGTGGTAACGACACGCTGTATAAATTATAGACGAATATTATAAATACTACTGCAATTAATAAAATTAGTCCCTACTCCTTTTTAGGGTTTGTACCCAAAGAGTAAGACCCTATTACTGAGACTCAGCTGTCTATCCGTCTGTCTGTCCGTCTGTCATTATCATTAGCCTGTATCACAGAACCGTAATAAACAGTCGAAATTTTGACAGATTATGTATTTCTGTTGCTACTATAAAGACAAATACTAAAAAACAGAATGGAAAAATATGTCAGTGGGGCTTCCATACAACAGAAATGAATTTTTGCCATTTTTATAGATAATGGTAAGGAACCCTTCATGCACAAGTCCAGAGATAGTAAGTAACAATGACCACCGCAACCTGGAAGATCTTTTGTAGACTTTCTCTTCGAAAACATTGCCTCTTTATAATAGGATAGCATTATTCTGTTATGTAATGATATATACATACATCAATTTTATTTGAACAAACATCCACATCTCAAAAAATTATCTATGATTCACACAAATAATTCTCTCATGTGTGACTCAAACGCACAACACCAGCACCGAAGACAATAAACTTGGAAAGTGCTCCACGGAGTCTACATACTTAACAGTAATAGGTCTTTGGTGATGGAAATATGGGCTTACTCTGTCAAAAATTATTACCACCTATCATTAATTGAACTGCGGATTGTTGATCAGATTCTCTTAAAAAGTCAGTCACCTCTTTGTGTCTCTATCCTTGTCACTGGAGGACTCATGTTTCCTCTTCTGTGATTTGGAACTGGACACTAGTTCCTGGGCTAGTGCAAGCACCTTGTCAGCTAATTTGCTCGCCTTCTTTGAGTCTATGTGAGAGGAGATCTTGTCTATGATCTTTCGTCGTTCATACCTGGAATGTATCATAAGTAAAATTAGTAAAGAACTTAAATAGCTTGTGTTAATATCATTACAGAAGTATTTTAACAAATAAAACACAGAAGTATAACATGTCCACTTCACACCAATGAGGTTGTGGTACTTCCCTGGCGGACCTGCCCATTTTTGCAACAGCGAGGACTATTGCATGGCCTTACCAAAGTTAATCCTTCTTTAAAATTAATAAGGTTAATTTAACATTATGTTCCATCATAAAAAAATAATGGACGATCTATAAATGAAACTTGAACATAGTAACTTATTTCATTGAAATTCTAAAACAACCAAATAATAAATTTTCATTATCTGTTTTTAAAGAAAACAACTGCCAATAATGAATGTAACGGATCTATTAAACCCAGTTTAAAATTAACATCTGATTTAAATGCATAGGATTAACACCAAGGTATTAATTAACCTTAAGTATAACACTTAAGCCATGATATTACTCTAAAAAACCTATAAATGTAAGTTACAATTTATCCTAATATTCAAGATTTATAAAAGCACAATGCTACACTGCCTACTTCTACAGCTAACATAAACAAGTTTGAAATAGGTCCTGATTGCAACAATATATGGTATATACATGATTTGAAAACCTTATGATCCTTAAAAGACAATGCGACAGTGCATAAAATGTAGAACATGCAATAGTAAAGACTGAATACCCAAAGATTATCCCATATATTATATCTTTATAGTAGTTTATTATTAAACTGGTATAAACCTCTATGCAACAACATACCCATTGGTTAAACAAGACGAAACTGTTGATAGTAAGGAACTGTCCGATTTTCCAATAGTCCTGTATATAGCGCGGTCCAGCGAAGACCGCAACTCTTCCACTTCACGCCTAGACAGCTGTAAAGCCATCCTATCTCTTTTTCAACGCAACTAGGTTTGTAACTCTAATTAATTTGAGGTTATATTTTAGTATTTCGACAAAAATTGAGGTCAAGGAATAACTACTTATTCAAAGACCGAAATTTAATACGGTACTAATATTTATCCATTTTAATTTTATTTTTTATAACTTGAATCTGTTTTGAAAATATTAGCTGTTTAATACGTTTGACATAAACAATAGACAAACAGTCAAACCAATAATTATCTGGGTTACTAGTAATTAAAGTGCACCCTTCCCTAAACAAAAGTATGAAAAACTGCTAACACTAGAATTTATCTAGAATTAGGGTTATATTTTTCAGTAATTACTGAATGCAAACTAATTTAAGTATTTATTTTACTATAAGAATACTTATATTATGTCTATAGAATACGTTTAGTACTTTATTACTTCATTTATTATTGAGAATATTTATATTTGTATAAACACTACGAAATTTATGGTCAAACGTTCCAATTTAGCAATTTTGTAATCGCAGTTTATGATATTTAAAAATGTTATATTAAATGCATTCAAAACTATTTTAATAGAAACATTTGGACCATACATTTTCACGAATAATTATATTATTAAACTTCCTTTTACTTACCTTAGATTGGTCACGGTTATGCTGGATAAAATAAGAATATGGATGTAAAGGAACGTAGCATCAAGTTTGCTTTGCCTGTTGTTTGGTTACTATTTATCAACTGATTTAGTAAAAAATAAAAATAGTAGAAAATCGAAATAAATAAACGGAAATCTCATATATACGAACAATTTTAAAACACGAGTAAAAAAATCATTCTCTTTAAGTTTTTGTTTCCTTTGGTAAATAAAACAAACATAACCTCACAATGTCTGATGATGAAGAAGTTTTGGTGAAAAAGAGCAAACAGATACATTATGGGTCCCTGGAGGAGCAGGAGAAGGCCCGGCTTGCAGCACTCGCTGCAGCTGCCAAGGAAGGCGTTGAAGATACAAACGGGAAAGAGCTCGGTGATATACAGATATCCAATGGTAAGATTATCCATAAGTTAAAAAAAATAATAAGAAGAGGAACATTATAGGTAAATAAATTTTAATAATGTGAAGGTAGTACTTTAAAGTACTTGATATTTTATAGTATATTTATGTTTCTAATACTCTTTGGAGTTAGAATAGTATTAAAAAAATTATAAGAACAATGTTCTCCCGAAATTTTGCAAAACTTTACTGAACTTTTTAATGGAAAGTTTATGCACTGTTTGAATAATATAATTGCATTTGAAATAATTTAAAATCTTTTTAATGTCATAATTCACACAATTCATTTCTGTATATTTATCAGAATACATGGAGCTTGAAGAGGAGATGTCGAAAGACAAGAAAGCATTGCTTGAAGAGTTTGAGAGGAGAAGGAAGGCTCGCCAACTCAATGTGTCCACAGATGATGATGAGGTATTACGTTTATTATTGTAATTGATCGAGATACCATTTAAATTACATATCAATGAGCCAATTCTAGATATATATTTCTTCACGAGTGTTTTTTACTTGTCACCATAAGATTAAAATACTTGTAATGTTCTGCTGAGTTCAGTTAAATTAAAAGCCATTCCGTTATCTCATCATAGGTACGGAGAAGTTTGCGTCAGCTCGGGGAGCCAGTGTGTCTGTTTGGCGAGGGCCCAGCCGAGAGGAGGGTGAGACTGAGGGACCTGCTCAGCTAGTAAGTTGCACCAAGAAAAAATAAAAACTATGTAGATAAGTCGAAGAGAAGGCATCATTGACTGCAACAGTTGGAAAGACCTGGAAACTTTAGCCATAAATTTTATATAAATTTTATATGTATATTAAGTAGGTCTGACAATAGGTATATGGCTTAATTTTATTTTTTTATTTTTATTTTCCACCCTACAAATAATTTATATGGCAAAACAATGTTTGCCGGTCAGCTAATGTGCGAAACAAGACACTGCTTTGCATAATGCATCCATCCTTTCAGCCTTGGTGAAGACGCCATCCACAAGAAGCTTGAAGAGGAGGAGGCGAGGATAGAGAGGGACAGGGGACGGGAGGGCACCTGGTACCACGAGGGTCCACCGCAACTGCGAGAGGCCAGGCTGTGGATTGCCAGATACTCTCTGCCCAGGGCAAAGCTGAGGTGAGCTTTGATTGTCTACAGAAGTACAGTCTAAACACGCAACAGTGTCCAACGAGAGGAAGTACCACGACCTCACAGAAGACCGGCGTGAAATGGAAGTATTATGCTACGGCGACTTGTAGCCGACTCGTAGCCGTCTAAACAACACACGATAGCATTATCCTGTGTCGTAAGGACGTTTAACAAACATTAATTTCACGAGGACAAACACCCGGAGCCGAAACAACTATATGTGTATCGCATAAATAGTGTGTCCCGTGAAGCCAACACCTCGGCAACTGCGCCATGGAGCCATCAAAAAGCGGTGTAAATCAAGTACGTCATTCGAAATTGCCCAGACGGGGTGTGGACATTCGAAGAGACAACCCCGTGATCTCGTTACAACTATTAAACATTGCACCAACAAAACCACTGGTATATCTAATGTCGTTAACTCATTTAATGACAGCGCTAGATAACGTAACTCTAGTCTGTTTCGGTGTCGGCGTGGCGTATGAGGGGGGGGAGCGTTAAACATAGCATCTCCGCCAGCCAAGAATAGAGGGGGGTAGGGGATTTAAAGATGCTCTGGCATCCCTCTCGGTGAAGGGGAGATGCTTTAAAGCTGACTTGGCACCTCCGCCAACCTATAATGGTGGAGGGGGAGGGGGGGTTCGAAGATTCCCCGGAACCTTGCACCTCCACCTGTTACCAGTCGCCCAGTTTCCGCACAGGTTGATGAGGGCTCGCGAGGACCTGAAGCTGGCGGGGAGCGTCCGCGCCGCCGCCCGCCAGGAGTCGCAGCGGCGCGCCTCCGCCGCCTCCATTTACTGCAGCCAGGTAGGTTGTTCATGTTCCATACGGAGCTAGACGAGCAAGCGTTTTAAACGCCATAGTTCGTCCTCGCCCTCGAGCGCGGCGGAACAAACAACGCGTACACTAGGTACACTCGCGCTCCATGGCGGCTCTCACCGCCCCCGGCCACCGACTAAATAAGCACAGTTAACGGCCATCGGGGTCACGGTCCGCACCGAACTTCGATGGCCCGTAGGCGACATGTCATAATTAACGCACGCATGAGTACATGTACATGCGCGGCCCTACCCATTGAGGAGGGCCTCAAACCCGTGGATTCTGGCTGGCTAGCCCACCGGTTCTGCGTTCGGTGAAGCTTTAATAGTCTAATGACTGAGAGCGTAACATCGGTTATACAAAAAAAAACCCAAAAAAAAAACGCGTATTTTTTTTTTTCACTGCAGATCTGTCCGAGGAATTGCCACGACAGGACCGTTGTGAAGTAGAAGTGTAACACTTCTGCGTTTCGTCTGATGAGTGAGCTAGCCGGGGCCCGCTCTTTTAAAAGGTTGCGACGCGTCTGCAACCCTACGGATGCTGCAAATGTCAATGGTGCGGCGGTTGGCCCTTGGCCAGCCCGCTTGCCACATTCTCGAGTAAACAAAATAAAAAAACGGGTCACCTGATGGTAAGCGATCACCGCCGCCCATGGGCCTGCAACATCGGTTGAGCAATTGCGTTCTTTAAAGTAAGAGTAGACTCTCCTCTTTAAGGTCCCTAATTCTTACCGATCCCGGAATACCGTTGGCGACAACCTGGTCCAACAAAATAGCTGTGCGGGGCAGATAAGTCGTAACGGTCCGGAAACACTGTCGACAACTCGTACCACAAAATGCACAGTGGTGGACCGCCAAGGTGCCATGACGATCCAGGGCTGCTACACCCACTTCCTTGGATTAAGCCTCGAAGTGGAGATCCTTATTACCGACCATTTGGGTGAAGTGATAGGAAAAGAAACAATTTTTACACTAACGACCAATGTTTTAATAAAGATGACACATGTCCGGCGCGGCGTTTAAAAATATTTCCGCTTTACATTATGATTATGTGTACATATATGATATGAGTGAGTGTAACAGATGATATAGAAGGTGTGATACGCAAAGAGAGAGCAGTCTATGGAGTTGCATCAATTGGAATAATTTGAGTGCCTCACCTTCGGTGTGGTCTTCCAGATCGGAGACACTAGGCCCATCAGTTTCTGCCGCTTCAGCGGCGACAGCCAAATGCTCATCACGTCAAGCTGGTGAGTCCCACGCTTTATTTATGTCTCGTTTCATTCCCACATTTCCAAGATGACTCGCAGGACGCAGGTTTTATTCCCGCAGCACCGAAAACTTACTTTATTAAAGGGTGGCAACGCAACTACAACAACCCTACGGGTGTTGCAAATGTCCACGGGCGGCGGTTATCACTTACACAGGTGAACCGCCAGCTCATTTGCCACTATCCATACTGATATTATAAATACAAAAGTAACTCTGTCTGTCGGTCTCGCTTTCACTCCAAAACTACTGAACCGATTTAAATGAAATTTGGTAAACAGATAGTCTAGAGCCTGAGAAAGGTCATAGGCTCTTTTTTAATTGGAAAAAAGTGTTGTAAAGGGTTGTAAGATATTTAAGGGCTTCAACGCGAGCGAAGCCGCGGGCGAAAAGCTAGTCTAATATAAAAAACAAAAAAAACTACGCCTGTATAAAACTGATCATGAGTTATGTTAAAATTTAGTTAAAGTCAAATGTATTTGTATTTTGTATTTTGTTTGGATAGGGTTGAGTAGTAAGACCACTGTGACCTAGACGATCTATTGTAGTCTTCGAAAACATTGCCCCTTACTTTATGATAACATTGTCTTGGGTCGTAAGGACGATTATATACACAAATGTCACATGGACAAGAAACGGGATCCGAAACAATCTGTGGGTCACACAAATAGTTGTCTCGCGTGGGAATCGAACCCACGATCCCGCGGTGCCGAAGCCATAGGAAAACCTTGGCAACTGCACCACGGAGCCATCAAAAAACTAGTTTTACTTAATTACTTAAAAAGTGTAAATTACGTATAACTACCCTCATCTGTGTAAAAGTTTTGAGTACGGGCGAATTTTGGATTGGCCAGCCGTGGACCGTCCCTCGTTTTCTGGTGCTGTATTATGGGAACACCAGGTCGGGGCTGGTGAAGGTGTGGTCGGTGCCCGAGTGCCGGCTGCTGCAGACCCTCAGGGGGCACACGTGCAACGTCAGCGGCGCCGTCTTCCGCCCCGGGGCCACGCTGCCGCCCCACTTTCGGGAGAAGGTTGGTGACGTCATAGCCGGAATCATCATGCCATTTTATATCTGCAAATGCAACAGCTTCAGCTGTTGCAGGAACGGGCAGAGTCGGGGAAGAATAGATTAATAATATGTAAATATTTCAGGACACTTAACACAACGCTACCTAGTCCCAAACGAAACAAAGCTATGGAAACTAGGTAACTGATAAACATACTTTTTTCGTAAATTCATACATATTATAGTTTGTGTTTTTTTGTTTTATGTGAAAGTTGCCAAGCAAGCAGACGGTTCACCTGATTTTAAGTGAATACCGCCGCCCATGGACATCTGTTACACCAGACCCGTCGAGGGAAGTACAGCAGACCGGCGTGAAGTGCAAGTATAGACACTCTCGTTGCTTCCGTTGCGTGAGGTATCCTGGGATTACTCTTTTAAAGGTCGACAACGCACTGCAGCTTCATTTGTATGTGAACTGAATTTTCTTTTAGGCGAAATAATGGTTCGTTGAGAGGAGATGATTTTTGATCGTCACTAGCAAATGTCCTCTTCCAGATCAGTCAAGCGGATGATAGAATGGAGGGGGAGAAGGCGGAACTTGAGAATGGGGGGATGGAGACTGAAGGGGGCGGCGAGGGAGCGTCTGAGGAGTGCACAATGGCGTCTTGCGCTTACGACGGCAGCGTTCATCTGTGGAATTTCTCAAGGTACACTCATATCCCCTGTTCTATTCTTATCTTATGTAATAGAGAATATACACTATATTGCAATATTGTGCAATTCGAAGGTAGATTAATATATTTTCTACAAATTTAATGTTTCATCTTAAGTGCGGAGATAGGCACTATAAAAAATAAAATTTCTAACAGTAATTGTGACATCCCTTTTTCGAATTAACGTTGCGAAACGATTTTCTTTATGTGAAGAGCTTGCGTTCCACCTGATGTTAAGTGATATCTGCTGCCCATGGACATATACTACATCCATAGGGATACAGATGCGTTGCCACCACCAGACGTATAACCTATCTCCTTCATGCCAGTCTTCTATGAGGTCGCGGTATTTACCTGGACGGACCTGCACATTCGTGCAACTGAGAATACGGTTACATGGCCCTACCACAGTTATGCAGGGAAGCTTTTCTAAGTGTGTCCATTTTCATTTATTAAATTCTAGACATAAATAATGTTATATAAAAAATGATAAACGTTTAAAATCACTCGTAATTAATTAATTACATTCATTTAAACTTATATCAAAAAGCGCGTGATTTATGCGCAACACATTTATTTTACGCCCGATCATTCATAACTAACACGTACACAAGTTCGTTTTTAGGTAAGAGAATGGCAATTTTTTTGAAAAAAAAAGTTTCTTTTTATTTCAATAAACGATTAGTACTCGGAGGACCGAGCTTTGCTCGGTTTGTTTTTTTTTTTTTTTTTGGTAAATCGTGTATTTTGGAAATTACATTTAGATACAAATTATTGAGTAATGAAATATGCATAATATTTTTCGATCTTACCGACGTAATAATAAGAAAATACGAACTGATGTTTTTCACAAAAGAAAGAACTTTAAAAAAAAGGGAAAAACATAACAAAATAACAAATCGACAAAAAATTAAAAATAAAGAAAGCAATGATCTGGAATCGAAAAAAAGTAAAAAAGTAAATGTGTAAATGATCGTGACGCGAACCACGGCCGTCTGTTTTGGGGCTGCCCAATTACCGACCGAGCTATTATGACATTTTCTCTTGCGGCGAAATTTACCGTCATATTCGAATTATATTTTTCATTCCCTCAAAACAGGGATAAAAGGGCATTTTCTAAAAATGAAACCTAGCTAGATCCATTTTTCGCCCCCGAATCTTCGCACATACTAAATTTCATGAAAATCGCTGGAGCCGTTTCCGAGATTCCGATTATATATATATATATACGAGCAATTCTTGTATATATATATATATATATATATATATATATATATATATATATATATATATATATATATATATATATATATATATATATATATATATATATATATATATACAAGAATTGCTCGTTTAAAGGATAAGATACTACCGAGTCTGAACCTCCTGTGTAAATATGAGCACATCTCAAAAAGCCTCCCTGTATAGTATATGTATAAATACATACTATACTAGCTGCCCATACATTATTTTTTTTTCTACAGAATTAAAACTTTCCGTGGACCTTAAGAAACATGAAAAAAAAAATTTTGCCAAATTGGTCATGGTCGTGTTATGCGCTTACAACACACAACATTCATTTTCACGCGATTATCGAAGGAGCCCAAAGGGGGGTCGATGATTAACCGGGAGTGCCTGTTGCAGCGAGAATCCGCTGGCTTCCCTGCAGGGGCACTCGCCCTCCCGTGTAGCCCGCGTGGAGTTCCACCCGTCGGGCCGCTTCCTCGCCACCACGGTCTTCGACCACTCCTGGAGGCTCTGGGACCTGGAGACGAGTGAGTGGCCCCCCACCTCGACGCCCCATTTCCACATTCCCACGCTCTTGAACAGCAGCCACTTGTCGCACCGCCGGTCAAATGGCGCAGTGGGTGTTAGAGTGCAGCCCGCCTTGCGGATCGAAGGATTGGCCTGCTTAGTTTTTTCGTTGGGATTTGATGGTGCGTTGGGATTTGAACCCGGATTGTTCTGTCCAATTCCAATGCCCCAATATCAAACATTTCATTATATCTTTATTAAGGCCGGTACTTATATAAGAACTCAGGATTTTGAACATGATAATAGGGGCATGAATATAAGTTACCATGACATTGGGGTTACACTGAGCGGGCATCCGACCTCACACAATAGACAGGGATCCTATTTTATTTTTTGTGACAGTTCAAGCGATTACCTAATTTTAACATCATTTTAACATGAGGTGCTCGCTATAAAACAATAATAATTAATAACAATTAGTTATTAACTGAACACTCTAACGTCTACAACACCCTTTCTTGAGAAGCGTTTAAAAGAGTAAGCTCCGGATACCTCACCCACCGGACGAAACGCAGAAGTATATCACTTCTTCTTCAAACGCGCCTGCCCATACAGACCCTGCTGCGTACCGGTTGAGATTGATTACATTTTACTTCATCTCTGGTCCTCTTCTCTCAGTTTGTTAAGTATTGCAAAATCCGTCTCCTTTGTGTCTCCTGCAATCTCTTTTAATCTCGTTCTTTCTCACGATCCCGCCACCAGCAAACATCTTCACTATTCCTTCTGTCTCTTCTCTTTTGGACAGTCTTCCTCTTCTGCAATCTCTTCTGTTCTTCACCTTTCTCACGGTTCCGCCCGCAGCCACGGAGGTGCTGCATCAGGAAGGTCACGCGAAGCCGGTGTACAGCATAGCGTTCCAGGGCGACGGCTCGTTGGCGGTGACCGGGTAAGTTTGGGGCGATGGTGACCACCCCCTGCTACTTGTGTGAGTAGTCCTGGATGGTCTTCTGTGTGGTGGTGGCGAAGTCTCCGGCGTTATTTGCTGGTGATGGGAAGGCATGTCGACTCTATTGGTTTTACGATGTACGTCAAAAAATTAATGCCGTTCTCCACTAGAGGATCACTTGTTATAATGGAGTTTGTGAATGGACGTCAAAAATGCCATAAAATTTAGTAAAGTCAGTTGGGAATTGGATCTCTCCCCGTAACTGGGTTTCGCACTTATCTTACAACACATTCTATTGTCAGGAATGTTATTAATTGAGTACAATGTGTCGTGCTTTATTAATAAGATTAATAGAGAAAAGGTGAGAAAAAGAGAAGGGGTGAATGGCAGAGATGCTAAGAGAGAGAACTATAGAAACGCTCATAGATGACACAAGTAAGCAGATAAATATAAAAAAGGTGATAGACAAAACGAGTGAGGAATCTTCTCTTTCGTGCTCGTTTTGACTTTAGCGAAAAGACTTGGGTAAAGTAATAGGTAATTGCGATAAAGAGAGGAGCGGGCGATAAAGATACATAAAGTATAAATATAGAAGCAAATGTTGAATGAACGAGTAAGCAATGGTTGGCAGCTGGCTCGCTCACTAATAAGGATCATCAGTGGCGCGCAAGTAAGAAAGGGACAAATGGCGAGTGAAAGAGTAAGGGATGGTTGGCAACAGCCACGCTCTTCCAAATAGGATGTGTTTCTTCCGAATAGAAATGTGGTCCGCAAGTAAGAAAGGGACAGATGGTGAGTGAAGTGATGATAAATATAAAAAAAAGCGTAGCGTACTCGCTTTGTCTTTAGTTGGAAAGAAAGTTAGAAAAGAGTGGGATTAAGTAATAGGTAATTGCGATAAAGAGACGGTTGGCAGCTGTCACGCTCTCGTGAAAACAACTCTTTAGTGATCCGCAAGTAAGAAAGGGACATATAGTGAGTGAGCGAGCGAGACATCGTCATTCAGGGGCATGGACGCGTTCGGCCGAGTGTGGGACCTGCGGACGGGGCGCTGCGTGATGTTCCTGGAGGGGCACCTGGGGCCGGTGCTGGGGGCGGACTGGTCGCCGGCGGGGCACCGCCTCGCCACCGCCGCGGCGGACCACCAGGTCAGCTCGACACACGATAGACCGCCGCCAAGTCCCAATGCCAACCTGTCTCGCTTATTTGTAACTAGAGCTCTTGGACAATCTTTCCTTCCTTGCGTCCCCTTCCGCCAGAAGCTGTCAAAGCCGCCGTTCTAACAGCTAATTACGTGTTACAAAAAAAATCCCTGCTTTGCAACCGTCCCGATAATTTCTATCTGCAGTCCTCGGGCTTCTTCACTGTTATCTTTACTTGCTTTTTAACTGTCCGATAATTTCTAACAACAGTTCTCGGGCAATTCCTTGCTTTGTGAAAAGCTGTCGAGCGAGCGGGCAGTTCACCGGATGTTAAGCGATTACCGCCCACGGTCATCTACGATGCCTAGGGGTTAGCAGATGCGTTACCGACGTTTAAAGAAGCTGACGTCGGTAACCTAACATACCAGATAAAAAGAGAAAGCGTAACACTTACTTCAGAAAAGTACCAATGACTAAATTTCATTAAAATTTGTAGAAACCTATGACTACTGTGGTAGGGCCACGCAACCGTTTTACGCTGTTTCACCAATGGGCAGGTCCGACCGGGTTCTTCCCCCTGATAGCGAGACAGAGCGGCAGACATGGGGGGGGGGGGGTCGCGGGAGATTGCGTCCACGTGTTCCCGTGTCCCCGGCCGATGCGACAGAGACAGGTGCAACGTTGGTTTTTTAGTGGGTACACGTTTCCCATCGGTACTCCCACATACCCCTGCCACTCCCCCGATCCAGTGGTAGGGGATTTTTCCCACGAAAAAAAGAAAAAAAAGGTCCGACCCAGTACCACGGCCTCACAGAAGACCGGCGCGAAGCGGAAGTGTTGCATTCCTGCGTTTCGTCCGGTGAGTGAGGTGGCCGCGGCCCACTTTATTTAAAGGTGGCAACGTATCTGCAACCCCACCGGTTACAGTTGTCATTTGCTAGCGACCCGCGCCGGCTTAGCAATGCTGAATGTTTTTCTTCGACGTAGCATTAGATACCTCTGAAATCATCAGTGTTTCTCCACTAAATTATGCACGAATTACAACTCTCCTCTTGAATCACTCTATCAATTAAAGAAAACCGCATCCAAATCCGCGGTATTAAAGATCGAAGCACATGTTAGGGACTGACAGACAGCTCTCGCATAAAAGAAAACCTTTGCTTTTGGATTTGCGCAGGCCAAGATCTGGGACCTGAGGAAGCGGGCGCCCATATACACGATACCGGCGCACACGCATTTGGTCAGCGGTGAGTCACTCTTTTACCGGCCCACTGTTGGGCGCGGACGTCCCACTATGCGCGAGTAGTGGTGTTCAAAATCAAAATCAAAAATATATTTATTCAAATAGACGCTTGCGCGCTCTTATGAATCGTCAAATTTTACATCAAACATTATGTATATAGGTTCGTAAGGTACCACCGGTTCGGAAAGCGGTTTCTGTTGAGAAGAGACCGGCAAGAAACTCAACAGTTGCTCTTTTTCAAAAATATCAGGGTACAATATAATATACAGGTATAATAGTCTTATTCTAGCCTACGTGAGTATCAACAGTATTAACTCCACACATTGGCGTCGTCGAGATAATCCGAAATGGTATAATATTCTTTAATCATTAGTTGATTTTTAGATTGTTGTTAAAGTTTATAGAAAAAGTACGTGAAATGTTTCGCCGCTGTGCGAACCGAACCCACGTCTTCGGCGTTCGCGGCCTGACGCTCTAGCCACTGAGCTAAACGGCCGATTGCCACACCGACGAAAATCTTATCGTCTTTTAACTTTTACCATCCTTTTGGCAATTCAAATGACATTTGACAGCCGATTAGTTAACTTCTACGGTGATCAGTGATTCAGGAACCGGGCGTGAGTGTTATATTGACAATACTTAATACCAAAATAGACTACAATATAATAAAATAAACATACATAAACATAAATAAATATATAATAAATATTTTCTTTTTTTTTAGGACACATTTTTACACAACATTTTCTAGTCCCAAACTAAGCAACGCTTGTACTATGGGTACTAGAAAACTGATAAACATACTTACACATACTTTTCTTTTGTAAATAAATACACATTATAGATATGTAAACACCCAGACACTAGAAAAACACTATGCTCATCGCACAATATTTTTCCAGTAGTGGGGATCGAACCCACACCCTGTGGCGCAGGAGGCAGGTGCACTACCACCAACGCCATTCGGGTCGTCAAATATTCGTATTGTACATAAATATATAATATATAATAAGTATTCGTTCGCATATAAATATATAAATCCGCGTGTAGTTTTCACGGGGCGATTTCCAAAGCCTGGTCTGGCTTAGAGCTTGTGACTCCGCAGAGGTCCGGTACCAGCGCAGCCACGGCCACTATCTGCTGACCAGCTCGTACGACTGCAGCGCGCGCCTCTGGTCGGACCCCGCTTGGCACCCGCTCAGGACCCTCTCCGGCCACGACAACAAGGTGACACGGACCCTCAAATCTCAATCAATAAATACACTGAGGCCTTTCTAAGTGTATCCAATTTTTTTTTTATTAAAAAAAAAAATTAATCAATTGCACCCATTTGAACTTATCTCAAAAGGTGCGCGATTTATAACGCAACTCGTTTATTTTACGCGCGATCATTCACAACTAACACGCACACAAGTTCGTCTCAAAAGTATAGTAAGTAAGTAAGTAACAGCCTGTACATGTCCCACTGCTGGGCAAAGGCCTCCTCTATACAGAGGGTATCAGGGCATAGTCCACCACGCGGCCCCACTGCGGATTGGCGGACAACGTCGGTCAAAAGTATACGACGCATTTATGTATGACTACCGCATTGTCAACAAGTTCTGTTTTTTAGGGAACGGAATGGTGATTTTTATTTGAAAAAAAATAAGTTTGATTTTATTTCATTAAACGATCATTCTACCGAGTATGAACCACCTGTGTGAATTTGGGCACCTTTAGAAAAGCCACCCTGTATATAAATTATATTTTAGGGCTAATTTTAACGACAACAAGGTGACCTCAACACGGACCCTTAAATGCATAAATAAATATTTTTAGGGCACATTTTTACGACAAGGTGACCTCAAGACGCACCTATAAATGCAAACAAACGCTAAATGAATATTTCAGATCATTACCCACTGCGTTAAAAATAATCGTTTTAAGTAATAAAAACATTTTTTTTTCAAAAAGATTACCTCTCTATTCCCTAAAAAAACAGAACTTGTTGACAACGCAGTATTCATTCATAAATACCTAATTTTAATGTTCACGCACACAAACGAACTTGTGTGCGTGTTAGTTATGAATGGTCGCGCGTAAAATAAATTAGTTGCATACAAATCACGCACTTTTTGTGATAAGTTTAAATGAATGTAATTAATTACTTACGAGTGATTCTAAATATTTATCATTTTTTTTATAACTATTATTAATGTCTAGAATTTAATTAAAAAAAATAGATACACTTAGAAAAGCGTCCCTGTATATGAACTATGTGTTAGGCACACAAATAGTTGTCCCGTCTGGGAATCGAACCCACGGCCACCGACGCCGAAGCCGATACCTTGGCAATATATATTGGTTATATCGAAAACAAAGATGAGTTTATCTCAACAATTCCAGAACGATTAAAATTTTTGGACATCCTGACAGATTGGATTTTTTATCATTATGTTTTTTTTTCCTTTGTTTTCATCACAGAGTTTACATATTATTGTACAAGGGATGGTAGACATTTCCAAGTACTTGTACTCGGAATGTCTCTTGCGTTTAGTTCACGAGCAATAATTGACATTCTGACAGGTGATGAGCGCGGACATATCGATGGACAACAAGTACATAGCGACCTGCTCCCACGACCGCACCTTCAAGCTGTGGGCCCCCGACCTGGCTTAGCCCACGCCCAGCGATGGGGCACATTCAGACCGTCATTTGTAATAAAATCGATACGACAATATGTGTGGTCAATTTATTATGATTGTTTTTCTTTTATTTTAGAAGTTTTCAAGTTTTCCATGCTCATTTTATCACCATCATCATTTCGGCCTCCGAGTCCACTGCCTCCCCCATAAACTGCCACGAATTACGATCCTGAGCCACCTGCATCCATCGACTTCCCGCACACTGGCACAGGTCGTCACTCCATCTAGTGGGGGGTCGTCCCCCTGCGATGGCCAGTACTAGGCTGCCTCGTACTAAAAATCTCGAACCCACCCCTTGATAATACACACGGGTCAAATGAAACTAAATTGAACTTTTCATAAATTTATTACCAATAGAATCCGCCGCCGTAAGGTTACAACAATAGAAAACTTACAAAACTCCCGCCGATCGGACAACGCGCGGGGTAGCATCACTAATAACCAGTTCCTATATTCAACGAACGGCCTTTAGTTACGTGGCTTTGTAACTTTTATAACGACTCGTAGATAAAAGGCGTCTACGCCCGGTTCCTATATTAACAAAACGAGGAGTTTTCCTTACGAGAAGTTGCATTACCTACGGAAAGTGATTTACTAGTGTTCCTTTAATCTTCAAGTCGTTATGAAAGTTACGAAGTTATGTAACTAACTGCCGTTCGTTGAATATAGGAACCGGGCATAAATCATTAATATGGCTCACACTCCCACCCCTAGTGTGGCTCAAGTGTTCACGTCACGTGTTATAGGAGGCAAATTAATCGCAAAGCAACATATAGAGAAAGTTAACTGCTAGTAACACGCGAATGACTGTGGGAGGTAATAACAATACCCGTTAAAACATTAAATGCTCATTTGAAAAAAAATTGACTTGTTATAATTTTTTGAAATCTCAAAACATGAGAATAATTTTTGAATCAAAAATATCTATCACTATATCAGATTAAGAAGAAATCCTCTTTAAAAATCACAGACATATTTTTAAGTTTCCTAGAAAGAGTAATGAAGTCGACATGGCTGCGAATAGTTCGGTAAAAATGTCTATAAAATTGTCATTTTTTTTAATTTCCCTCCAATAACAATAAAAGGTTAACATCTATTTAAACTAATGAACTGGACTATTTATTCGACTATAACAACAAACGCATATATGAACAAATGTGATCTCAGTGCGTTTGTAGAGAATCTATATAATATAGTATATATATTTTATATAATCTACAGTATAAATAGGCTCTAAAGCAGGGCGAAGTCTAGAAAATTCTATAGAATCGAGACTTTGCCACGTGTTTTTCAAATAACAATTTCAAGTGCAATCATCGCATAAAACTATATGGTCTATGCCCCCGTTGACAATACGGCGGGAATTTTTAATCTATAATAAATTTTGAAGGCTCATTTTAAGGCTTTATTCCAATATTATTCTTAAACTTGTACATTAAAAATTTGTTCATTTTTTATTAATTATTTACACAAAAATCAACAAAAGTTAACCATTATATAACTATTTTTTTAATATAACCCAATTCCCAATAAAAAGAAAACATTAAAAAGTAGGTACTTATAAATATAATAAGTAACGATTAAAATAATAATATTGACTTACAAAAAATCTTTTAAAGATACATATTCATATTTAAAAAATAATATGACTTATATTATACTATTACATAAATGTATTTAATTAAACGACTTTATATAAAAAATATTTTTTTTTCATGAAGTTATTTAAACATGCTGTTCTAGACAGTTTAAGACGCAAACAGAGGTTTACGAAACTAAATACAATTTAAAATTATATATAAAATACAAAATATTTAAAGGAGACAGACATCAATAAAATCGTTTGGACTAAGCTCGTAGACTAACACGAATAGTAAATAAAGACAAAGCGATAACTTTCACACATAAGTTTAACACGATATTTATGACATATATTTTAATATATTCTATTGGTGTTACGTTAAAATATTTATCTTTGGCCGTATGCCTCATTAACAAATTAAATAAAAAAAAGTCAACCCTCTAGATATAATCTCAAAAATCATCGTATTCTTTTAATTAGTCTATTTAGGGAAACGGAATAAAATTTTAATTAAAAAGAACAATTTTACCCTAAACTTGAATAGGATCGCTAAAACGCTGGCATTAGGAATGGTTTATATCAATAAAATAACAATCGTGACGAAAAATGGCGGCGCTATAATAGAATCAGCTGAGTGGATGCCGCCATTTTGAAAAAAAAAACATACATCATCAATTCGTCTATTTAAAAAGATGCCTATAATAAACAAAAGCAAACATCGTTTGTTATCCTATCGGAAACACCGATTTTCCACCTAAAATGTTCATTGGACATGAGTTTGTATTTGCACGAGTAAACTGTAAACCTATCTAGGCGTCTAAATTGGGTATTTGTGACGATGTAAATTTATATAAACTAAACGTGTGAATAAAATTGTGTGCATCGTGCTTCCTTATAGCTAAGCATTTGATTTTATTCTACCCAGTCGTCACCGCCGAAGTCAACGGTCTCGGAGAACGAAGAAACTTGAACCTGAGAATTAGAGTGGAATATATTTTAATGATCTGTAACGGAATCTAAGAAATTTCTGATTTCTTCAAAAATATCGTCGTACCAGAGTTTATATATGACGTAAAGAGTACACATCACCTACAACCGGATAGTTTATTGTGGAACGTACAAATAACCAGTGAAGTTATTATAAGTAAGATCCACACATAGTCTTAAATAAGTTATTAAGATGCTAGGCGTGGAATTTAGTGCCAGATCATCACATTCTACCATCACCTTTCGATATCATTCTTCTATATCAATAATCTCACGATAAAATTGTCTTACGACCTTCCAGCGAGTTCCCTCCATGCGGTGTTTATCGCAGGAAAAAAAGGCCAATTTACTGCATTTCAATAACAGTGCTACCCTACCATAGTGTTGTAATCATTCAAACTATTTACCGTCCATGTCTAAATACCATCTGCTCCTACCCCTAAATCGTCACCCTTACCTCCTCCCTGGTGGGGCTGTCGCTGCTGAAGCCGCCACCCAGCGCGTAGCCAGCGAGGCCACCGGCCGCCAGGGCGCCCACTCCCAAGCCCACCGCTGCACCAGTTCCTAAGCCGCGGCGCTGCTGCTGCTGCTGGGTGACGTACGTCGTCTCATAACCCTGGGTGGGAGAGATATAGACTCATACCTTCAGCCCTGTAGTCCCGGGCTCATAGAATAGGGCTAAGGTATCCCCTGGCTGTCGTAAAAAGCGACTAAAAGGGGACACGGATGGGCAGCAGCACGAAGTGGTCTCGTGCTGCTGCAAGAGGGTGAGGGAATCGGAGAAGGTTTATCCTTCTCCGAGGCATGCTCAGGCGTAGTACCGAGGGACACCGGTGCGCTCCATGGGAGATCCCGGAGTCCCTCCAAATGTACGGAAGGTGGCCACCGAGATGGTTTTAGTGGGTAGGAAGCCCACATAACCCTGTCATGTAAGGTGACAGGGTATCTTTCGAAGATTTCCCCCCCGATAGCAAAAACCTTAGTACGTCCGTAAGTCGGAGGGGGTAGATAAGTTATATTGACTTGCATATGGTCTGATGTAGATAGAATAGCTTCCGTCGAAAGAGTTTGCCCTAGGAGAGATCGAGAGACCCCATCACGGTTAAAACTAACCAAATGGGGAAAGCAAATTATTAGCACCTTCTGCTGTTATAGGAATGGGCGGGCTTGTCCAGGAAACGAAGGCCACGGTACGTTGGCCTGACAGAGTACAGACGTGAAGTGAAAGATATATCTATTCCTCAGGTTATTGAGATGATCGTAGTCCACTTTTGCAATGGTTGACCACGTATCAGCCACCCTTCAAGTGTTGTTCACTCATGCAAATGTCCATGGGCGATGGTTATCACTTTACATCAGTTAGACCCAAGGGCGGATCCAGCTTTGGTGCCTGGAGGGGGTCACGTAGTCGTGATCAAGTGATAAGTTATAATTTTATAATCATAGATACAAGTAAAAAGTAGGTATTTTTAACCGACTTCAAAAAGAAGGAGGTTATCAATTCGGATGTTTATATTATTTTATGTAGATATGTTCGGGCATAACTTCGTCATGACGGATTTGCAAAACTCCTTTTTTGTTTGTTTTCAAAACATTTCGTTGCTTTTTATTATGATATATTATACAGGATGGCTTTTAAAAAGGTGCCCAAATTCACACAGGAGGTTCAGACCCGGTAGTATAATCGTTTATTGAATTAAAAACTTTTTTTTAAAAATGGCATTCTATTCCTTAAAAAACACAACTTGTTGACAATGCGGTAGTCATTCATAAATCCGTCGTATACTTTTGAAACGAACTTGTGTGCGTGTTAGTTATGAATGATCGCGCGTAAAATAAATGAGTTGCCCATATTCACGCACTTTCGGAGATAAGTTAAAATGAATGTAATTAATTAATTACGAGTGATTTTTAATATTTATCATTTGTTATATGACTTTATTTATGTCTAGAATTTAATAAAAAAAATACACCTAAAAAAGCCTCCCTGTATAGTATTTTTTTTTAAGTAGCTATTGGTAGGCTTACTTATTTTTGGAATTTCTTTTTATTTATTTCTTCTTTACCAGATTTTCTGTAGTCGTATTGGTTACAATATTTTCTATTCCTCTACTCCGCACGCTGGCTCCACTTCAATGACAAGTAGCCTAAGACGGGACTATCGGGACACTGTTTAATAATAATATATAATCAACCCAAATGAAAACTCCTAAAATAGCCGCACTCAAAATAAAATTACACCGTCTACGTTAAAAAAATGTTCATAAATAAAAAAAAATTATTCAGTCATTCATTTTTAGACAGAATCCTCATTCATAACAAACGGAACGAACAAACTTTATTTCCCAAAGATAGGGTCGCATACTCACGTCCATTAAACCACCACATCTCGCCACCCATCAAAAACGGTCCACCCATTAAGACGAATCAAACTCGACGCAGTTGTGTTCCTTAATTACTTAGTTCCTATGCCCACATTCCAGCTCTGTCATCATACCCTGGTTACCATCTAACACCAAAGAACTCGTTAAGACGAATCAAACGAGCCGAGACACAATAGGGTTGCGTCGTTTCTTTACTGAGTTCATGTGACGATCTTCCAGCTCCATCATCGAATGAGACCCTGGTAACCATCTAAAAATTAAGTACTCGCCAAGACGAATCAAACGAGCTGAAAGTGTGCAGAGTGCTCATAAGAACCTCACCAAGAATAGCCTCATAGACCTCACAAAAGATCGGCGAAAAGTACTTCTGCGTTTTCTCTGGTGAGTGAGGTAGCCGGAGCCCACTTGATTATAAGGATAAAACGCTTCTGCAACCCTATGCATATGTCCATGAACGGCTGAAGATGGAGCTCCATCATCAGATCCTGGTTACCAATGAAAGAGAAACTACTCGTCAATACGATTCAAATTTACCCAAACGCGATGAGGCTTTGTCATTTCATTTCGAAGTTCCATTGGCCTTCTTCCAGCTCCATCATCAGATCAGCAGCATGTCATAAAAATATTGCATTGTCTCGCGATTTACACATGTACACAAAATTTCAGCTCAACCGGTAACCGGGAAGTAGATCAAATTTAATTTGCAAGATTTGATGACAAACATTAAAATATTGCAACGTAATCGGTGTACATACATCGAAAAAAAAATATACCAATCGAATTGAGAAACACCTCCTTTTGAAGTCGGTTAAAAATATTATATTAATTTAATTAAATAGTGAAGGTAATTACATAAAATCTATATTGTGGAAAAAAATATATAAAAACATTATGTTTAACAATTTTAATTAGCGGTCCACCTAGGTCCTAGACCCAGCCCAGGATCCGCCCTTGGTTAGACCGCTTGCTCGCTTGGCAACTTTTTGAGAATGGAAGCGACTCGATTGAGCCCCGGGTTAGCCAATTGGTCGATGGATGGAAACTTAAACATTCTCTTACTCTTACCGGCTTGCTGTCCGAAATTTGTTTAGAGTATTCTGTGTACTCAAGAGTGAGAGGCACACGGTAATTCTTAAACAAGGACGTTTTGCGGATGGTTCCGTGAGACATAGAAATACTTTAATTCGACAAAGACGAAAACTCTAATACTTAGTATGCTTCGAGTTTGAATGAAACAAGCTTACAGTGGGACCTTGAGTCCGAGAGAGACTTTATTAGAGAGACAAGAGCTTTTACTCCACCCATCTTTTCTCTACCTTAATTCAACTTTATGCTTTACCAATAACGTAATGACCAATAATAAAATAATCGATTAAGCTTGGGTTAGCATTGCGAACCTCCGCTGTACTTCTATAGTCGTGGATAATGGAACAGATAGTTCGTTCTTGTTACGAACCGTTGAAATTATCACATACATACATAGCACGGCGGCAGAGCCACGCAGCGGCCTCGGCTGTTGCACGAATGGGCAGGCTCGTCCGGGTGAGTACCACGACCTCACAGAAAGAAGACCGGCGTAAAGTGGAAGTATAATACTTTCGCGTTTCGTCTGGTGAGTGAGGTGGCCGGAGCCCAATTTCCAAAAGGTTGTCAACGCATCTGCAAACCCTCGGGTGTAGCAGATGTCCATGGGCGGCGGTATTCACTTAACATCAGGTGAACCGCCTGCTCGCTTGGCAACTTTTCTCACCAAAAAACTTACCCCAGGTGTAAAACCTGAAACAAAGAAACACGAAATTAAATCCCTTAAGGTTAACAATACTTGCCAATAGAAAGTTTCGAAATCCGAATTCCAAGAAAACTAATGATTTTAACTGTGGTAGAGGCCACGCCGTTGCACGGATGGGCAGGAACAGCGTGAAGTGGAGCTATATACTTTAGCGTTCGTCTAGTGAGTGAGGTATCCCGGGCCTACTTTTTCGATGGTCGGCACCGCATCTAGAATCCGTCAGGTGTTGTGATGGGTGGTTATCACTGAAGCTCGCTTACAAACATGTAAAAGGTATAAAACATGGTTTTAATCTCCTACTAGATTTCTACTAGTGTAAGATTGGAAGCGAACAGACCGTTCAACATATCAAATCTTTAAAAGTTTACATTTTTCATTTTCCATTACCTCACCAATATTTTTTCCTCTAGTTCCAAACTAAGCAACGCTTGTACAATGGGTTCTAAATAACTGATAAACATACTTAAACATACTTTTCTTTTGTAAATAAATACATGTTATACATATATACACCCAGACACTAGAAACACTACGTTCATCACACAATATTTTTCCAGTAGCGGGGATCGAACCCACACCCTCTGGCGCAGAAGGTGCACTACCCACTACTCTATTCGGGTCTTCATTATAGGGTAGCTAGGGTGATTAACACTACGACGGTATTTAAAATTTTTTTTCGGCGAAAACTTAAAAGCCGCCGAGTGAGACATGTTCCGTGCTCGCTTTGTAGGTTTATTAATATATTATTGATGCAAAAGATGTCAGTTTCTGTTTCCCGCGCTTTTTTCCATCCGTTTATGCTTCTGTTTCGGCAAATTTCATTTCGGAAATTTAAACGGAATAAAAAAGCAATTGGAAGCAATGCTCCGAGCATTGCTTCCATTCCTTTCGTAAATTTTCTACAAATTTTAATGTTTGATCTTAAGTGCAGAGATTAGCACTGTAAAAAATTTAAATTTCTAAACGGAACATTACGAATATGGTGTCTAATGTACGAAGAACGCCGTAACAGAAAGCTGAGTATTAAAGCGTGTTCGGTTCTCTCTGTTGTAAATATACTAGTGATGATGACAAGTCCATTTCTGTTTCAGCAAATGAGTTTCCGCACGCTTTTTTCATCCGTTTCTGCGTCTGTTTCAACACTTATAATGTCAGCGGTTCACCTGGTATTAAGTAATAACCGCCGGTTGCAGATGTGTTGCCACCAAAGAGTACATTATTAATATAGAGTCATCAGTCTCCTCGTGAGACAGCGCCATCTCTTGATACGGGACCGAACTACAAGTTCAGATGTTTATAAACTATACTAATTAACCATTTTGTTTTACAGTTGAGGAGCTGTTTCAACTACAGTTTTCTATACAGTGTATATGAAATCTATTTTATTTATATTTGATAACATTGTATATAAAACTGTAATATGATACAAGCTCGCTAGATGTTATTTTTGGATAAAGTAAATAAAATACAGAAATATGTTTTGCGAACTCTTTCGTTTTTTATAACATTCACTCGCTAATTTTTTTTATAATCTTTGTTATGAATGATTTCGAGTCTGGTGCCGCTTAGTAAATTATTTACGTTAAATTATTTTTGGCTACACAAAATCAGTAAATTACCTCCAATCGATTGAATCCATTTATTAAACCAGTCACTAACATTTTCAGGTGAGAAAAAGAATGCAAATTTGCGGTGCAGTCTTTACCTGTAAATACAATATGAATGTTTTGCCGTAACGTATAACAAAATAAAATGATGAATAATGAAAGATAACCGAATAAAATAAATGAATAATAACCGGCCGCAGTTCAATGAAAAGTTCAAAAACCTAAAATCCACTGTTTTCAAAAAAAACTTCCTAAATGCACCAGTCACCTTTTTTTAAATTATCTAACAAGCTAGAATAACTATGGGAAAATTTAACTATCTGGGTAATCAAAACTGTTTTATTTAAAAATTAACTTAATTAATACACTTGACCTTGAACATTGTTCATTGACTTGAAAAATATATACGAATTAAATACATTTAATTGTGACGTTATAATCATTTTCATTTAATTATTTTTAAGAGTCAGACAATAAATGGGACTAAATATCATTCAATTATAAAAGATCCGAATGAAACATACCTACCTTTAAATTCATTGTCTTTTTCCCACTTAGCAGCATATTTTTGAACATATCCGATGGCAATTTTTTCACCATTTGGCATTTTATATTACTTATTAAATGAATTTAATATATTATGAGTAGCCGTATATTCACAATAAGAGTTTATGGTGGAACAATTTACAATACTACTACATTACATTACTATTACATTATATTTTGTTTTTGTTTTCAAATTAATAATTTTTGTTTAATAAAATACAATTTTATTCAAAATAAGAACCATACATAATATTTTTTTTTAATTTAATGGTACCAAGGTTAAAATGGTTTTGCATTTAAAACATCGCCATCTGTTTTCGACGTACGGAACTAAACGGAATGAGCAAGCTTCATACAAATATCAAATGTATGGACTGGAAAGACCGTGGTTGCCACCGTCTAATAATGTGGGCCCCGGCTACCCCACTCACCAGACGAAACGCAGATGAGTAACACGTGTACTTTACGCCTGTCTGTGAGGTCGTCGTACTAACCCGGACGGACCTGCCCACTCGTGCAACAGCGACTGTTGAATGGTCATAACACTTAGAAACCTTCGGTCATAACGGAAAATTTGGAACAATGACTTTTTTAACTCTTTCATCATCATCATGCCCTCATCCTACCTAAGTGGGGTGGGAACAAGATGTGAATCATTTTGTAAGCGGTTTTAACCTAAGGACCTTACTACCTGTGACTAAAGTCTGTGTGAAAAGTGAAGAGCACGCCATCTGTATATCTAACGAGTTAATGCCCATAACCTCGAATCGAGTCGTATCCCATATTGAAAATGTAACCAAAATGATTGCATTAAAATACACAACACATGAGAGTGAAATACTATTTAATTCTGTCCAATAAACGCTTTTGTGAAAATTGTGCTTTACGTCATCGAAATGAGGCAGAAATGAAACAACTATTATAAATGCAATCTTGTATTTACCATCGAAATGCTACGGTGCTCAATACATAGGATAAAATAGGCTAAACATATTTTTCTCTTCTTTAAATATTATTAAAAACATAAACAATGAAGTTTAAAGAACGCGTAGACAACGGGGTGTCGATAGCCGATTGGCAACTTTGGCTCGCGGCCTGACAAACTTTCCTCAAAACGTTTGCCAGACGCCACCATTTAGCACCCTTGTGTAATTTATACTTGACAGTGGTCTAACCATGGTTTAACTATATAATAAAAAATATTAAAATATGCGTCCACAAACTAAGCTGAAAAGCCCTCGAATAATTACCTCAATTTAATAATTAAATAACAAATATTATTTATCTATCGTGTATATAATCTTTTTTTTTATTTTGGCGGGAATTTTGTGTGCAACATTTTTTTTAAACTTTATAAAAGACAGTGAAAATAATTTAATAAGCATTTTACCAGAAAGTAGTCTTGATTTGAGAAACTTATTGGATAAGCGATGTTTTTTTTTCTTTTTTTCTTAGGCGAAAATATTTGGCTTAGTATACCCGAGGTAAAGAAAGTAATACTTTAAGTATTTTAACTTTACCCCAAAGATTAGATATTGTCGCCGACAATAAACCACAAAAATAAATTTTGGAATAATTTTCGTAATAGTCCAAATGACGGCACGAAATAATGAGAAGCACTAAAGACAATGAGAACTTGGTGTCGATGTCAACAGTTCAAATTCCCTTAAGGTTAGAATACGTAATGTTGCCATTTACAATGAATCCAATATTCCCCTGAATGTGTTTAAAAATAAAAAGATAAAGGGATTGTTTTCAACGCCAATAAATATTTAAAACCAGTCGTCCGAATAAACTATGATTAACAACACGCAATAAACACTTATCGAATAATATAAAACCATTCAATTGGCTTTGTGAACGATTAACTTCGAACGGAATTCGCTACTCAGCGGTCTCTTCAAGGTGCACCTGAAAAAGAAAAAGGTGGTATGCAATACATTATGAAAAAAAAAAATTAAGTTAACGTATAAGGCAACACTGAACGGATCCTGTCAATGAGATCAAGTTCTACCAAAGTAGCTCGGAAGGAAAGTCTAACGGCCGGTTGGAATATTCTATCTACAGATAGATTTGGTAACTAACAATAGCTACTTTACATTAGCTCCATAATACTGAGATGAAAATTATATCACCAGTAACCAAATCTATCGGTAAATTAAATATTGAAACTGTAATGTAGAACGCTTATTAATACGTTTTTTTTTCTTTTTTTATTTGAAGAATTGCCAAGAGAGCAGACGGTTCACCTGATGTTAAGTGAATACCGCCGCCAATGGATATCTCCAACATCCGAGGGTTCTACATGCGTTGACAACCTTGAAAATTAGGCTCCGGCCACCTCACTCACCAGACGAAACGCGAAAGTATTATATTTCCACTTTACGCCGGTCTTGTGTGAGGTCGCGGTACTTACCCGGACGAGCCTGCCCATTCGTGCAACAGCCGAGGCGTGGCCCTACCGTCGTGAAAAAATTCTAAAACAACTTTCATTACAAAGTCACAAAAGTAAAGTCTGACTTTAACGGTGGGCGGCAAACTGAAATCACCAGCTGGGATTCGGTTGTCAATGTCACAGCATTATTGTCTATGTATCACGTGGTATGAACGTGACTTCATTAATGAAACAATTGGATTGGCCATGAATATTTATTGAATTAAACTCGGTTGCGAGTCACTTCATATATTCTAGCCAGGTCCCGTTTAGCTTTGGCAGAGTCAATAACGCACGATACAATACATTCTCATTCTAGCAGTCCCACACAGAAGGTGACAAAACACTAATCAAACAAAATGAAAATACAGGCAATGAATTATAAAAAGTATCTACCTACACAAAATCGTCACAAGCCGCTACGAGCACTCAGTAGAAACCTGCATAAAAACAGAAAAAATAATTGAAAACAATCTTGCCATAGGTGAAATAAGCTACCAAATTGGAACATAATGAAAACAAAAAAATCAACCCACCACTAAACTACTAAGGACAAACCGAAACCAGTCACCAATGAATTGACAAAACTTAATCTGTGCAATTTAATTAAAAGTAGATTAAGTATATACAGTGATTTGACATAAACATGTTTTTAAAAAAGTTAATGGTGTATGCCCGTAGCAATGTACATATAAAAAAAATAAGAAAAAAGCTGCGTCATAAGTGCAGAGACAAGCACTAAATTAAAAAATAAAATGTCATTGTGTTTTTTATTTTTATACTTTTCAAAAATTATAAACTATGCCTATGAAGTATGTAGTGTGGACTTCTTTAGTTTATCAGTTACTATTATTAAAATATCTAAACAAAGAAATAAATATCATAACAAAGAACAAATGATTCCAAAAAATGTGTGTCTACAACACGATAAGAGAAGTAACTTCACAAACAAAATGTTAAAAGGTAAAAGTGAAGAATGGCAACACACGTCAAAGAGTATATTTATATATACATAAAACTTACCTTCTCGTGAGTAAACGCACAATTTCACTCGCGATAATAATGCGCAAAAATATTTTTTTTTAAAAGGACAAAAGGAAAATTTCAAACCAAAAAAAGGAAAGATACTATTTGTTGTAAAAAAAATAATTATAAATTATTTTATAGTTACAAAATGTACAACAGGGCGAACATTTTTTGGCATTATTATGACATTAGTTAGAAAAAAACATTCCATTTCAGGCTGGTGTTGTTGTACCCAATATTTTTACATGCAAGGGTTAGTTTAGAAACAATAAAAATAATTACCAGATAAAATAAATATGCTATGTAAAATAATATTGGATTGTTACATGTTTGCTTAATAAATGATTCAGCATGCTGCATGACTACAGTATAAACTGTATGAAGGATAGATTCCCAATATTTTTTATACAGAACATTTGTCGAAATGGTTGAGAACATATTTTCCGTCAAATTAAATCTATATACATACTTGTCTCCTATATACAGGATGGCTTTTCTAAAGGTGCCCAAATTCACACGGGAGGTTCAGACTCGGTAGTATAATCGTTCAATGAAATAAAAACACCTTTTTGTTTTTTCAAAAAATTTTCCATTATATTTCCTAAAAAACAGAACGTGTTGACAATGCGGTAGTCATTCATAAATACTTAAATTTTACTGTACACGAGCTTGTGTGCGTGTTAGTTATGAATGATCGCGCGTAAAATAAATGAGTTGCATATAAATCACGCACTTTTTGAGATAAGTTCAAATGAATGTAATTAATTAATTACGAGTGATTTTAAATATTTACAGTTTTTTACATAACATTATTTATGTCTAGAATTTATTTTAAAAAAATGGATACACTTAGAAAAGCCTCCCTGTATATACAGCGTGTCGTTACAACCGCGACAATACATGAACATACATATAAAGGATAACTTTTTGAAATTATGTTTACATTCTTTAAACATCAATATTTACCGAGTTATAAAATTTTACAAAACAAACAATTTTAGAACACCCTTACGCATAAAACTGTAACGTAAAGTTCATTTGTAAAGGTCACAAAGCATATGAATGGGTTGAATGAATTTAAAAGATACAAAACATACTGTTAGAAGGAGAGACTTGTAATGTGACGTTTTGGCAACGAATGAAAAAGTCTCTGAATGTATGAATCAGTCAGTTGTAGTTGTATAGGATGTTACAAATTTTATTTCTTTTTTATTTAATTAGTTTGAAAAATATTTTTTTTTAATTATGGAATTTTTAACGTCTTATATTTTTTTATGATTATTGGCAAGTAGCGTTAGACATGTATTAATTTATTGTCGCGGTTGTAACGACACGCTATATATTTACATACATGTATCCCTATTTAATATTATAAATATGAATGTAAGTTTGTTTGTTAAGGTTTCCCGCCAAAACTACTCAACCGATGATCATGAAACTATAGGATTATTTTTTATAAGAAGATATTTATTTAAGGGCTTCAACGCGGGCGAAGCCGCGAGCGAAAAGCTAGTATGTATATACATAGGGAATAAAATCCTGCTATTTATAGTTAAGGGTGAATTGTGCTGAAGTTTTATATTATGTTATTGAACAGCTTCTATTTTTGTACCTGTGCTTTATTGCACAGAACCGATGATATTTAATAAAAAGATGATGCATGTCCATACTGCGTGAAGATTGAAAATTGTTCCTGATTTGAATTATTTGACATATTATAAGTGAATGTGACAGATGATATAGAACGTATGATACGGAAAGAGATAGCAGTCTATGGAATTGCAATCTAGTTACACCAATTGAGCAGTGTTGGCTCAGTGTCCAGGCGCTCGCCTTTAATTCAATATACTCGAGCATCCTGAGTTCGATCCCCGGTGCCGGCACCAATGAAGTTTTTAACTTTAAGTGCTGACTTATCACGTGCTCCGCGGTGAAGGAAAACATCGTGAGGAAACCTGCATATTTTCGAAATAATAACAAAAAAAAATATATAGGTATATTTCGAAGATATGTGAAGTCCGCCAATCCGCAGTGGGGCCGCGTGGTGGACTATAAATACACCAATTGGTGTAATTTGAGCGCCTCAGTTTCGGTGCACTAGTTTCATATCTTATATGCACATAATATCATCTCACAGAACACATAGAACATCTCAATACAGGGGATAATCATAATGCCACGCGCAATGTCTTAAAGAGAATTTTGTTTTAACAGAAATATTTTTTCCTTAACTGTTTTCCGTGTTAAAAAATGTCCTATGCATATTTATTACGAACATATACTTCAATGGCAAAGGAAATTATTTTCTTTTCGTCGACTTCAATTCATCACGTCAACGCAACTTTTAACTTGTCAGGGATGTCGAAAAAATATCGATATATCGATATTATTAGCTGATATGTTAGGATCCGATCGACACAAAATATTCAATATCGAATCTTGTAAAAAGCGATAAATTTTCAAATACGAATCTGACATAGAGTACAAGTTGTGTACCCTTTTTTTGGCCTAAAGAGTTATATATTAAAATATCCCGTATGTGTGTTATATCGATGTATTTATTATAAAAATATTTCGATATTAAAATTTGTAGAAAAAGTACGAAAAGATTGTCACCACTGTGGGAATCGAACCCACGTCTTCGGCATTCGCGGCCTGACGCTCTAGCCACTGAGCTAAACGGCTGATAGCCGCAGCGACGAAAATCTTAACGTCCTTTATCTAAATTTTTTTACCAAAAATATTTCTATATGTCGAGGCCGATATTGATATTTTTATAAATATCGATATATTTATTCACTTTCCACATCCCTATCACTGTTAAACGTTTTATCGATATTCGCGTTTGTTTCCCGTTACAGGAATGCAGTATGTTAAAATTAATAATTAGTGGTTTGACTGAATGACATATTGCATATGTTGTGTCGCTTTTTATGGTTAAAATTTCATAGTCACATGTATATACATGTATCTATATAGTCTATATATCTTGTATTCATCTATAATAATTTTGTTAAACCAAATGTTGTTAAATATATTTTATAGATTAGTAGTTATCATGTTAGTTCCAAAAATGTTAAGAGTTTTTTTTACAGAGACTTGTCCCAGACGCATGCTGTCACTGTCTAAAATGAAGCACTTACAGACATGTGGGATTCCTATTTATTACTGTATAGTGGAATACGGGAAGCGGGAAATATTTATTTAATTTTGCATTGACATCAAAAGTACAACTTCTAAAATCAGTTTGTAATGCATATTAGTTGTTATATTCTTCTATCTTTGGGGTTCAGCTAAAAATAGTTTATGATATAATTAACATTAGGAGTTATATACGATCTATATGCGGTGTTTTAATACATGTTAGTATTCCCGGCGTTAAATGTACGCACACGTCTCTAAATGCTTGAAAACTCTCGTCCAAACCTCTGCCACCCTATTCTCCATACCGAAATAACACAAGGGTACGTTACCTTGTGGCGCGCTGTACCCGGGCGCTCCGTAGACCGGGGGCGGAGCCCCGTAGGAGCCGTACGCCGGTGGCTCGGACTGGAAACGAGCAAGGAAGAATTTACAATAATTTCAAAACTGAACTCATGGCAAGCGAGCAGGTGGTTCACCTGATGTTAAGTGAACACCGCCGCCCATGGACATCTGCTACACCCGAGGGCCGCGGATGCGTTGACAACCTTTCAAAAACTGGGCTCCGTCTGCCTCACTCACCAGACGAAACGCGAAAGTACTATGCTACCACTGTACGCTGGTCTTCTGTGAGGTGGTGGGTACTTACCCGGACGGGCCTGCCCATTCGTGCAACAGCCGAGGGTGCCATGCGGCCCTGCCACCGATGAAACCAGTTTAAAGGACTAAATAGATAAATGAATAAATCTTGAGTTTTAACGGTGTTAGGGCCACGCAGCAGCCTCGTCTGTTGCACGAATGGGCAGGCTCGTCCGGGTGAGTACCACGACCTCACAGAAGACCAGCGCAAAGTGGAAGTATAATACTTTCGCGTTTCGTCTGGCGAGTGAGGTAGCCGGAGCCCAATAGCCGAACCCTCGGGTGTAGCAGTTATCCATGGGCGGGGGTGCTCACTTACCATCAGGTGAACCGTCTGCTCGTTTGGCAAGTTTTCACATAAAAAAAAACAGTTTCGAGTCCAGCTCACCATGAACACTTGAGAAGGTGGCGCCTGGGCGCCCTCGAAGCCGACGAACTGCAGCATCACGTCCCCGTCTACGGTGAAGTGGGATATGTTCTGGTAGTGGAGGCGGTGGGGGAACTCGCAGAAGTGGACTCCGTTAAGCGCCACCTGGGGACAGAGTAGTATGAAGTTGAGAGAGGGAGAGAGGCAATACAGCGTGTCGTTACCACCGCGACAATAAATGAACACACGTATAGGGGATAACTTTTTAAAGTTTTATCAAACATTTGAATTATTTAAACGTCAATATTTACGGAGTTATTAAATTTTCCAAAACAATGAATTTTAGAACATCCTTACCTATAAATGAGTAACGTAAAGTTCATGTGTGAAGGTCACAAAGCATATGAATGGGTTAAATGAATTTAAAAGAGACAAAACATACTGTTAGAAGGAGAGGCTTGTAATGTGACGCTGTGGCGCGAGTTGTATAGGATGTTACAAATTTTGTTTCTTTTTTACTTAATTAGTTTGTTTGAAAAATATTTTTTTTTCATTATGGATTTTGTACAACGTTAACATTTTTTTATGATTATTGGCAAGTAGCTTTAGGCGTGTGTTCATTTATTGTCGCGATGGTAACGACACGCTGTATACTGATCGGTCAGCTCTGTGCCCAGCTATATTTATAGTATGCTTATGAGTAATACGGTGGAAGGCGCAATGCCATACATTCAGATGGCGGGCGTGGGTCAGAACTCTGAATTTTAATAGCTGTAAGGGTAATTGAAATTCTGAATTTCGATTTCGGCGGTTGTAAACGATGTTTTTTAGGGTTCCATTACAGGCCTCTTCTTCTAACAGTATGTTTTGTCTCTTTTAAATTCATTCAAACCCATTCATACGCTTTGTGACCTTTGAAATGAACTTTACGTTACAGTTTTATACGTAAGGGTGTTCTAAAATTCTTTGTTTTGGAAAATGTAATAACTCTGTAAATATTGATGTTTAAAGAACACAAATTTTTGATACAATGTTAAAAAGTTATCCTCTATATGTGTGTTAATTTACTATCGCGTTGGTAACGACACGCTGTATAGGCTTGAGAACTGGGCAAACTGAACGCAGCAAAAATCCACACAGCATCTTCCGACTAGTCGATTGTTTCAGCAGAACTGGATGAACCACGACAAGCCTTATTAAGGTGCTCTGATGGGCATAGTCCCACTGCTGGGTAACAGGCCTCCTCATTACAGAAGGCATCAACCTTTTGTCCAGCAATGGGCTGTTACTTAACCTATGCCCTGATAACCTCTGTCAGAGCAATCTTTTGGCCAGCAGTGGTACATATATACTTTACTAACAGTTGTTAGTTACTTTCCTTCCAAGTGTACTGGGCACCAACCTTCAGGCTCTGCGGCTCGCACAGCACCAGCGCCTCGAAGGGCTCGCCCCTCGCCAGGGGCATCCCCCCGGAGGTGTCCTCGACGCCCCAGTTCATCGAGGTGAGGTGGTTCCTCACCACGCACATCTCGACGAAGCGGAAGTTGAGGTGGAGGGCGATGTCGTCGCGGGGGTCCGTGCCGGGGCCGCACTGGAGGTTGATCGCGAACCTGACGAGGGTCGTTCGAAGGTCAATGCGAGGGTTTGGAGCAGCGAGGGAGCTGAATTCGGAGTTCTGTTTTGTTTGATTAAACTATACTAGTGGACGCCGAGTGGTCGAAATTCGACCATGAATAATTTAAATTATGAGTTTGAACAGTATTAATCTAAATACTTGTTTGATTTATATATATATATATATATATATATATATATATATATATATATATATATATATATATATATATTAATATATATATATATATATATATATATATATATATATATGTACTTAAGTATATGCATTAGTATATTCATGTAGTAATATGTAGTAGTATATGTATATTAATTATAATTATGTATCAAGAACAATTCAATTACTTATTTTAGTCTGTTAATTTTAATTAATATTTTTAAAGTTAATTTTCATTGTACACACTTACCTATTTTCCTTTGATTACTTATTTATATTTAATTATTACTAAAGGTTTGCTGGCAGAGAACTCTGTTTAGGGTTAAGCTCACCTTTGTACAGTCCTTTTTGTAATCCTTGTATTTGTAACTGTAAATTTTTTTGTGTACAATAAAGAAGAGGAATAATTTTGTGCCAAATACATGGTAGTGGAATGCGTATTTATCTAAAAACGCTTTATCGGTTTTCTAAAATATTTATATTGTTATTTAAATTAAATTTAATAATGTCTAATCGCAAATATAGTACATATAAGAAGTTATTACTTTGTTTAATTTATTTAAAAATTTATCGTTTACACCCCCCAAATTAAGACTCCTTTTAATAATATATTTTAGTTTTTAAATTATATATTTCTTAAGGTTTTTAGTTTTAGGCTTAGTTTTAGTTATATTATGTGAACATATTAGTAGTATTATTTACAAAGTAGTAACTTTACAAGTAAAGTAACTTTACAAAAAAGTATTATAGACTTTACAATAATTACTTTAAAAAACTTTTAAGTTAAACGGTTTTATTTTGTTTTTTTTTTTGATAATATTGTATTGTCATCTAAATTAAATGTGTGTACCAAATTTCAGATCAATCTGACAACGGCAAAGTGCTTAAATTTCAATTTCTAATTTTGACCCAAATAAATAAACAAACAAATTCCGTACGGGTCGAGCTAAATAAAACCGTTTAAAAACGTATACTATACACAATAAACTAGTAAACAATACCTAAATAAACACTCAAACACTATACATGTATACAATAAATATCGTTAGTATCGTCGGGGAATTACGTGTGCAGAATCAGAAATGCAAGAGGAAAGATTTGTCGATTATAAAGCAAATAAGCCGTGATAGCTCATTGTCCGGGCGCTCGCTTCTAATTCAATATACTCGAACAACCTGAGTTCGATCCCCGGTGCCGGCACCAGTGAAATTGTTAATTTTAACTGCCGATTTATCACTCAACGGTGAAGGAAAACATCGTGAGGAAACCTGCATATTTTCGAAATAATAACAAAAAAAATGTATTTCGAAGATATGTGAAGTCCGCCAATCCGCAGCGGTGCCGCGTGGTGGACTATGCCCTGATACCCTCTGTACAGAGGAGGCCTCTGCCCTGCACTGTGGAACATTTAAAGGCTTTACTTTACTTTTTTTGAACGAGAGTAGCAAATTATGCGAAGCCTGATCAGAGACAAAAAATCGGCAAGAGGATAACGGCAGTGGCGGATTTGCCCTAAGGCCTAATTGACCCGGGTCTAGGGCGGCCAATCGTGCCAAAAAATTCACTGATGATAAGAAGATATATGATGGGCTCTCAGAAAGGTGCGGCTGGACATTACTGCCTAGGGAGGCCAAGACTACAAATCCGCCATTGGATAACGGAAAACACTTCTTTTTCACGATGTATTTTTTACACAGAACATGAAAACTAGCTTAAGATATAACAGTAGCCGTCGCAAATGTCCAAGTCGCAATTAATTAATTATATTGCAATTTTCCTACACAGTATGAACGTCAAAAACATTCATAAATTCACCTTAATGCAGAACCAACGAAGAGTCATATCATATTTTTGGACATTAACATGAAATCAGAAATCAGTGAGCGACCGCATCGCTACCACACCCGATCGTGCGTCTCTTTCACGCCGACCTGGGCCGCGATCGAGAATCGAAGCTCACCTCTGCGCGCCGGGGGGCACGCTGCCCTGGAAGCGGATCATCCTGCCGGGGAACATGCCGCCGGGGATGGGGTGGACGCATGGCACCACCTGCGGAAACGCAAATGCTGCAATGAAGACATTCCACCGTGGCAGCGCCGCGCAACGCCACGCTGCTATTTCACCGTGGTAGGGCCACTCAACGCCCCACAGTTGCACGGGTGGGCAGACTCTTCGGATTGTTTCACGTGGCAAGGTGGCCCACAGCGGAATGCCACCACTGTGAAATATGCGCCGAGGAGACGGCCCAACGCGCAAGGATGCCGAAGAATATCGAAATATTTTCATCCGATATATCGATATAAAGTATTCAATATCGAAATCGTATAAAACGACATTTCTTTCAAATTGGAATCCGAGACAGACATGTACGGGCATTCAAATACGCATACTTTTTTGAACCGGGCCTAAGAAGAAAATATAGATATGTCGAGGCCGGTATTGATATATTTTTTATTAATATCGATATATTATAAATATCGATATTTTCACATTCAGGTTTCATAAGTTCAGCTAAATATAAAAGCGTGATTTTTTTTTTAGACATTTTTTAAATGCGTATTTTGCACAAGGAGACTGCCGGGTAACGGATTTGGAAAACAGCTAATCCTGATCAGAATAATGGGAAAAATTATTTAAATCGTTGCATCGTCATCATGGGTCTTTGACGAGTGTGAAGTTTGGCCAGTTGCACCGGCCAGTTGGAGAAAGTAATAAAAGCGTGTATAATTAAATAAATATCTCAATCAACGAACCCTCGTAATTCGTAAAATGAATGCAAGAAAACCAAAGGTCACACAGACAGCCCAACCAAGTTACGTCACCACAGATCTCTGAAGGCAAATAAACGTTTACCAAGAGCAAATACAGGCCGTATTTAGACACGCGTACCTTTTAAAGATTTAAAAAAAAAACAATGCCAAAATGGCGACAGCGTTAGCGACCGTGTATATACATAATTCACACAGCGTACAATCGGTGATATTACAAAATAAATAAATAAGCTAACAATGAGGTACGTAAAACGACATTTTTCTAGTGCGAGATAAATTGTCGAATATTTTTTCAGCGCTACCAGTGTTCTAACTTGCATCTTCTGTGTAGTGCCAATTATCTATACATATAAATAAAATTGGAGTGTCTGTTTGTAATATTAAAATAACCGCTTTTTACTGAATGCTTATGGATGTATACACGGCACATAACAAAATATTTTTTTTTACAATTTTGTCTGTCTGTCTGTTTGTTCCGGCTAATCTCTGAAACGGCTGGACCAATTTGGACGGGACTTTCACTGGCAGATAGCTGATGTAATAAGGAGTAACTTAGGCTAGTTTTATTTTAGATTTTTTTATTTTAAATTCCACGCGGACGAAGTCGCAGGCACAGCTAGTATTATATACAAATATGAGGTACTTTGACACTGGCGCACCGAAATTGGTGTAATTAGATCACAACTCTATAGACTGCTATCTCTTTCCGTATCGTACGTTCTATATCATCTGTCACGTTCATTTATACAGGGAGGCTTTTCTAAGTGTGTCCATTTTTTTTTAATAAATTCTAGACATACATAATGTTATATAAAAATGATAAATATTCAAAATCACTCGTAAGTAATTAATTACATTCATTTGAACTTATCTCAAAAAGTGCGTGATTTATATGCAACTAATTTATTTTACGCGCGATCATTCATAACTAACACGCACACAAGTTCGTTTGTGTGCGTGAACATTAAAATTTCTGTATTTGTGAATGACTACCGCGTTGTCAACAAATTCTGTTTTTAAAGGAAAATGGAATGGTAATTTTTTTGAAAAAAAAAAAAGAAACTTTGTTTTCATTAATTTCAATAAACGATAACGCTACCGAGTCTGAATCTCCTGTGTAAATTTGGGCACCTTTAAAAAACTCTCACTGTATGTCATTTAATGTAAAGGGGAACAATTTTTAACGGTCCTCTATATTATATCATCAATAATCATCATCATCACTAGATAAACTCAACTTTCTCAACAATTGTTAAATCATTACCGCCGAGCCTTGCTCGGTTTTTTTTTTTGTAAATCATGTATTTTGGAAATAAAAAAATAATAGTGATAAGGTAACAAGATATAAGTGATAGCAGTCTATAGAATTGAAATACTTAGAACTGAATTACTTACACAAATTCGGTGCGCTGGTGTCGTATTTACCTAGTAAATTTAACCTTTTACGGATACAAAATAAAATAATTTTTTCATTACACAAATCCCTTTCCTTTTCGCCTAGACATCTACCTCATTTCACTTTGTCTGAACTTTACCAATTTTTCTAACAACCGAGACAGTGGTTTGTTTGGCCTCGAAAAATAGGTGAAAAATATAAACATTGAGATTCTCCGACTGCAAATATCTCGCTCTGTATTAATTTTATAATTGATTTTCGGGAGTGCCCTGCGTATCTTTGGAGCCCAAGGTCCAATACCAAATGAAATTAATATGGGAGCACATGGGAAGCACCAGCTTTCAAATAAAAAAAGGATCATCAAAATCGTCTTTCTCAGACGAAAGTTCTGAAGTAACAAACATAAAGAAAAAAATACACTCGAGAAGCTGCTTTTGAAGTCGATTAAAAAAAAACCAAAATGAAACGAACAAAGTTTTTTTGGTGGCAGTAAGCTGACGGTTCACCTGATCTTAGTAATAACCGCCACCCATGGACATTTTCAACACCCGTAGGTATGCAGATGCGTTGCCACCTTTTAATAAATTGGGCCCTGGCTACCTCACTCACCAGACGAAACGCACAAGTATGACGCTTTCACTTCACGCCGGTTCTGCTAGTTTGTGGCACTTACCCGGACGGACCTGCCCATTCGTGCAACAGCCGAAGCTATTGTGTGGCCCTACCACTTTGTTAGCTAATTATTATTTTATTTGACAATGTGATAAATACCCGACTCGGTGATCCGGTGGCGCCGTTGCTAAACTAGCATCTAGGCTTCAGCATCGAGGGTGATGGGTTCGATTCCCACACGGGATAAGTATTTGTGTGATCCATAGATAATTGTTCTGGATTTGGGTTAACCAAGGAGGGTTGTTTCCCAAGGAGGGTTGAAGTCAAACAGGCGGCCATAACTTAAAAATCATAGCCAAAACCGCTTATAACATAATTCACATGTTACGGCACGTATGTGATAATACCCATAAATATGCTTGTCATTATATTGCGTGCGCGTAACCATTTTCAGTGTTGGCAACACTGGACGGCGAATCCAAACGTCATTCATTAAAATGGCGCCAATTTTGCACACGCGATGACGAATCTAATTCTGATGATAGTAAATGCAAGGAAATCTTAAAATTCACGTTTTTAAGATTCGCCGCCGTTGTGAGTTGTGAGGTCATCATAATGTAAATTGTGATGTGAATTATTATTCAATGGTATGGATCGTAAAATCGTAAACAACCGAGAGAAAATTTAAAATTAAGATTATGTCCCAGGGAATGATCGTGTATTGACTGCGACAATGCATTTGCGATGTTTTGATCGAGATTTTGGATCTCCGCAGATGCACCAATAGGTTTTCCGTTTTTCATAATACAAAATACAGTATAACAGTGATTTTATAATATTAATTTAATTTAATATTACTTTACATTTCAAGGAAACAAAAATCAATGACAAGTGGCGAACATTTCAACATCCTCCAAAACTGTTAAAATCATGATTTATGAATGTTAGTTTTTAAGTTATAGCCAATTCTCTCATATATAGCATTTCGAAATTTGCCCAAATAAAAGATGTTTTGTTGACAGTTATACAATTACAATTGCTTTTATAAAATAAATACAATGTACACTACTATTACATAATGTTTTGCTATCGTACTACATAATACGCTGCAGTCGACTTCACCATTTGTATATTTTTTTGTGGTCTAAAATAAGGTAACAAGTGCAAAAAACAAAATGCACCATGGTAATTATACCATTTTTAAAAATTGCATGACCTGGACAGCGTGGCGCAGATTTTCTTTCGTCAGTATTTCAGAATCACCATACGGAGGTGTTAGACAATTGCAGATTTGTCATTTGGATATCTTTTTATTTGATGGCTTTTTTTAAATGATCTTGACTGCAAAGTCAATTAATAAAAAATTGCCCATTTGGTTTGCACAATGCCATTTTATTGTTGAGGTGTTGATTTGCAGGCAACCTCTAGTAAAAGCAAGATAATGTTAAGAATCATCACTATTTTGTCACCATCTATATTTATACTTGAATACCAACTTTTCTTAAATTAATGTCAGAAAGACTCCTCAATGAGCTCAAAAATCATGACACATTAAAACTTCAATATTTGTTTAGTGCATAAAACACAAATACAAATTATAATTTAACTCATTGTAAAAGAGATATCTCTTTTATTTGCCTGGCCTGGTATAATGAATTTAAAATTGCAGTACATTCTGAAAATAACTTGTTCAATGGATGTCATTATTAACTTCTACCGATTAAAAATTTTCGCCTAATTACATAACCGTAAACACCTATATGATGTAATTCCTATGCAAATATTTTTGTGTTAATTGGTTTTGTATCAGCAATACATTATGCCATGAATTTTTTACAGCAAAAGAGAGAATAGCACCACAGGAATATCTTAAAATTCTTACTTTTAACATGATATCGCATTTCAAGTTGCCGCACATATAATTAGTACACATTCATTACTAGATAATACTTATTATGTTTCAGGAAACCGTTTGGACTTCCTGAAGCTATGCATGGAGAAACTTTGAGAACTAGATTATCATGGAGTGCATTGTGCGATTTCAATACGACTGTTCAGACAAGAATTGACATGGAACTAAAATTTGAGTATAACTAAATTTTGCTGAGATATTAGAGTTTACCATATAACATCACGCTAGTTGGTAGTCAAGAATTAGTTAAATATTCCTCTTTTCCTGCCCTTTTTCCACTTAGCTGAAGCAGGTACACCATGTTAATCATATTTAGGGTATAAAACCAACTATCATGGGGATGAAACATCAGATATAAAACAATTACTTGTCCAGTTTCAAAATGAAGCCACAACATCTGGCACTGAAGCCGAAGATTCAGCACTGTACCAACAAGTCAGCTAATCCACGATAAAATAAATAAATGAATAAGTGATAAGATCATTGGCAGTTTCAATATTAACATATTGATAATCACATTTTCTGTTCCATGCAATAACAAAAAAAATGTTAATGAGGGTCAATGCTCAGCTTGTAATACAATCAGGATCTTATATAACATAGGTAGGAAATTCCGTAACTTTTATTAAAAATGACTAGCAGATTTTATATTAGCTAGCTGTGTTCATTATCAGAATATCAAAGGTTTGTACAGTTTTTCCATTGGAGAAGTCCATAAATTACTTTACAATATGATTCAGAGAGGACAAGAGCTGATCATGATTTGGGGAATATTTCCAGTGGCAAGGGACTTTAAGTGATTCTGCATCTTATCTGCCAATAAATCTCTGACCTACTTACATGTCAATAATATGGCGTTAACAGTTAGGGTTAGGACGTAATAAGATCGGTATACGCGGAAAGGATTCGTCGAAATGGTTGTTTGTTAAATTTAAGGACACTAAAATCATCAAACGGATCGTTTGCTCGATTCGAATTGCACATACGGAAAAAGTAACGTACAAAATCAAACGCAATAGTGACGTTAGTGTGTGCCTCGAGTTCCAGCACCTTGAGAATCCGTGAAAACGGCACAAAATAGTTTTAGATGCTACCATAAATGGTTGCGATAAAACAACAGCGTACATTATGTTTGCACGGCAAATAGCACACGAAGCAATCAGCGACACTGCCCTTGGAACCGATGAAAAGATTCGTAAACTAATTTTCTTATTTGCGCCGAACGAAAATGAGTATGTTTTGCATCACTCACCGGGTTGTATATTGGTGGAGCGGCCATCTTCGTGTTTTCGTATAGAGTGATTGTAATGCGAAATGCGAATTCACTAAGTTTATACCTTAATGCTATGGATACGAGCAGAGCGTTAATAAAATATTAGTTCCAACTCCCAACCCAATAGCCGTTAATACTGTATACTGTAGACAATACTGTTGAATGCGTCATACGTCATACGTCATATGACGATTTATAAAATTCTTGTCAAATCATAACTTTGTTTGAGCCGAATTCGATTATAAAAAATTTTTTTTCGATACAAAATCGAAGTCCACAAAAAGTCTTGTAACTTAAATTACTATAAAATAAACAAAAGGTATAAATAAAAGTCATATGAATATTAAAATACAAGTACTAAAATTAAACATTCACTTATAAATGACAAATTTTGAATACTTGTAACTTTATTAAATATCTCTTAAAACAACTTATCGCAAAATATTTATATATTATTATTCTTTGCAATATGAGATATTATGATGATGATCGCACAAAAATTCTGACCGAGATCATGGCAACTTCGACATATTGCTTGACGTAATTTCTTTGATTCTTTCAATAAAATAAAACTTAAAAGGGCATTATGGTGTGATTATTTGCAAATGAAACCAATTCAGTTTAATTAAATTTACGCAGACACCTTTGCATCCGTTCCGCCGCTCTTAATTCGTCGCGAGTGATTTTTTTTTTAATTAAAACACAAAATGACCATCGAAGGAAATAAGGATGAATCCGATAGGTGCATCGACATAGCACAGAGTGCCCTTGCCGCTGGTAACGTTGAGAAGGCCGAGAGGTTTCTGCTGAAGGCCGAGCGTCTATATCCCACGGCGCGGGCGAAGGAGCTTCTGGCCCGCGTCAGGGCCGCTGGCGCGGGAACAGCCCCCAAACGCAGTCCCCCGAGCTCGCCGAGCGCTGAGGAGGTCAGGCGGAGGAAGGCGCCATCTCATCAGCCGCCTCAAAGGGAGTACACCCAAGAGCAATTGGATGCTGTCCGTAGGATCAAAACGAAATGCAAGGACTATTACGAAATCTTAGGTAGGTAATGGTTATGAAATATGTTCTTGAGCCCCCTCCATGTTAATACTACATGTTACACATTACAATAGTTCATGTATTGTTAGAGGAAAATTTTGTTAAATAGCGAAACCAAGGTTGATGTTTATTCTAATTTTGTGAAAGGAAAAATTGTGACATGTAGGATATACAGCTTATGAGTAAACGGTGCTTGTTTTTAATATTTAACTGTGAACTTCATAGCGTCTTACTTTTTATTGTGAAACCAATTTACATAATGACCTATTCTTAATTGGTACAATCGGTACAAACATTTCCAACATTAAAGTGCTTTGTGTTACAACAGATAGGAGTCAAGATAGGGTTTCCATTATGGTCTCCATTATATATCATATTTGGTGCTTGTCTACACTTCAGATGTATTTTAAATGTAATTTGAACAGGTAAAATGACATATTTTTTTTCAGTGCTGCTGGTTTCAAACCTACATCTTCTCTGATAACCAATAATGAGTGTATATACTAGTCAATATAGTTTTACACCCTAGTTTAAGTCTTAAGCTCTTTGATGAGTAGTTTTTTAAGTTTATTGACAAAGTTACTTTACAACATTGTCATCAGTAAAAACACAAAATAAGGAGGTGATATAGGGTTTATATAATGTATACTATTTAAATACAAATATATTCAGAGACTTTTTCATTCATTGCCACAATATTGTGTTATAAGTCTCTCATTCTAACTGTATGTTTTACCTCTTTTTAAACCGAATTAATTAATTAAACCGGTTCATATCCCTTGTAACCTTTACAAATTTATAAAAAACTCTTACGATGGTAGGACCACGCAGCAGCCTCGGCTGTTGCACGAATGGGCAGGCTTGTCGGTATTCACTTAACATCAACCGTCTGCTTGTTTAGTAACTTTTCACATTAAAAAAACGGAAGTAGGTAAATGTTTAATACAAGTTTAAAATGTTGTCCTCTACATGTGTTTATTTAAGGTTGCTGTAGTAGCGCGACATTGTATATTTGGTACATTGTAAAAAATGTAGATTATTAAAAAAAGAGCTACCATAGTTTTATCAACTGACTTTTAAGTTTATCTTAAGTGAAGATACTAGTATTAAAAGTTAAATTGTTAAACTATGTGAAAATTCTTCTAATCTTGATTATTATGCCTGTGAGAATACAGCTATGACCTGTGGAATTGTGTTGCGTAAAAAAAACTATATAACACAATTATCGGATTAGACATTAGTCATCTGGCATTGTCTCCGTCAGCTATTGTGTCATTTATATTGAATATTGAATCCTTGCAAGTGCGGCACAAGATATGATATACGGTGTAATTTGACTTTTTGAATGTCAAAGCTAAGTTTATTTATTTTAGATCATTCATAGGGTTTCAAGCAAGAGTCATAACTTAACGTTTGCTAGCTTAAGCTGTAATTTGCGATTACACAGTTTTTCATTATTATGTGTTTTCTTTGCTGGGTTTAATTCATACTGCCTTTTATTGTTTTTAAACCTATGTAAAGCTTATTATAAAGCCTATGTTATAAAGTAAAAGCTAAAGAAAAAAGGAAAACGAAATAATTAAAAGAAACATTTCTAATTATAACCAAGTAGAAGCAATCAGTTAAGTTCTGGCTAACCCACACATTCTGTATTCAATGGAGGTTTACTAGTCTACAGAAAAACACCAGTTAAAGTAAAACTGTTCACTAAGCCTATATAATTTCGTATTAGGTGATGTTAATCTTGTGACCGAAATGTTAATTTACTTTCAAATTTAACAAGCTCTTGGAGGTCTCCCAACATGGCTTTCTGAATCCGATTATTTTACTTGTTCTTCTTACGTTGCAGGAGTTTCGAAGGAAGCGACCGACTCCGACATAAAGAAGGCATACAAGAAGCTTGCTTTACAACTTCACCCCGACAAGAACCATGCTCCCGGTGCCGCCGAGGCCTTCAAGGTGAGTTTTACTCTGACATTCGTAATAATGGTCAACCATAGCAGCGTGTTTGTTCTCAAATGTTGGTTAAAAACTCAATACTTCTACACTATTCTACAGGATATTTCGCCACAGGTAAAGCCGCAGCATCTGCTATTGTGATCGTCTGTTTGACGACCCGAATGGCCTAGTCGGTAGTGTACCTGCCTTCTGCGCCAGTGGGTGTGGGTTCGATCCCCACAACTGGAAAAATATTGTGTGATGAGCATAGTGTTTTTCTAGTGTCTGGGTGTTTATATATGTATAATGTGTATTTATTTACAAAAGTATATTTAAGTATGTCTATCAGTTTTCTAGTGCCCATAGTACAAGCGTTGCTTAGTTTAGGACTAGAGAACGTTGTGTAAAAAAAAATGTGTCCTAAAAATATTTATTATTGTCTGGGGATTACAGCAATAGTAACGAGTCACTTGCCCCATGGAATCTATTGACGTGATCAACGCCCGCAGGCCATCGGCAACGCGGCCGCCATCCTGACCGACCCCGAGAGGCGGAAGCAGTACGACCTGCGCGGCGAGGAGCCCGCGCCCTCGGCCCACGCCCACCACCAGACGTACTACGCGCGCGGCTTCGAGTCGGACCTCACCGCCGAGGAGCTGTTCAACATGTTCTTCGGGGCGACTGGTGGGTTGGGCTGACCGCAGCTCGCTCCGGGGTGAACTTTTCACTGCACTGCACTATCTTTAAAGAGGGGACGGTCTGACTGTTGCACAGACGGATCTACTACTTAACTATTGTCCCGATGTGTGTTCGCGATAAACTCCGAAACTACTGAACCAATTTTTATCAAATTTTGTAAACATTTGTAATTTGGTCTAACTACTACTAACACGGTAGTTTTCATCTCAATTATTGATCTCGATATTTGTTATTGCAAATTATTTCTTTATGAGATGACCAAGAGCTATGAGTCCCATAAGATTCTAACAAATGGCGGTGTAAGACAAATTTATCGGCTGGATTGAGTATCCGATAGATGGCGCTAATCTAAAAGTAGAAACCTGTGGACCCGGTGGGATTGCTGCAGGCGAATTAATTTCTTCATCGACATCCCCAATCCAGCGTTCCCCGGCGGCGGTCCCACGGTGTACGCGCGCCGCCGCGGCCGCGAGCCCGAGCCGCGCGAGTCCGGCACGGGGCTGGTGCAGCTGCTGCCGGTGCTGGTGCTGGTGCTGCTCTCCATGATGTCCGGCCTCTTCATCAGCGAGCCGGTGTTCAGCCTCGCGCCCAGCTCCAAGTACCCGGTGCCGAGGGAGACGGTCAACCTCAAGGTGCGCCCAGCGGGGGGATTGTTCGCATGACTACACCAGCTGATGCCCGCGACCACGTCTGCGTAGGATAGGCTGAAGGCATAACATTCAGACGGAAAGACATATATATAAAATATGTATAGGCTATATTATTGTACAGTTTCATTAATATCCATTCAGTAGTATTTGCGTGAAAGAGTAACAAACATCCATCCATACAAACAAACTTTTACCCTTATAATATTAGTAAGGAAGTAGGATGAGTGTTTGTGTGAAGATAATCATTAATGACCTCTCTTGGAATAAGACACTTCAGGAAGCTAGCTATGTAAAAGTCTACAATCTGATCCAATTTGTTGTTTCTTTATAGATACCCTTAATGTTTTATGTATATTATTAAAAACACCCTTATCCCACCCAGGTGGGGTCGGCACAACGTTTTGGCATACGAAAACCCATATAATTATCTGTGGGTTACACAAATACGAGTAAAACCCACGACCCTGGAAGCCGAAGCTAATAGCTTAGCAAGCCAGTGGAGTCATCATACACATTATTGTTTACCATTTCATGTACATAGTGTTTTCTGGTGTAAATATCTTTAAGACTTAACATCAATACCCAATTTCAATTTCAGGTACCGTACTATGTTAAAGAGAACTTCCACACGGACTACCAGGGCTCACTTCGGCGTCTCGAGATGTCCATAGAAGAGGAGTACATAGGTATGGCCCCAGCAAAATGCTCAAACGAGATGTCTATTATTACAGAAGTGACCAACACGTCACCATATTCCGTTCTGGATTTCTGCTTTTGCACGAATGGACAGTTTCGTTTGGGGAAGTACCGCGGCCTCACCACTTCGATTGCCAAGTCTTTCTCATAAAAAAATACGTGACCCTAAATATCTTATGCAAGTGTGAAATTACCGAAGTGGTATCCATATTAAAGAAGTGGTAACTTACGTAGCGTGGTAACCAACTTATGTATAATTTTTTATGTAAATTTGAACGTCTCAAAGGAACGCAGCTTGAAGAAACTTATTTATATGTGTTCACTATAATTACTCACTTTATTTACAATGATTCATAAAAATATCAAAAATCTTTCATCAAGCAACCTTTGGGATACCTGATAATAATTAGAAAGGTTTTTGTTGTTAATTTAATAGATGTCCAAAATTGATATCCATTGCTGATATAATTTCTCTGCAGTGGGCCTCCGACACGCTTGCCAACGGGAGCGCAACTACCGCGAGAGCATGGCGTGGAAGGCGAGAAATTTCGGCGACAGCAAGCAGTACGCTGACGCGCAGAAGCTGCGGACGCCCAGCTGCGAGAAGCTGCAGAATCTGCAGAATCTGCCGCGGTAGAGCTCGTGCAGTAATCTACAATCGCCTTGAAAGAGCAACAGTTGCCCGTGCTGCAGTGTCAATCAGTGTATATTCCATGGTAGACTTTGTGCAGTGTTGCGTCTGCAGTGTCGACGACGCTGCGGTTTGCACTGCAGCTTACTGCAGTTGTGTTTTTGTTTCCCTAATATTGTTGCTGTTGCCAATCAAATCTATATTTATCTCCGTAGTAGATTTAGTGGAGAGTATTTTGCAGTACAATACAAAGGCAAGGGTTAAATATTTAAACGCGTTTCACTTAAACGAAAAATTTAGTACACTATCTAAGTGTGGACAGATTTGTGAAGAACAAGTTGGTAAGGTTTATTAGATATTCCTGCATAGATATATATACTGCAGTAGAGACTTTATGATACAGAATTTGATAATTTTGACAAGTCTAATATTTATTGTATTCTTTAGAATTTTCGCAGTTGTCATATAAAATTAAATTATTTATGAAATCGGCAACAACCATTACGACTTGTTAAAACTGCAGTGTAGTGCAGGGTAGATCACATAAAGTTAAGCACATACGAGTTATTCAATGTAGAGAATCTGGTGTGCAAACTTTTTGAATTAAATTATCATCTGTCTTTTGTGCTGCATGCACCCGTTTATATCTTAAACATCACATTTGAACTCAACAACCTTTTTTATGTGATAAGAGGGCAATCGAGCTGGCAGTTCACCTGATGTTAAGCGATAACCGCCGCCCATTGACATGTCCAACACCTGTAGGTTTGCAGGTAACCACCTTAATGTAAAGTGGCAAAGCCCCAGCTATCTCATTCACCGGAAGAAACTTGGAAGTATGACACTTTCGTGGTACTTACCCGGACGGACCTGCCTATTTATGCAATAGCAAACACTGTTGCGTGGCTCTACCACAGTTAAATTTACAACGTATTAAGATTTAAAACATTTTATTTTGCACTATAAACATGAGTAATTGCACATTTATGTCCAATTGTGTAAATAATTAACAAAAAAAATATTGTATTGTCTTTAAAATAATATTAGATATTTCAAAGTGGTATGTTTGAACTATCAATAGCCTTGTTGAGTCCGAAAATATTTATATTAAATTGTTCTAGATTTATAATAAATTGTTCTAGATCAATCATTTGCCCATTTGAATTTCCACAGAGTAGAAATATAATATTTCTGCTATTTATGTAAATCTTGCATGTGTTCAAATAAAGATAGAAACATTATTAAAATATCATTGAATAAAAACAACTTATTTATTTTCGTAACAGAACATTCACATTTACTACTGAAATGCTGTAACCAGCATAAAACATCTGCAGTGTGCAGACTGCAGATTTAGTAGGATATATTTAAAACCTCTTATGCAGTTTTATGTTTGACTGTTTCTGCATTTATTTGCAGTGTAGTTAAGTTAATATGTGCTGACCTGACCGCGCTATGAAAATATACACAGTTGTGTGTGGAAGAATATAAGGGTGAAGCGTTTTTGTGATACTTTCAATTTGTGTGTGCATATGTTAAGTGATATATCCAGGAATGGGTTCTTTTACGGTCGGTTTGAATAATCCATCTACAGATCGATTTGGTAACTAAAGATAGAATTTTGACGTAAATATTATGGAGCTAATTTCAAATGCCTATCGCTATTAACAAAACCTATCTGAAGATGGTATATAGAAACCGCCCGTTAGTATCCACACTAATATATATCCATATGCCTTTGGACTGTTAATTAAATTGTTATTTATTTAATATATTTACTAAAATTCCCTCAATCGCCTCCTATCATCCCGTCGCAATATGAGTTTAGTAAGTTCGTAAATCAATGTACCAAACAAGATCCAACAGTCCAATTACGTTAGAAATTTTGTCTCAGGCGGTGGATCAACCTTTTCCCGCGTGGGCTCCTAAATTGTTGAAATGTATATACTATTGTTTTAGTTCCATCATAATTATGTCTGTATTATGTGTTTTGTTTTCAATTATACCTTTAAAAATAAATGTTTAGAAATAAAAATCGGTGTTTCATTCGCTATGTCGTAGTGTTTATCGTCCCACTGTGTTAAGATAACAATTTAAACTGATTTCATAATATTACTGCATATAATCATTATAATATTAGATTCCAATTAGTTGAAGCGTAGTGAGTAGTAAACCGGACACTTGCGCCAAAAGGTATGGGTTCGAATCCTACTACTGCAAAAATTGTGTTTTTCTAGTAGTCTGGCAGTGTTTATTCTTAATCTATCAATATATATTATGGTATAAAAAGTAATCTCACTTACCTATTACCCATATTGCAAGCTTTGATTGACAATGAGTATAAAAAATAGCTTGAAATCTTTATTAATGTTAATAGTAACGGTGGTAGGACCACGCAGCAGCCTCGGCTGTTGCACGAATGGGCAGGCCCATCCGGGTAAGTACCACGACCTCGCAGAAGACCGGCGTAAAATGGAAGTATAATACTTTCGCGTTTCGTCTGGTGAATGAGGTAGCTGGAGCCCAATTTTAAGGAGATGAAGAGATTTTAATCCGTTTAAGAGGAGCTTTGTGACATACACACCCACAAAAGAAATATAAATAAAGATTATAAAGAAAAGACAATGACAATAACTTTGATATGTTTTATAATTTAAACTACAATTCACTATATGATAGACAATTGAAAAAGAGGCGGTTAAATGGCATATTTATTTATTTTTAAAAGGCCTATCAACAACTGTTTACACTATATCTTAATAATAAAAAAGAAAAGAAACAATAAGTACTTGTATAAGTGTAACAATAACTTAAAGATAAGCACAGCAAGTACAGTTGAACATCATAACAATAGAAATAAAATTAAAACTATAAATAATGAAATAGTAAAAAAATAAATAAAAATGTGGCTTAAAATAAACAGCTGTAAAATAAATTAAATTATGGCATGCTCGGTATGTTTATTACATAAGGTAAATATATATATTCAAATTTTAAAGAGTGAGGTATACATTATTTTAGAAACTTTGGCTATTGAGTCAACATGAAAATCTATTTGATCGCTAAAAAGATTAATTATTTTGCAGAATTTAATATAAGGGGAATTACTTCCCAGCACTGTTCTTCTTAGTGGTGTAATAGGTTTGCGAGGGATTCTTATAGGTACTCGAAATTTAAGCAAATTCAATAGTTGTGGGCTATCAATTTTGTTATTTAAAAGTTTACTCACAAACTTAGCATCAAGCACTTCTATTCTATGAGATAAAGGGTTTACCTTGAAATAATTAAGTCTTTCTTCATAAGATCGTAGTTTTCTTGATTTGCCCTCAGAAAACGCTAAATGCCACATAAACCGTTTTTGAACTCTTTCTATACGTAATGAGTGCGTAGCGTAATGAGGCCGCCAGACTACACTACAGTATTCAAGGATACTTCGGACTAGGCTATTGTAAAGCAATAATTTAGTTTTGGAATTGCGAAAGGAATGACAATTTCTTACGATAAATCCTAACATTTTTGATGCTTTTTTTGTTATATTTTCTAAATGTGCATTAAACGTTAATTTACTATCATAAATTACTCCAAGATCACGTACAGTGTCTACTTCTTGGATTGCTGTATTGTTTATGCGGTATATACTATTTATAAGTTTGCGGTTGCGAGAAAACTTGATATGCAGACACTTTTCTGTATTGAGGTGCATTTTATTGTTGGTGCACCAATCAACAAGTCTATTTAAGTCATTTTGTAGGAGTACTGCATCGTTCCGTGATTTGATTACTTTAATAAATTTTAAGTCATCGGCAAACATATAGACTTTCGAATGATGAAAGCAGTTCGGGATATCATTTATGAAAAAGTTGAAAAGTATGGGTCCTAGATGTGAGCCCTGAGGCACACCTGAGGCAATGGCTCGAGATTTGGATTTGAATCCATTTGCAACGACAAAAAATGACCTGTATGATAGATATGACTCAACCCATTTTAATAAAGAACCTAAGATGCCATAGGTACGCAATTTACTTATAAGAATATTGTGAGAAACCTTATCAAACGCTTTGCTAAAGTCCGTGTAAATAACATCAGCTTTACATCCAGAGTCAATGGTTTCAGCTAAAGTCTCGGTAAAATGTACTAGATTTGTACTCGTAGAACGTGATTTAACAAACCCGTGTTGGAAATCACTTAAGAAAAATTTCAAGTGATCCTGCAAGTAGGGACAAATGAGAGATTCGAAATTTTTTGAAAATATCGCATTTACAAATTCTTAATTTATAATAAAATTAAAAAAAAGTGTGTGCGTGTAACTTTTACGCGCGATTGAAGTAAAACTTCTTTGGCGTTGACGGCATATATCCCTGAAATGATTAAATATTTAGTAACGTCATAAGTGTATGTCATATTTTAAAATATTACATATACATAGTATGTTACTTCCGTCAGAAAAAATCTGAGTTACTAGGGAGTAAAGTTCGCGCCTAAAGTTTTACTTCAAAAATAAATACATTGAAACTTACAAACTAATATCACATTATTTTAATTACAGTTGTGTGTGTGTGTGTGTGTGTGTGTGGGGGGGGGGGGGGGGGGGGGGGGGGGGGGGGGGGGGGGGGGGGGGGGGGTTTAAAGGGGAAAAACGGTTTACACCCGCGTTCCGGGGCGGTTCTCACCGCCCCCAGCCACCGACTAACCTAGCACAGTCAACGGCCATCGGGGTCACGGTCCGCACCGAGCCTAGATGGCCTGTAGGTCACATGCCGTAATTAACGCACGCATCGGCACATTCGCGGCCCTACCCACTGAGGAGGGCCTCAAACCCGTGGGTTCTGGGTAGCCCGCCGGTTCTGCGTTCGACAAAGCTTTAACAGTCTAAGAGCTGAAAGCGTTACATCAGTTATACAAAAAACAAAACAAAGATTAGGGCCGTTCATGCATGCTAGATTAATGTTAAATGATAACACACTGGTAATGAATTGATCGCTCGAGGCTCTTTCAATCATATTTCTTATATTGTATTTGTAATGAATTCGTGTCAAAGTGTTTATTTAAAAAGAAAGCTCGCTGAGTTTTTTTCGCCGGTTTTTTTCAGCTTCTCTCAGGCTTTCTTTCCCGAACCGGTTGTAGTATTTTGACTATCAATAAGCTAGTGTGATACTCCTATGTTCAATAAAGACATTTGATTTCTTTTTTAGGTTCTTTTTTCACATTGCCCTTACTTTGGGATTACATTATCCTGTGTTGTAAGGACGTTTCACAAATATAAATTACACGCGGACAAACGCTCAGATGCGAAACAACTGTCCGTGGGCCACACAAATAGTTGTCCCGTGTGGGAATCGAACCCACGACCCCCGACGCCGAAGCCATACCTCGGCGATTTTGATAATCCGGGCACCGCCTCAGGGGCAGTACTTTCCGAACGGCCGTGGGCCGGGGTCGGTGCAGCTGCAGCCGCTCGACGGGGGGCGGGGTGTTTATCTCGTACCAGTGCGCAGCCGGCCGGCGGGGTCAGCGCAGCTGCAGCCGCTCGATGTGGCGCTGGTCGGGCGGCAGCGAGTGCACGCGCTGCAGGTGGCGCGCCACGTTGCGGCGGCGCGCGAACGTGCCCGCGCACGCGCCGCAGCGGAACGCGTAGCGCGGCGCGAGGTGCCGCTGCGCGTGGATGCGCATCAGCGTGTGCGACTTGAAGCGCGCGGGGCATTGGCCGCACTGCCACGGTGGAGGTCGGAGAGTGAGAAGGAGACGATAGAACGGACATGTCGGTAACTAAGAGTGTGTGATAGAGGACAGTTTGGGGGTTGAGAAGATATAGTGGACAAGTTGCTCATCAGCGTGAGCGACTTGAAGGACGGGGCACTGGGCGCGCTGGCGTGGGGGAGAGGAGGCAGTTGAGAAGATAGAATATGATGGAGATTTTGGGAGTAAAGGAGATGGAACATGGTGGACAAGTCGGGACGTAGAGTGCGTCATACTCTCCCCTGTAGCCCATAGTCTATAGTGGACAGGTTGGAAATTAAGAAGATGGAGCGTAGCGGAGAAATCGCTCATCGCGCACTGCCTTGATAGAGTTTGGCGATTGAGAAGAATACAATATAACGGAGATGTTGGGAACTAAGAATATGTCATACTGTCCCCTATTAAGAGTTAAGAAGTTTGAAGCGAGTTAAGAAGATAGAATAAGGTGGACAAGTTGCTCATCAGGGTTAGGGACTTGAAACGCGCGGGGCACTGGGCGCGCTGGCACGGGGGAGGTCGGAGAGTGAGAAGGAAACAATAGAACGGAGATGTTGGGAACTAAGAGTGTGTCATACTATCCCCTATAGTCCATGGATGATAGAGGACAGTTTGGGGGTTAAGAAGATATAGTTGCTGATCAGCGTGAGGGACATGAAGCGCGCGGGGAACTGGGCGCGCTGCCGTGATAGAGGTTGGATAGTGAGAAGACAGAATATAGCGGACAGGTTGAGAACTAAGAGTATCTCATAGCGCATATAGGCGTGGAGTCCATGGATGATAGTGGACAGTTTGGGAGTTGAGAGGATAGAGTATAGTGGACAAGTTTGGAACTAAGAATGTGGAGGTTTGCAATTGAGAAGACACAACATAGTGGACAGGTTTAGAGTTAAGATGGAATATGGTGGACAAGTTGCGGCACCAGGGTGGGGGACTTGAAACGCGCGGGGCACTGGGCGCGCTGGCACGGGGGGAGTCGGAGAGTGAGAAGGAGACAATATAACGGAGATGCTGGCAACTAAGAGTGTGTCACACTGTCCTCGATTCCCAGAGGTTGGCGATTGAGAAGAAGACAGATTCAGTGGACAGGTTGGGAGTTGAGAAGATATAGTGGACAAGTTGCTCATCAGCGTGAGCGACTTGAGATAGAACATGTGGACAAGTTTGGAACTAAGCTATAGCCCAGAGATGGAGGATAGTAGACCGATTGGGCGTTAAAAAAAACTGAAAGTATATACTACCGAAGGTGTGGCAAACTAACACAAATTAGATATAGGTGTAGTACCGACCTTGAAGTAGCACATTAACAAAAAAAATGCTGTAAAGTCAACAAAACCCCGCCCCCGAAACACCAAAAGGACTCAGTTCAGTCTCTTTGGTGTTTGAGGGGGACCATACGGATGAGAAAACCGTCTCACCTGCACAGTCTTCTCCGGCAGGTGGATGGCGACGTGCTGCAGGTAGCTGCTCCGCCTGTGGAAGCCGGCGCCGCACTCACCGCAGACGAACGGCCTCTCGCCCGTGTGGAGGCGCTCGTGGATCTGGCGACACCGGCAACTTGTAGCACCAGACGCTCAAGGGCGATGCGGCGAGTCGGTCCGGGTTAGTACCACGAGCTCACAGAAGACCGGCGTCAAGTGGAAGGTCAAAAAGGTTGTCGACGCATCTGCAAACTCTCAGATGTCCATGGGCGGCGGTATTCACTTAACATCAGGTGAGCCGCCTGCTCGCTTGGCAACTTTTAACATAATAAAATAGCTTCTTACGCTAGTTTTTAGGGTTGCTTTTAAAGGGGTAAAACGGGACCCGTATTTTTTTTTGCATAAGCGTTGACAACCTTTTGAAGATTGGACTCCGGACACCTCACTCACCAGACGAAACGCGAAAGTATTATACTTCCACTTCACGCCGGTCTTCTGCGAGGTCGTGGTACTTACCCGGACGGGCCTGCGAGCCACAAAACATTCGAGTTCCACCTGCCTAGTACCACCGGCCCACCTTGACCTGCTCCGCGTTGGAGGCCCTGTAGTCGCAGAAGGAGCACTTGTCGGTCTTCTCGTATCCGTGCTTGGCGCGGCAGTGCATCAGCAGGAGACGGCGCGTGATGAACTTCTTGCCGCAGTGCTGGAACAGCGGACCAGGTCATCACACGCCCTCGCTTTCTGGACGGCGGCAGGAGCTCAGTCCCTCAGCCTAACATAGCTAAATAATAAGACGGCTGAACTCGCGTTTATCCGGTGTATGTACCGACCAGGTTCGACCCCATCGGAGCTCCTCCGTAGTCTATCTTTGGGCCGTTTGCTTTATACAGCGTGTCGTTACCATCGCGACAATAAATGAACACACGCCTAAAGCTACTTGCCAATAATCATAAAAAAAATATTAACGTTAAACAAAATCCATAATTAAAAAAAAATATTTTTCAAACAAACTAATTAAGTAAATAAGAAACAAAATTTGTAAAATCCTATACAACTCGCACCACAGCGTCGCATTACAAGCCTCTCCTTCTAACAGTTTGTTTTGTCTCTTTTAAATTCATTCAACCCATTCATATGCTTTGTGACCTTTACAAATGAACTTTACGTTACACTTTTATAGGTAAGGCTGTTCTAAAATTCTTTGTTTTGGAAAATTTAATAACTCGGTAAATATTGATGTTTGAAGAATATAAATGTTTATTACAATTTTAAAAAGTTATCCTCTATATGTGTGTTCATTTATTGTCGCGATGGTAACGACACGCTGTATATATCCTTTTTGTTATAATTTATAAATCGAACTTTTCATCTATCACTTTTGTTCCTTTTTCAATTTGTCTTTATATCCAGTTTTATCTTGTAACATAAGATCAATTCAAATTTTTCAGTAGTATTAAAAGCATCCATTTTAATAGACTTTTGCTAAACCTTATTACAAATTTCATTTTGTTCCCTTATCGAACAGGCCCTCTTTTCCACTCACCCTTGATTGTATACAACGGTTAAACGTGAGTTCAGCCCTAATATCATTTCATTTTTTCTTTTTAAATAAACAAGCCTCACCTCACATACAACATCAAATCCGGTGTGGATCTTGTAATGGTTGCGCAATGACAGTTTCGATGTCAACACCTTATGGCAATATTCGCATTCAATCGCTTCCTTAGCTTGTTTAGTGTCATTCTTTTGCTTCTTCGCTGCCTTCTTGGGTTCTCTGACGGGTTTTGATTTGATCCGTTCCGGTTTCATTTTAACATTAGTCTTTTTACTCTTTATACTGGCCAATGTGATAGAACCATTTGCATCATCCCATCTGGGTTCTTGGTCTGTAGGGTCCTTTATTTCCTTTTGGTCAGTCACTTTATCCGACTCATAATTGCACTGCAGTGTGTCCAAAGTGACATTGTCATCGTAATCCTTGAAGTCGTCGTCGTGGGAACACTCGGCGATGTCTATTTGGGTGGCATTTTCGTATTCTATCTTGAAGAGCTGCATTTGTTCCAGCTTTATATCGCCTGGTTTATTCTCCGCCAGCAATTTCTGCGCGTCCTCGCATCTCCTGCGGAATTTCCGGGACCCGTTTATATATGCAATGCACACGGAGCACATCACTTGTGGGAGAGTGTCATCCATTACCACCTGAAAATTGAAACGTGATTTGTAGCGAACATGGCGGTTGAGTGCATGACTTGAATCACTTCTCATAATGTGCCCATACCTTGGAAGGAGTGAGGAATATAAATGTGGTTGGAGGGTGCAAAGCTAGAGGAAGAAAGAGATAGATTTGGATGGAATGTGTGAAGAATGATATGTCTGTGAAAGGGGTCAGTATTTTGATGTTAGCAGAAAGGGCAGAAGAAAGAAGAATGGGGGTTTACTGTAGTAGTTGACCAAACTAATTTAGTACAAAGGAATACTCCGAATTTTGCGATAGGTGGCTTACAAATGACATTCTAAATATTTTAAGTGGGGGCTGGACAGGCGGTCAGCGAGCTTGCTAATCTACTACTGCTAGTACTGGCTCTTATGGCTCCCATGGTTTAAGGGTAGTGGACTTGGGGTAGTAGGCCATACAAAAGGAACCACCCTCCTAGCCCAGCATCTTTTTATCCATCAGGCTAGCTCTACAATACATTGGATGCCAGATATTGAGTTGTGAGATCATCTTATTTTTCCACTTAACTTAAGCTTAACAACGGCTCAACCGAGTCAACAATAATAATAAGTTAAAGAATATTTCACTGTCCGATCTCTAGGTTACTTGTAGCACCTACACAGTTTCTTTCAGATTCCTTCCAGACAAAGTATTTGATTTTAATGTGCTTAAAAGAAGCCAAAACTGAAATATTTGGACAAGGAATTTTAATTTTAATGTACAATAATGTTTTGTAGCCTAATGTTTTATTAATGAATAAAGTCCTTATAACTTATAAATCATAAGGTTGGAAAACCATGAGAGACCATTAAAGACTAATTAAATCCTATGTGTTTAATACAGGAAAAATCAGGAAAGTATCAGCTATGAATCGAAATATTTGATAATTGTATTTTGCCCGCGAGTTTTGATAACGATAGTAGGTCGTAGTTTTTAATAATTGTAAAAATATTAAAGAAAGATTTATTCTACTTAAGTTGCCTATACGTTCTATCATGAGCCAATGTCCAATTGGCCACTTTTTCATCGCATAATTATACATAGATCTTAAATAGTAAAATTTGTTTGATTATAGTTAGTATATTTTAATTTTTACCTTAACACCGGCAGCTATTAGTATCAAATTAGAATATTTTTCACTATGTTGGGGATGTGCAAATATCGGGTGAAGTGATTGCTGGCTCAGGCAAGTCCTGCAGCAGTTCCATGGGAGCACGCTGGCCATTTAAGAAAGTCTATTTTATTCATAAATTTTGAAATAATTCCCAGAAAAAGATTGTTTTGTTTGGTAAGACAGATAAAAAATGTCAAAATGACATTGATTTGACACTAGACAGTTAGTAAATCAGCCTACATAGGTGTTAGGTGTTGCCGTATAAGAATTACATAAAATTATTTTTATTATATTTGTTTTTACCCAATAATGTTTCAAGTTGTTTAAAATCATTAAAAATGTACTCAAATATACAATCTTTAGTACAATGCTTATATGGTGGTGCAATTGCCAAGGTATTGGCTTCGGCGTCGGGGGTCGCGAGTTCGATTCTCACACGACAACTGTTTGTGTGACCTACATATACCTAGTTGTTTCGGATCTGGATGTTTGTCCACGTAAAATTTATGTATTTAAAGCCAAACCTTATAACGCAGGATAATATACTTCTATAGTAAGAAGGCAATGATTTCGAATGGAAGAGTATAACAGATCTTTCTAGATGGCAGTGATCGTTGGGACTTACTAACCAAACCCTTACACACAAAATATAAATACAATGTATTTGTAAAGTTCAGTTAACGACGATTTTAATTAAGAGTAGTTTTGCAAGCGATGTGTAAGTAGCGGTTTTGTAGTAAAGGACCGGTGAATGAATATCGGGTGATGAATATATGGATATTTGCGCGTCGTTTTGGGCAATAATACAGACTAAGATTATTTAAAAGTGTAACCTTAATAAATAACAAACATTTTTCTGGTTTTCTTGTCGCCTTTATGTAATACAGTTAATTTGTTAATAAATTAGTCTGTCATCAAAAATGTAACTAAATAAATGTTTTAGGACACATTTTTTTAAACAACGTTCTTTAGCCCAAAACTAAGCAACGCTTATACTATGGGTACTAGAAAACTGATAGACATCTTAAACATACTTTTCTTTTGTAAATAAATACACGTTATACATATATAAACGATGGGATGGGTGCAGAAGGCAGGTACACTACCGACCAAATGGACGAGCCGCCCCGTCAGCCCTGTAGTCTCGGGTTTTTAGAATAGAGCTAAGGTATCCCCTGCCTGTGGTAAAAGGGGACACGGATTGGCAGCAGCACGAACTGGTCTGCATGGTCACGTGCTGCTGCAAGACGGCGAGGGAACCTTACCCTACCCTTCTCCGAGGCGTGCCGGTGACGCAGTACTGAGGGACACCGGTGCGTTCCGTAGGAGATCCCGGAGTCCCTCCAAAGGTACAGAAGGTGGCCACCGAGCGGGATTTAGGGGGTACGAAACCCACATGACCTCTATAAATCTTTTGAAGATTTCCCCCAGATACAAAAAAAAAGGTACACTAGCGACTACGCCATTCTGGTCGTCGAAATAAAAACAATTATCTAAATTCTACTTAAGGATAGATTTTTTTATGTGGAAAGGTAGCAAGCTAGCTAGGTTGACCTTATTTTAAGTGACTTCTTCCGTCACCGTCGATCACGTAGTACATAGAACATTTCGTTAACACCAGATCAACAAAATTCATAATATTTCTAAGGGCCTATAATTGCATTAACAGTTCGCCCCCCCCCCCCCCCCCCCCTCATCTTCTTACATCCAACAGCGAAAGTTCGGGTTTGTACTACGGCTAAAATGAAACACTGGTATGTATGGTAAATGTTATATATTTTACGTTTCAACATTAAAAATGACAAATTAATATTAACCGTATAATATATGCGTATCAGAAACATATCCTTTGACTGTACCGTAGATTACTAACGCCAGTCCATCGATAGCAATATACACCTTTCTTTCTAAAGTTTTTTTTACTATGCAAATCTATTGCTCAACTACTATTCAGGTATACCGGTCTACCAACATACACAAGTTTATCAAAGTTCCGACGATAAATCATCATCGAATTTGTATACAGGTGTTTTGGTCTAACAGTATACTTTCAGATTCAGGTTCTACCGATCTACTAGCAGCTCGTGGCTTTCGGGGTTTTGTGGCACGTTTGTATGAGACGGGGTATGCAAAACTTTTCTGCATGCATGGAGGGCACGCTCATAGGTCTATGGTCCATCAGAATCATCCACATGCTGGTCTATCAGACGGCCGGCGAGTGCCACCCCTCAGGTATACCAGCCTGCCCCCCTCTCAGGTCTACCACCCTGTGCCACTCCACCGGTCTCCTGTTCCACCGTGCTCACAGCTGCAGGTCTACCAACCCGTGACGCTCCACTGGTTCCCTGGTCCAACGCCCTCACAGCTGCGTGTCTAACACCCTGTCCCGCCCCAATGGTTCCCTGCTCTTCTAGCCTCACAGCTGCACGCGCACTATCGGCCCGTGGCCCTCCAGCATTCCGTGCACGCGGCGCGTGTGCGCCCTCACCTTGTTCGGCTTCTCGAAGCGGTGCTCGCAGACGGGGCACAGGTAGCCGTACCGTTTGCCCGTGTGCGCGTTGTGCTTGTGGATCTGGAGGAACTTGCGCGACTTCAGCCGCTTCGGGCACATGTCGCACTGCGCCCGCGGGAGGTGATTAGGTGGTTTTTTTTATGTGAAATGTTGTTAAGCGAGCAGGCGGTTCGCCTGATGTTAAGTGAATACCGCCACCCGTGGATATCTGCTACACCCGAGGGTTGCAGATGCGTTGACAACCTTTTTGAAAATTGGGCTACCTCACTTACCAGACGAAACGCGAAAGTATTATACTACCACTTAACGCCGGTCTTCTGTAAGGTCGTCGTACTTACCCGGACGGGTCTGCCCATTCGTGAACAGCAGGACCTGTGTGCGTGGCCCTACCGCAGTAGCGTGGCTCTAGGTGGATGTAAGGACTTTTGGGTCAGAGGGGGGAATGCGTTAGCTAGTGTTTTGAGTATTACTTCCCCGGACGATCGTACTCATTCGTACAATAGCAAGACCTGCTAAGTGGGTCTACCAAATGTAAAAGAACCTAGGATTATTGTGCTCATAATCTCCAACACTCTGTAGCCCTAAATTAAAGTAACAGTCTATATATCGTTCCACTGCTAAGCAATGACCGCCCGTTTACAGAGGGTATTAGGGGAAGTACACCACGCGTCCCCACTGCGGATTTTCTGATTTCACATTTATTCGATTTATTTTTATGTTATCATTTTGAAAATATGCGAATATGATAGCCCGTAATAAATCGGCACTTAAAACTGCAATAAACCATTTCATTGATGCCGGATCCGGTTTTGCTTTTTCTTTCAGTATTGTGAATTACTGTGCCCGGATACAGCTACAACGAGATACGTATGATAGATACGGACAACAATAAGTTTTAAGAGGAACCTTACATTATGTATGAAGATTCCGTGGCGAGGTCGCCAAAGTATCGGCTTTGGCGTCCGGAGTCGTGGGTTCGACCCCCACTGAGACTTACCACCCAACCCCTTCCTCCTTCCTCACAAAACACAAAACAACACCTTACGTTGACTGCTGACTGGTCTCCGACCATAAAGATCAACAGCACCGGATAACTAATTGAAAATCTCCCGCAAATTCTTCGGCTGAGCTGACCCTCACTATAGGAAACGCAAATAAATCAAAGCATACGCACTTTTTAGCGAACGCTTTGAAATGCTTTTGAGTACCAAGCCAACCTCCTGGACCTATAAGGAGATGTCAGTAGGGACCCACCTGAAAGTTCTTCTCGGGCAGGTGGAGCCTTGGAGTACCAAGCCAAGCTCCTGGACCTAAAAGGCGATGTCAGTAGGGACCCACCTGAAAGTTCTTCTCGGGCAGGTGGATAGCGATGTGCTGCACCAGGTTGGACCTCCTGTGGAAGGTGGCCCCGCAGTGGTCGCACACGTAGGGCCTCTCGCCCGTGTGCCGCCTCTCGTGTATCTTAATGAGGGTATTAGAGAACTCTTGTATCTGAAGGTCAGCGAAGACACCGTTACAGTTCCTTTGACTTAATAACAGCAAGTAAAATATGCTGAATATATAGTACATTGTCTTTGTGTCTTAATGGCCAAAGGCATAAGTCGCTCTTGTATCTAAAGCTCAACAAAGACACGTGTACTATTAATTAAAAACTGAGAAGGTAGAAGTACAATCTGCTAAGTATATCATTATCTTTGATACAGTCTTAATGGCCCAAGGTATAAGTCACAAAGTTGCTACCGACGACAAATAAATTCTCATAGCCCAGGTCAACTTGAGGCCAAGGTGTTAAAGAGATTGGTAAGACCTCTTTTGCAAAATGATCGGATACCTTTCAAATAACTTTAAAATTCTATCTCTAACTTTTTTTAAAAGTACAACAAAAATACTTCCTACATAAATACTACTAACATACTAATAACAAGTCGGTAAACATAACACAACTTATACAATAATTAAATTGAAAGCATCAAATAAGAACTCAATTTTTGTTTATGTCAACCCCCGGGAGGTTAAGCTCACACATTTTAAAACGAGTTACGGCCACGCAACAGTCTCTTCTATTGCACTAATGGGAAGATCTCTCCGAATAAGTACCACGACCTCACAGAAGACCGGCGTAAATTGAAAGTGTCATAGTTTTGCGTTTCTACCGACAGAATAAGCCGGGGGCATATTTCATTTAAAGGTGGCAAGGCATCTGCCACCCTACAGGTGTTGCAAATGTCCTTGAGCGGCGATTATCACGTAACATCAGGTAAACCGCGTCCTCGACCTTCTCAAATAAAAAAAATATAAAAAAACTTCATCCCGTGGTCGTACTCACCGTCAAAGCCTCCTTGGTGGCGGAGGTGTACTCGCAGTACGCGCACTTGTGGATCCGTCCCAGGCCGTGGCGCGCCCGCTTGTGCTCCTGCAGCTGGTTGTGGTTCCTGCACCGCTTGCCGCACGACTGCGGGCGGCAGAAACGACCGTGGGGTTGTGTAACCAAAGCTCGATTGAGTCAAGACCGCGGAAAGGAGAGATCATACTTTGCGGCAAGCTTAACCGAGCCCCCACCGCAGAAAGAGTCGCCCTTCTTTGCTGCGGTGGGGGCTCACCGCCTAAGTCAGTAAGGGCTCGGGCGGTGGAAACTCCCGTGGGGTTGTGTAACCCAAGCTCGATGGAGCCCCAACGCAGAAAGGAGGGATCACCCCATCTTTGCTGCTAGCTCAATGGAGCAAAGAAGGGCTGATACTTTCTGTGTCCTAAGTCAATAAGTTCTCAGGGGAGCCCCAAGGAAACCCGTGCACAAATCACATATGAAACAAAATGATGATTCAATTTATTGCCCTCTGTCTTGCCCCTTGATAGGCCGCCAAGCCATGAGTAGGCTGTTCCTGAGTGAGTGCTTTTACTGTCTATATCAGTATTGCCAGATACATTCAGGTGTGGCAGCATTCAAGTGATGGCCAAGTACTTTTTAAAAGAAAAAGTATATTCAGCAATTGAATATAACAACCTCTTACTGACAATCTACAATATTTTCTCCAAAACTATTATTTATACTATTTATTTATATGTATATTAACTACCAATTTTTATATTATTTACCAACATGAATGAACAATAACATATATTTACAGTGACTCACCTCGCATACACAGTAGTGGGTGTGGAACCTGAGGTGGGCTTTGTAAGTAGCCTTCATTCGGAACTCCTTGGAGCAAAACGTGCACTGGTAGGGAGGGGCCGAGCCGTTCATTCCCAGCCTTGGCTTGGCCATCACAGGCTTAGGCTGCAATTTGCAAGAGTAATCACCAAGAGAGCCTGTGCTTGCCGCCAGTTAATATAGAAGATGTATAACAATATAAAATAAATTATTCATCTTATGAACCCAATAGAACTCTTATACTTCCATACATAATAAAAAAAGTATGTAACACTGTATTTTTTCTTTTAAAACATTGCCCTTACTTTAGGATAACATTATCCTGTCTTGTAGGGACGCTATACAAACATAAATTTCACGCGGACATACACCCAGATGCGAAAAACCTATCTTTGCATCACACAAACAGCTGTCCCGTGTGGGAATCGAACCCACGACCTCCGCGCCGAAGCCAATACCTTGGCCGCTGCGCCACGGAGTCATCAGGGTGGCAATAGATAAAAATTCCCTTAAGAAAAGCCCTGAAAGAGGTCTCCCTCCTATCAGATCTACTATTTAGAGCTATGCGCATGAGTATCTTATAGTGTAAAGTGATATTTTGAAAAACTTATATATTTATTTGACGTTTCAAAAGAACGCACGTTTCTATTTGAATAAAGATATTTTGAATTAGAATTGGAATATACGCATAAAACAATTCATCCAATTTTAACACGAAGTTATTACAGAGACTTGGTGATTGTGCATGGTCAAAATCTAAAGGCCAACCAAGAACTATTGTAGTGTTATATGGGTAGTTTTATTATTATAAATCAAACACATGGGATTTAATATTTCGAAAACCTGTAATTACCTCTTTCATTTCTCTAACTTTGGCAATTTTCTTTGGTTTTACGTCTTCAGCATTAGAATGATCATACTCTATTGGGTACTCATTATCCAAGAAATCATACGAGTAATCTTCTACTTGCTCTTCCTTCTTCCCTCTCTCAATCTTCAAACTCCTTTTGGTTCTATTGCCATTCTTCTTTGAGTATTTTTTCTTCACTTTAATACCGTTTGCCATGCTCAGTAAAGTTTTTTCCGATTTCTTACTTGTCCTTCTAAACTGCAATGCGTTTTGCAGGGTTTCCATACAGCTACTGCAGATTTTCTGTGACAGGCCATCGTTACATTTAATCTGTACAAAAAATAAGAAGTTAGTCACAAATGACGACCCGATTGGTGTGGGGAGTCGCGAACCTCTGCCTCTTAAGCCAGAGGATGTGGGTTCAATGCGACTGGAAAAAATATTGTGTGTTGAACATGGTGTTTTCCCAGGGTCTGGCTGTTCATTTATGTATAATATGTATTTATTTACAAAAGAAAAATAAGTTTATGTATGTTTATCAGTTTTCTAGTACCTATAGTACAAGCGTTGCTTAGTTTGGGGCTAGAGAAACTTGTGTAAAAATGTGGCAGAAAATATTTATTTATTTAATCCGTAATGTGATATCCGATTAAAGTGATGTCTTAAGTGATAACTACCACTCATGGATATTTGCAACAACTGTAAGGTTGCAGATGAGTTGCCACCTTTTAATTAAGTGGATATGTGAGACACTTTGATATGTGTGAATTTAAGTTATCTTATTATTGACAAGTAGTTTTGTATGTTTTAGGGAAGCATATGACATTTATTGTCTTAACCACAATAGTCAATCAAATAACTGGGAAATAAATATTTAGCAATGGTTTCGGCATCATTTTGATTTGGTACTCAAAATAGCAATCAATAATTTCATTAGTTCAGGTACATGGAAGGATTAAATATTACATTAAAGGATAAAACGGTATTCAAATAGTGTATCCCTCAGTTTACAGTTGATATTGATGTTTGTATTAAAAGTCCACATTTAATGTATTATTATTGTTCTCCAATTCATTATAGAGATAGAATGGGTGAAATAGAAAGATGTTTAAAAAAATTATCAACGCCCATAGGTTAATGCTTGTGTTTAATCCTGGGTAAGTTCAGATAGTAATTTTTTTAAATACCTCTAAACCTGTTACGAGCCGGAATTCCACTGCCCTTTTTTCTGCGTCTTTACAGTCAAATATAGGCGATAAGTTCTTGGTGCTCAAGCAAGTTCTGCAAACTGAAACTTCCAAGTTATCCTTCTCAGCTTTTATAGGTTTAATCGCACACCGAACTGCCCTACGGCGCGATCTCATTCGATTTAATAGAAGGACGGCAAGCATTTTTATGTTAGTGCAATGTTATTGAATTAATGTATATCAAGTATAGATTTCATTACAATGTGTCAATAATCCAATCTAAGCTTGCAAATCTCACAACTTTCTTTTTCTGTATATGTAAACAAATAGACCACCAAATCAAATCATTTATTGAAAAAAATTCAAATTCAATCAGCAATCAGCAATGCAAACAAACAATCACTTCCTTTTTATTTTTTTAGTTCATGTGGCACTAGTTTTAAACATAATGCCATCAATGTCATCACACGATCTACTCGATTTTTTCTTTTTTAATTTTTCTGTTCTATTACTATTATGTTCTGTTTTTCTGTCCTTTTCTATCTGTTTGTATTTTACTGTTACCCCAGCGGCTTTGATAGCTTCCTTTGAATAGATGACATATCTATTTGATACTGCTCTGATATGATATCTGCCAGTGCCTGGAATCACTTAAACAACGTAGTTGTTGCAAGACGACGACACGATAATGCCGTTCACTCGATTTCATTCACCACGGTGTATGACCTGATGATAGACAGTTATCTTTTTTTTTTTTTTTTTTAAACATTGCCCTAACTTTAGGATAACATTATCCTGTGTTGTAGGGACGTTTTACAAACATAAATTGCACGAGGACAAACACCCAGATGCGAAACAACTGTAGGTCGCACAAATAGTTGTCCCGTGTGGGAATCGAACCCACGACCCCCGACGCCGAAGCCGATACCTTGGCAACGGCGCCACGGAGTCATCACAAGTTTGACTAACAAGGGAGCACACGACATGAACCAAGGGCCTCTCAGACCGGACCTCTGCTTAGACCGCGAAATCAACTAGGACTGACACCTATCCTTAGGTATTAATTAGCTGAAGCCTCCCCTTCTCTCACATGAAACATGTGGCTGATTAAAACAACCGCCGCGTCTAATTTAAATTTAGCGCGCGACTCGCGCTTTGCAACCAAGTCGCCTCTGATTGGTCGGCGACCGGGGACTTCCGTCTGCCTACACACTCGCCGCTCAGAACACAACGGTCGACTTCTCTTTATTAACAATAACATTATTTTAAGGGTGAAAATATTGTGAAATTATGTAAAAATCTTTCTGATCAATACAATTAACAGTGAGCACATTCCTGCTTTTTATTTAATGGCATTCCGCACATTTCATGCCATAAATACTATCCCGAGCCACCTGTATCCGAACCAACGATGTATCCGAACGAAATATATGATGCCCAATTTTTCCAAACACTACCCACCCATCCAAATTGGATTCGCCGACTAACCTCTGCGCTGAAGTTGGATTGGTTATATTTTGTATAGCGTAAGGCCTAAACATTTAGTCTTGCTTTCCCATGAATTGGGTTGGTCGAAATTGAACGATAAAAATATAAGGATTCTTTTTCTTCGGTGTAGTCCGAATGAATGTTAAACATTATACTTAGCCATTATCTTTTTTTTTTGTCCATTGAGCTCTCTTTAGGGTAACATTATCGTGTGTTGTAAGGACTTTTAACAAACATTAATTTCACGTGGACGAACACCCAGATGCGAAACATCTATCTGTGGGTCAAACAAATAGTTGTGTCCATCTAAAGTGAGGCCGCGTCGTGGACTATGTCTTGATATGAGAAAAAATTTATCAACAAATTGTAATTCTTACTAAAACAAAAACCCTTTTACATGTCACGACTAGCTACCGGCCTGACGTCCTTGGGTACAAACATCCAGATCCGGAACAATTATCTGTGTGTCACACAAGTACTCAGTTGTCATCAGTTGGTATTGAACAACAGAATTATTTGCAATGATTATAATAATAAAATGTTCAACCATAAACATTTTTTGCGAAGACTTCCTGGATTGGCCTACATATTTTTGACCGGTCGAAACGATTTCTCACTGAAAAATGACATTTAAAAAAATTGTAACTTGGATAAAAAATGAAAGGCATTAATAAGGTAACATTTCAGTTTATTTACAACAATTAAACTAGTTATTGCTCTGTTCCTCAATTTAAAGTTTATATTACGATCGCAAGATATCAACTAAATGATATAAATTATAAAATATTTTATGACACTATATTACAATCACAGAAATTCGTTTGTGAGTTATTAGTCTGTGACCAGTTTTTAATGAATAATTAGGCAATAAGACATTTGTGAGCTTCCAAATCTACATTCGTGAGATATGTTTATAATTTTTTTTTCTCTTGAGAAATAAAACCTCATTTATCTAAATTATAACCAAAAACATTGCCGTCTTATCCCCGGCTACACCTAGAGCAGATAGAGTCTTCTTGTCAAATAGATTGTATTTGCCGCCATTTAAAAAGTAGTTGTAATAAAATAAAATCAATAAATTCGAGTTTTGAAAGAAATAAAAAACCCTTCGTAGTTTTATGAACAGTAGTAAAACACTATAAAATTATGTATGAAAAAATGTCATTGATGCTACTGAACTGTTTGCAACATTACAGAGGCAAAGTTTTACAATTACATGCTAAGAATTAAAACTACAAAAATATATTTAAAGTAAAAAAAAAAAAAAACTTAAGGCTTTAGTAAATAATTATGACAAATGATTATATAATTCAATGATTAACGATTTATTACATTTTGGCGATTGGTATGAATACGAGGGTTCGTAAAATAATAAATTCCCAATATACTTTATATTGTTTCGTAAAATATTTCAATTTAACGAATCGACGACCGCCATTTGAACAATACGTAGATGATAATGATGATACGCTGAACTTTGGTAAATTACTTATTATACGTAGTCTATACAGACATAGGATTTTGGTTTGGTTAATTTACGTATGCTAATTTTATTACTATTACTTTATGTAATGTTAAATACACTCGTGATAAGGCCTGACCTTTTGATGTAATTTTAGTAGAGTTTGACATCGGATCAGCCTAGGTGGCTACAATGCCAACTGAACCATCAATTCAATCAGCCAGTAATTACGAAAACAAACTGATATTAATTGAATAATAATATTTAATGTATATCAGTTTATTTTCGTTATAATAAATGTCCAAAACAAAAAACCTAAGGCTTGACAACAAGCACACGAAAATATAAGACAATCAAAGCTGTCGATGGCGAATTATTGTGATCTTGGTTCGTTATAAATTTTCATTTTATGTACATACAATATACACGGTTTTACTTGGCTGATGACCGGTGACACAAAAAATTAAAAACAAAATAAAAGATTTTTTTTAAATTACTGCACCGTCATATTAAAAGATTTTTTTTTTAAATTACTGCACCGTCATATTTGATTTCGTTTTCACTAACGCCCGGTTTTTGAAACGGATCCTCGTAGAAATTAACCAATCAGCTGTCAAATGGCATTTTAAAAGTCATTTGAGTTGTTAAAAGTATGGTTAAAGTCTCTGAATTGATCAGTTCAATTCAAACAGTTTAACCATCCGTTTGGCCACTCAAATGACATTTGAAAAGCCATTTGACAGTAAACTGCTGTAAATTACTGATAATTTCTATGATGATCAGTGTTTCAGAAACGGAGCGTTAGTGTCGTTTCTCGAAAGACATTTAAATGTCTTCGTGAATCTGAATTCACGTAAATATTTTGGTGAATTAAGGCCCATTTACACGATGCCATTTTCTTGTAAATACAAGAGCAATAATTGAATGCAATAAATTGCGCGCAATAATTGTTTAGACCATTTGTTGTTTAGACCATGCAACTCATTTATTGCTTCAATTTAATTGTATACAACAGGCAAGAAACTGGCACCATGTAAATGGGCCTTTAGTGTATAATTCCTGTATATTTTACTGGAAAGGTCACAGCACTCAGGTTTTTAGCAGACATCTATAGAACTGTATGGAGTATCCCATAGCTTGTAATTGATGTAAATTGACCCAATATCAGCCCCGCCAAATGAGAACCAAACTTATAATTATGAAGCGATGTATAAGAATCAGAGTGGAGTGTTCTGACCATTAGAAGTGTTATTATTACTATTATGATTTTTTTATTATTGTTTAACGGCTTGGGATTTCTCCATACAGCCCATTCATAAATTTTATTTTACTTTTTATTTTATTATTATTTTACTTTTATTCGACAAAAAAAACGTATGGCGACGAAAATGACATTAACCGCGTAACTATAGCGCATTCAAGAAGGAAGAGGCGATTTCGACAGGCGGGCACACAGATTAAAAAGAATCCGTACGTCACAATAAACCACAGAGTCGTAAAATTACTTTTTGGCGTGCAACAACCTACTCATTCAAACGTATGAAGAGTGAATATTTGGTGTCATTGGGAGAGGAAGTTTGGGATGAGTTTCTTGACGCTTCTGCTACTGGGCTCCTCGAACAAACTCTTGACGAAGAACACCTGGAATTGAGTTTATTTTTTTCAAGTCACTTTTAACTGGTAGGGCCACGCAACAGTCTCCGCTGTCTCTCGAATGGGCAGGCCCGGTAAGTGCCACGACCTCACAGAACACCGGAGTAAAGTGGAAGTATAATACTTTCGCTTTTCATGTGGTGAGTGAGGTGGCCGGAGCCCAATTTTCAAAAGGTTGTCAACGCATCTGCAACCCTCGGGTGTAGCAGATGTCCATGGGCGGCGGTATTCACTTACCATCAGGTGAACCGCGCGCTTGCTTGGCAACTTGTCACATAAAAAAGTTAATTAACATAGAAGTAAAGTAGAAGTGTTAATACTTCTGCGTTTCATCTGGTGAGTGAGGTAACGAGGCTCTTTTTAACGTATAAAAGCGCGATACGGTTGTCAACGTATATGCAAGCCTTTGGTGTAGTATATGTTCATGGGCGACGGTATTCACTTAACATGAAAATATATCACTTAACAAAAAGTTGTTATTGGTTGCCATGGTACTGCTGGAGAAGTTGGTCGCTTTGCAACCTAGTATCGTAAAAATGTTATCCTCATATTGTTTTTATAAACGCGCCAAAAGAAGTATTAGCTAAAAATCTATGGCCCATCATATAAATTCATCGGATGTAAATTAACAGTAGGAACTCTCTACGCAGTATTCTACATTCATTAGAGTTTGAGACGAGTCTTAATTAAATAACTATATTCAAATTAATGAAACTATTTTAGTGTATAATAGTTTCATTTGACAATGTATAATGTATACATGGAATAAATAAGTAAATTCAACATTTGGACAGTCGAGTGTGAAGACTATCACTGGAAGGATACGGACCTGCGTGATGCCGACCAGTAGCATCACGGCTATCTGCCAAAGGGACCACTGCAGCACCCTGGAAATGTATCACGTAAAATGTCACATGATCCATGGCTTGGGAAAGTTGTCACACACAATAATATGGTAGGGCCAAGCATTAGTGTTTACTGTTGCACGAATTGGCAGATCCATCCGGGTGAGTACAACAACCTTACAGAAGACCAATGTGAAGTAGAATGGTTACACTTCGTCTGGTGAGTGAGGTAGCCGGGGCCCACTTTATTTAAAGGTGACAACACATCTGCAATTTTAAGGTTATTGCAAATGTCCATGGGCGGCGGTTGTCAGTTAACATTAGGTGAACCGCCAACTCGTTCGTCACTTTCTTACATACAACATACACACACACATAAGCTACATACATCCTTAGCTACAAACTTACACACACCATCATATGCATATGTAACACTTATATAACACACAAAGAGTGTTTGAATTAATTTGTAATTACAACATACACACACACATAAGCTACATTCATCCTTAGCTACAAACTTACACACACCATCATATGCATATGTAATACTTATATAACACACAAAGAGTGTTTTAATTAATTTGTAATTACAACATACACACACACATAAGCTACATTCATCCTTAGCTACAAACTTACACAAACCTTGCATATGTAATACTTATATAACACACAAAGAGTGTTTTAATTAATTTGTAATTACAACATACACACACACATAAGCTACATTCATCCTTAGCTACAAACTTACACACACCATCATATGCATATGTAACACTTATATAGAATATAATAAGAGTGTTTGAATTAATTTGTAAATATTCACTACAGATGAATCAAAACTTATGTTACCATAACCCAACAACAAGAGGAGTCAGCCACGTATTTTTTTAATCTATAGCAATGGTTTTACTGTGGCAAGGCCGTACAACAGTCTTCACTCTTGCACAAATGGGCAGGTCCATGCGGCGTAATTAACACGATCACATAGACGACCCGCGTGAAGTGAAAGTGATATACTTCTGCGTTTCGTCTGGTGAGTGAGGTAGCCGGGGCCCACTTTGTGAAAGGGTGGCAAAGCGTCTGCAACCCTACGGCTGTTGCAGATGTCACTGGGTTATCACTTAACATCAGGTGAACGGCCAGCTTATTTGCCACCTCCTCACATGAAAAAAATATGTTGAACAATGAAAACTTTTGACTTTACCTCTCCATCTACTCCAGAACAACTTAATAGCTTTTCAAATCGGATCATTTATTTCATTTTTAGAGTTCAATACCCAAAGGGTAAAACGGGACCCTATTACTGAGACTCTGCCGTCTGTCTGTCTGTCACCAGGCTGTATCTAATGAACCGTGATAATAAGACAGTTTTCACAGATGATGTATTTCTAATGCCGATATAAAAACAAATACTAAAATACCGAGCCGTGATAGCTCAGTGTCCGGGCGCTCGCCTTTAATCCAATATACTCGAGCAACCTGAGTTCGATCCCCGGTGCCGGCACCAATGAAGTTTTTAACTTTAAGTGCTGACTTATCACGTGCTCCGCGGTGAAGGAAAACATCGTGAGGAAACCTGCATATTTTCGAAATAATAACAAAAAAAAAATATTTTTCGAAGATATGTGAAGTCCGCCAATCCGCAGTGGGGCCGCGTGGTGGACTATGCCTTGATACCCTCTATATAGAGGAGGCCTTTGCCCAGCAGTGGGACATGTATAGGCTGTTACTTTTACTAAAATACAAAATAAAATAATGTAAATTCAAGTGGGGCTCCCATACAACAGACATGATTTTTTGCCGTTCCTCTCGATAATGATACTGAAACCTTTGCGGGACCCGACTCGCACTTGGCCGGTATTTTAATCTACCACCGTTTCGTAATGAGGTTCTTCACGGAGAAGGAACAGTAGGTATCCTCTTCTCTTTTACTTGTTTTTACTTTAAGGACCAATCGCCAGTAGCCGGACCCACCTGGCGCACATGTCCTCGGCCAGGTTCCTGTCCCTGGCCTCGTGGGCGGAGAGCAGATCCTGGAGCCTCTTGGCCGCCGACACGTGCTCCTTCACCCTCGAGACGGACTCCGATATGTCCTTGACCCTCATCATGTACGTCTCCGCCGCGTTGCCTGGGAACAGTTAAGAATGACGAGGAGTAGTGACCCTACCTCTTGCGCCTGCGGGTGTGGGTTCGATCCCCACTACTGGAAAAATTTTGTATGATGAACATAGTGTTTTTCCAGTGTCTGGCTGTTTATATATGTATAAAATGTATTTATTTACAAAAGAAAAGTATGTTTTAGCATGTTTATCAGTTTTCTAGTACCCATAGTAAGCGTTGCTTAGTTTGGGACTAGAGAATGTTGCGTAAAAAATGTGTCCGAAATATTTATTTATTATTATTTTATTAATTTGCGATGATATTAGGGCTGTATCAAACCGTATATATTCGGTATTGATTCGGCCGCGCCATCTAGTATCGAGTAATGAAACTCACAATACTACTACTATGAAACTCGCATTACTACGTTACTCGCAGTTTTCGTGTGTATGGGTGAAATGACGTTTAAAATTTTCAAAACAATATAGCCATTGCAATTTAGTAGATTGCGTCAACTCGCTCACACTTTACCGATTAAATCATACTTAATTTAGAATAATTTAAACACAAGTCGGTTCAAAATACAAATGCACCTTCCGAAGCTTGTTAAGTAACGTTGCGACGCCGCGTCATCATACCGTACACGTACGCAACGACTCAATTCGTTGCCCTAACATAGCAGCATTTTATGAGGTATTACAAGTAACGAGTAACGTAACGATACGATAGTAACGATTACTAATTACTATACGGGTACGCTTTTTTTTTGTTACTTTTAAACCTCTACAAGATACAGTAGCAACATTTAAATGTCTGTTTCGAGAAGTACAACCTCACTGAAGACTGGTGTTCTTGTGGGTAAACGCCAACGACTATTGCGATTTAGTAAGAACAATTGCAGTCTTCTATATAATTCTGTGTTGTAAGGATGTTTTACATACATAAATTTCAAGTGGACAAACAGTAAACACCCACATTCGAAACTATCATCTGTGAGTCACACAAATTTTTATATTGTTAGGGAATCGAGCCCAAGACCCCGAGCGCTCCAGCCAATAACTTGATAATTGCTCCACGGAGTCATCAAGACCGGTTTTAAGTGAAAGCATTTACAGTATGTAGGCATTAACCCTACCTCTTTGTTACCTATTTTATTTATTTGTTGGCAATAAAAATTAAATGAATAAATAACTCACCCATTTCCATCTCCTTGTCGTCGTCGTAATCATTATACGGGGAGTCTTCCGTTTCTACCATCAGATCGAAGAACACCTGAAAGACGGATAGATATTGCCTTAATGAAGTTACATAGCTTTAAGTGCTTAATGAGAATTATGTTACAGTTATTCTATTGTACACTCAATTACTCTTGGTCCGCTATTTAATGGTGTTGAGCCACGACGGACCAGTTTCAATCGCATGAGGTCAGATAGCCTCAGTGTTCACTGTGACAGTATCACCCACTTTGAAAACCATTGTATCACACTTCTTGTATTGTATCTTGTATTAACTGATGTTTTTGCTTTCAGTCCCGAGACTATTGAAGCTTCATCTGACGCAGAACCGGTGGGCTAGCCAGAACCCAGGGTTTGGGCCCTCCGCTATGGGTGTGCGTGCGTTTAACTATGGTATGTCATCTAAGGGCCATCGAGGTCGCGGTTCGGACCGAAACCCCGATGGCCGTCGACTGTGCGATTAGCTAATCGGTGGCTGGGGGCGGAGAGAACCGCCCCGGAACGCGAGTGAACCTTGTGTACGCGTTGTGTTGGTCTCGCCGTGCTCGGAGGCGAGGGCCAACTAATGTTTGTTGTTACACTAATTGTGGGTGTAGTGTTATCCGGCAGGACCCCCGATGGATCTGACGTATCTAAGTCCCCGTCCTCGACCGGGTCGGGGGTAATTTGCTGAGGGCGTTTCGCGGGCGACGCTTGTTGTCGGGTTGGTAATTTGCTGCGCTTCCCACCGGAGGGTTGGGATGATGTTCGACTCTATCGAAGAACCGTTTGGTCAGTTCTTTAAAACATTCGCGAATCGTCGGGGGTCTGCAATCGCTGTGCAGATCGACACTGCGTACCGTACTATGTAAAGTTCTGGGCTGACAGAGTTAATGGTGGAAACTAACCGTCTTCTGGCTGAATGTGCTGAAGCTGTTGTCGAAGCAGAACCTGTAGTCGCCGTTCAGGGCGGCGGTGTGCCGGTGCGCGTTGTCCTGTTTCTTGTAGTCGGCTACTATCACCCTTCCAACGGGGTCGGCCAGTTGGAAGGATATGTCCAGCTCACCGTGCGACGCGTCTATTACCTTCAGTTGACAAGAGTGGTAATAATTGTTGGTCATAAACAAAGAAATCCTTACTTCCTTACTAATATTATAAAGGTGAAAGATTGTATCTTTGTATGGATGTTCGTTGCTCTTTCATTGAATAGATTTTAATGAAACTTTACAATAATATAGCTTATACATCAGAATAACACAAAGACTATAATTTGTACACATTGGTATTTTTATGTATATCTGTCTTTCTGTCTGAATGTCACGCCTTCGGCCTATTCTACACGGACATAGTTGCGGGCAGCAGCTATTATCTTATATTCTCTAGTACAAAATGGTCTGATCATTCACCTGTTGAAAGTAATGGATGATGAAAAGATCTTAAGAATAAGTTGAATTTGTACATCATGTGGGTAACTGTTGGAAAACATCATTATCATCATTTCAGGATGTAAAACGAGTTGTAGTCTGCTACTGAACATATGCTGTTAAAGACAAATTCAACCTAAGATATGGACTGTAGTTAAAAGTAGAAGCTAATTGTTATTTATTTATACAAGTATATATCTTTATATATATTTAAATATTTTCAATACATTATATATATAATGCATATATATAAAATATACACATATAACTACAATAAATATATATTTACATATACAGCGTGTCGTTACCATCGCGACAATAAATTAACAAACGTCTAACGCTACTTGCCAATAATCATAAAAAAATATTAACGTTAAACAAAATCCATAATTATAAAAAAAATATTTTTCAAACAAACTAATTAAGTAAAAAAGAAACAAAATTTGTAACATCCTATACAACTCGCGCCACAGCGTCGCATTACAAGCCTCTCCTTCTTACAGTATGTTTTGTCTCTTAAATTCATTCATATGCTACGTGACCTTTACAAATGAACTTTATGTTACAGTTTTATACGTAAGGGTGTTCTAAAATTGTTTGTTTTGGAAAATTTAATAACTCGATAATATTGATGTTTAAAGAATGTAAATGTTTAATACAATTTTAAAAAGTTATCCTCTATATGTGTGTTCATTTATTGTTGCGGTGGTATCGACATGCTGTATATAATTTAATATATGATTTGTATCCAATTATAATATTATAATCAATAACAAAATCTGCGGTGGTCTAATGGACTGATCCAAGTTTTGATTTCATTTTAATAGTTAACTGTATATGTTTTTAAGGAGAAAATTTCTGTATTAACAGCTCGGAAATAACCATAAAAGATATGCCACACATTTTAACTCCTTCAGTTGAAAAAAAAAAGATGCAAGATAGACCTTTTTTTTATGTGAAGTTGATAAGCGAGAAGGCGGTTCACCTAATGTTACCACCGCCCATTGTAATCTGCTACACCCGAGGGTTAGAGATGTGTTGACAACCTTTTGAAAATTGTGCTCCGGCTACCTCACTCACCAAACGAAACGCGAAAGTATTTGTCATATTTCCATTTTACGCCGGTCTTCTGTGAGGTTGTGGTACTTACCGGATGAGCCTGCCCATTCGAGCAACAGCCGCGGATGCAGCGTGGCCCTACCACAGTTAGACCTATAACATGAGTTGGAGGAAGAAGTTTGTACAAGAACATTGTACAGGACTCAAAATTCATGTGTAGTATCATCGTACAGTGCACGCAAAACAGCTGTAAAAGGGAGTTAAGGGGACGATAGATAATCCTCAAAGGATCCCATACCTGGTATTCAATGTCGATTATTTCATTAGGTAACACTTTATGATAGAAACACTCCGTATTGCCGGCAGAAACGGTGAACGTCATGTCTTTCTCGTAAGCGAAAACAACGCTAAATATCGCCGTCACAAATATATAACGCATCGTGGACAATTGCCCGAAATGTTCAGGACACCCGTACTTAAGAGCCACGTATCTCACAACGTATTTATAGTATCAGAATAACTTATTTGTGTTTATAAATAGATCGATTTGTGTTAAGCCAAATATTTATCAATCAAATACAAAGTCTTGGCGGCGGATGTGAATTGTTGCGTTCGGAATCTTAAGGCCATGAATAATTGTTTTGACATTTGTAAATATTTAAAAAACTAATAAAATCTTTTATGTCTCACGGAAAGCACGACAGACGACTATTTTATCGGAACCGGACTATCAAATAAAATTTATATTACGGAAAATAAAAATAAGCTCAATACCTTCATTTAAAAATATATTTTTAGTTTAAACAATATTATTCTTAAGTTTTTATTAAGACTAAATTCTACAATCATATGGCTTTTTATTGAACAAATAACTTTTCACATTGCATATGGACCTGATCGCTAGAAAATGTAATATTAGTTTCACTGACCGTATACCGACGACCTTAGGCTCATGTGAAATTATTACGCGTGAGATATTTACGCGTCAATTTACTAGAAATTGATGCAAAGATATAAAATTGTTTATACGAAACATGTATACGTCCAAGACGGACATATTATCGAAGTCTTTGTTTCGCGCATACTTCAGCTAATCTCAAGTGATCCGCATCAAGTAATTCAAAATCTAACAGGCATACGGGGATATAATGTGCAGATTGCGAATCTGAGACCTCGGGTTCGCCAGCAAACGCGCTGTGCCTGGTGGTGCGCGGTATCGCCGTGTTCTTGCCGAGACCGGCTGCAGTATAGTGGCGGGAACATAAATTGTTCAAATTATTCTTTATCGGGATCGTCTAAAACATTAATAAAATGACGCTGTCTCAGATTCCCGGCCTGAAGGGATAGATGGTCTTAACAACGAACTCCAAGATATTATTAAAAATTTAAAACCGAAATCCGCCCCGGGCCCAGATAATATAAGTAATAAAATTCTCAAAGCTCTCCCTGGGCCGCTTATCTGTTTACTGGCGACCATTTTCAACACCCTTCTCTCCAGTTGCTCCTTTCCGGACGACTGGAAACAAGCCACGGTTATCGGCATTCACAAACCGAATAAACCAGCTAATCAGCCCTCTAGCTATCGTCCCATCAGCCTCCTCAGTTGCCTGGGGAAGCTCTACGAGCGGCTCTTGTTAAACAGGCTCAAAGAGCACGTATTTTCCAACGACCTTCTGTCGACGGAACAATTCGGCTTTCGAGCTAGACACTCTTGTCCCGATCAGTTATACCGCCTAAAGGAGCACATCCTAAAAGGCCTAAACCATCCGAAACATATAAGTACAGGGGCTCTTTTCTTCGATGTCGCAAAAGCATTCGACAAAGTCTGGCACAACAGCTTGCTTTACAAGCTGTACACTCTCAAAGTGCCAGATAGGCTCGTACACACCATCCGGGCCTTTTTGTTGAATCGCTCTTTTCGGTATCGAGTCGAGGGCAACCTCTCCACAAGCCGCCGCCTCACGGCCGGCGTACCACAAGGCTCCTGCCTCTCACCTTTGCTCTTTATATGCTCTACACGAGCGACATACCCAAAGACCCCCACGTCAATCTCGCGCTTTTCGCGGATGACACCGCGCTCTTTTATTCAGACCGCAACCTTAAAATACTAACCACTCGACTCCAAAGCGCCGCCGACTGCCTCGGCGATTGGTTTCGCAAATGGAGAATAGAAATAAATCCCGAAAAGAGTGTGGCGATTCACTTCACACGAAGTACTTACCCGTCACATCTTTATAATGGCCCTCGCCAATGCAGAAAGTTGGGACAAATATCCCTTTATGGCCAACCGCTCCCCTGGGGGATAAAGGTCAAATACTTAGGAGTCACATTCGACTCGCGTATGTCATTTACTACGCACATTAATAACGTTCGTAATAGAGCCGCGTTCGTCTCCAGCCGGCTAAACAATTTAATTAACGCTAAAAGTAAAATGCCCTTAAGGCACAAATTATTATTATATAAGATCTGCATACGACCTATTATGTCCTACGCATGCATGATCTTCGCCCACACGCAGCCTACTCGCTTGTGTAACGTTGCATCTAAATGCACCCTTCCATTTTTTATTAATATTTGTAAACAAACAAATTATATCCGTTCGCGTAGCCTGCACGCCATACCGACGGATCCCTAAATTCGGAAGCGTTCGGCGAAATTCGGTGACGCGAACGCTTCCCCGTTTGGGCCAATCGTACGAGACTACGTTTCGCACGTCAGACAGAGCGGTCACTGTGCTGTGTGCTACTGATAAGTAACGACCGACTATTTTTTAAAAAAGTCAGAATGGTTAAATCCAATTTGATCCCCCTGGGGTGAGTTGTCATTACTATATTGTAACTGTGTATTACTATATTGTAACTGTTCTGCTTTTTATTTTTTTTCTTGCTGGTGCTGCTTAGCGTAAGAGTGTAGCTTTCATAAAAGGGGACACTGAGCTCGAGTAGGGTTTGTCCAGCGCCGATTTTTAAGCCGCCCTAATGCTTGCCTTCGTCTGGCTTCCAGGATCTCCCTACCCTAATTATTAGCCGAGCGCTGCCGCCCGGATTAATACGGCCGAGCTACCCGATCTACAGAGCCCGAGACCCCAGATACCGACGGCTTCGAAAAATCGGCGTAGAACAATTCCTGGACGTCTCACCCTACGTCAGGCCAGTGAACCACCACTACACTTAGCTGTTGTATGCGGAAGTATGACAAATAAAGCTATAAAAGAAATAACACTGAATCCTTGAACCCACCTACCCTACCTTAGAATTTAGCCGATAGGCCACAGTGGCGCCCAACGTTATTAGTCATACTTCCAATCATTCCAGTAATAATTCTTCCGCTCTGTAGCTTTCAACTCCATTTGTGAACGAGGAGGTAACTACATCAGCGAACTGGTACGTCTTAATTTGTTATTACTAGTTGTGTTATTCTGCTTAATTAATGTGTCGATTGTTACGTAAACTATTCCATACTGTTGTAAGTCAATAAAGACCAAATACAACAATACAATTGTAAAATTCTACCACAGTACAGAAATATTGTAAATAATACGTAACAGTTCGCATTTAAACAGTCGTTGATTTTGCATTATGTAACTACCTACAGTACTTTTTTAAAAAAATAATACCGTTACACCGTAATTACAATCGTAATTAGAAATAACTTTATTTTGTAAAGAACAGGATTGTAGTACATAGCTGTATAGTTTTGGATGCGGCAATTTTATGATTTATTATTTTATTTTTTATTACTATAGTTTTAAAAAACATAATGAATTTAATAAAAATAATTACCAAAATAATAAATCTAGTAATCATGTACCGATATCATCTATTGAACCAAACCCTAGTACTTCAACCAGCAAGCCTGTCTTTTGTCCACGTTGTCGTACTAATGAACATTCTTTGAGACAATGTAAACAAGAGCGTTACCCTGTTTGCTTCAAATGTGGTCTCGAAAATTTTATTTATCCTAACTGTCCCAAGTGTAATCCCGGATTGAACCAAAAAAACTAGTTAATGAAGATTGTTGTTCGCCGGTTACCAACACATCAATTAATAACTATAATAAAGAAGACTGGAAAAACTGGTTAACAACTATAAAAATTTATTTCTCGAGTTATTCTATTGCAACAATCTTCGATAAAAAACCTAATACAGATGTACGCCCTTACGTTACCGTTACAGTAGGAGGACTTTCGCTACGTGGGTTACTGAACTCTGGTTCAGCCATTACGATATTAGGCAACAACTCACACGTTAGTTTAATCTCTTATTGCCGTTTCACTGTAAACGAATGTGACGCTTCACAATTATTTATATCAGCCGGTGGTCATAAATTATCTGCCATAGGATATATTAACCTACCTGTTGTATTTGAAAGTCAATTTCATTACCTTAAAGCATATATTATTCCGTCAGTTACAACGTCGTTCATTTTAGGGGTGGACTTTTGGAAGAAATTTAAACTACTACCAAAATTTTCTACTTCTATCTCGCTATCGGGTCCTAATGAACAACGAATTCTCTCAGTAGTCGCGGATGACCCAAATGACAGTCCCACTGCTTTACAATCTTATAGTGAACTTTCCGAAACACAAAGGGAGTTAGCGAATACTGTAATCAGAAAGTTTGAATTTATATCTTCTGAAAGAGTTGGACTTGGTCGCACACATCTCGTGGAACACCACATTGATACCGGTGATTCACCGCCCATCCGCCAGCGGTATTATAGGTTGGCACCGGATAAATTGCGCATCATTGTCGAAGAACTAGACGAAATGCTTAAATTAGGCGTGGTAGAATCTTGCGAAAGTCCGTGGTCTTCACCAATACTACTCACTCCTAAAAAAGATGGTAAATTACGATTTTGTCTCGACAGCCGTAAACTTAACTCTATCACTCGCAAGGATGCATATAAGCTGCCATATGTTTCCGAAATATTAGATAACCTTAAAAATGCCAAGTACCTAAGCAGTATCGATCTGTCTAAAGCATTTTGGCAAATAACGATAGCCGAAAAAGACCGTGACAAAACAGCATTCTATGTACCTAATCGCGGGACTCATAGATTTGTTACCATGCCATTTGGGTTATCAAACGCGCCCGCCACGCAACAACGGTTAGTGGACCAGCTATTTAACAACAGTCCTGAGTTCGAAAATTCTGTCTTCGTTTTCCTCGATGACATTATTTTAATATCATCTAATTTTGAAAATCACATTTCACTTCTCTCTAAGGTTTACGATAAATTAAAGTCTGCTAATTTAACAATTAACCTATAAAAGTCAAAGTTCTTCCGTAACGAACTTAAATACTTGGGCTATGTTGTTAGCTCTAAAGGCTTGCATGTAGACCCGAGCAAGGTAGAGGCTATTCTAAAATTTCCTACACCTACTAATAAAAAAGAAGTTAAAAGATTTCTTGGTACCTCGTCGTGGTATCGAAGGTT